TGAGCCCAGGAGTTTGTGATAATTGAGAGACCTGTCTCACCAAAACAACCAGATCCTGAATAAGCCCTTTGTTAGATATATTTTGCAAATATATTCTTCCTGCCTATAATTTACCTTTTTGTTTTCTTAACTATTTTGATGTCCATTTTATCAGTCTTTGTTTTCATAGTTACGATATTTATGTCCTGTTTGTATCCTTTGCCTAATACAACATTACTTCCTGTGTTTTATTCTAGAAGTTTTACAGTTTTGACTTTGGTACTTAGGTTTGTGAATTAATTTTAGTTACTTTTGTATATAATGTAAAGTGAGCATTGAGGTTCACTTATTTGCATACAAACATCCAGTGAGTTGTTCCAATTCCATTTATTGCAATAAATGTCTTTTGTCTCTGAATTAGTTTGGCACCTTTGTATAAGAGCAGTTGACCACATAACCACAGGTGTCAGTGTTTTAATTTTTGTCTTTGACAATGAATGTAACATTTCTACCAAACAAGTAGCTTGTGGGTGCATAAAGTTATGTTGAGGGCTAATATGCCTTCAACTTGGCAGGAGGGAATAATAGTTATAAGCCCTTTGAGGACGGGGACTCTTTCATTCATTTATTAATTGAACAGTGTTGAGTGTCCAGCATTGAATGGCCTTATAGAACTTGCTGTCAAGGCAGGGAAACAGACAGTAAGAAAGCAATCACAGTCTTGTGTAATGTATACTATGTTGTGAAGGAAAGAAAAGCAGGATTAGTGAGGAGAGTGAGCAGTAGACCTCATAAGGCCCCTCTGAGGGATGAGGTGTAGTTCAGGTAGATAAGGCAGCACACTTAAAAAATCGTGATTGTGAACCAGCCACTGGTGGCTCACACCTGTAATCCTAGCTACTTGGAATGCTAACATCAGTAGGATCAAAGTTCTAGGCTAACCTGGGCAAATAGTTTGGGAGACCCCTATCTTCAAAATAGCCAGAGCAAAAAGGACTTGGGGTTGTGGCTCAAGTAGTACAGTGCCTGCTAAACAACCATGGTACCCTGAGTTCAAATCCCAGTACCACAAAAAAGTAAGTTATATACTTGAGAAATAAAACTGGCAATTTGCTGATGGATGTGTAAGAGTAAGAGTAGGGGTGAGGGGACACGGTAAATTGTGATTCCCAGGTTTCATATATGTATATATATGAATGAAAAGAACTGGGGGAAGGATACATTTTGATAAATAAAAACTAAGTTCATTATGGATAGTTTTAAGATATGAAGGGAGCCAAATCCAGGCATTTGGATTCTGGGTATGGTGTATATTACCAAAAAAGTGGGAGGTTTTCATAGTAGGAGCATTGTAAGGCAGCTGTCATGTAAAGGTCACTGTACTGGAATCAGAAGATCTGAGTTTTACCATTTTATTCAACTTCTGTTGGCTATGTGACTAAGGGCAAATCTTCGTCTTTTTGAACTCCAATCTTTCTCATCTGTGAAACGTGAATGATAATTTGTTTCATGGGATTAAATATGTGTAATATATGCGCGAGTCCACGGTTTATAGATATTTGATCCACTTGATTTCCAGAAAAGTTGGTCTGTGCACATAGACGAGATTGGGCGTGTTCAGGGTGGGATGGCTGGAGACGATCTATGCACATAGAGTTTGGGTGGATAGGAAAAAATCAGGTTATGGAAACTTTGAAGGGAATGGAGGGGATTTGACATGTTATGAAGCTTTTGCATTTATTAATTTGGAGATACACTTAAAGAAGTTTGGTTTCAAGAAATACCATCTAAGTGCTGTGCAAAAAAAGTTAAAGACCAGAAATAGCTGGATAATCAGTTGGCATAGTTTGAAATAATGTGCTGTGAGCCTGGTTTGGGTCTTCACATGGACATAGAGATAAAAGAAGAAAGCAGATTTCAAAGAAGAAACTGCAGGATTTTTTCAGACTAGTTTTATGGCTCAGTAGAGGGGGAAGAATCAGTCACCCATGAACCTGAGATTTCTAATCTGGGAAGCTATAAAAATGGGAGAAGCAATGATAAATCTGAAATAGTCTAAACGGGAAGTTGAGTTAGGGAAAAGGTTGCATTCAGTTTTTTTTTTTTTCCTTGTACCTCATGTCTCCTCATTCATAATATTGACCAGGTACAGGTGTATATGGGGTAGGTTTACTTTGCATCCTCTTTCTATGCATCAGTATAAGAACACAGCCTGTGGAAGCACCAGGAAGTCTGCATTCAGTTTTGAATGTCTGTCTCTTAAGGTGATAGTATGGCTGTCCTTAGGTCATTGGTTACTTTCTGGCAGTAAGATTGTACAAAAGACCAAAGAATTAGAGATCAGGAGATTGGGGAGGGAAGGGGGAGGTAGCTCAAATAATGTATACACATGTAAATAAATATAAAAACGATAAAATAAAATTTAAAAAGAAATCAGGAGACTGATTCTTCTTCAAACCTAATCTCTAATTAGCTTCGTAGTCCCAGGAAAGTCAGCATCTTAGGAGTTCAGTATGGTTATCTAACAAGGGAAGCTGATATACACCTTCCCTGTCAGCCTTCCAGAGTTGTTTTGTGGATCAAATAAGAATGCATATAGTATTGGGAGTGTAGTTCAGGGGTAGAGCATGTGCTTAGCAGGCACAAGGTCCTGGGTTTGATCCAGCACCCCCAAAATGTAAAAATACTCTGACTACACACCTCCATATAAATGTACGATGGTCATGTTATTTCTTTTCTTCAAAGTGAAATATTTGAGGTCATGCCTAGAGAAAAGAAAATGGGAAAATATCAAACTTCTCAAAGGCTTGTGTTTGGAAGTAAATCAAAAACATCAGAAACTAGCCAGTGCTGGTGGCTCACGCCTTTAATACTAGCTACTCAGGAGGCAGAGATCAGGAAGATCACAGTTCAAAGCCAGCCCGGGCAAATAGTTCATGAGACCCTCTCTTGAAAAACCTTCATAAAAATAGGGCTGGTGGAGTGGCTCAAGGCGAAAGCCCTGAGTTCAAGCCCCAGTGCTGGGGGAAAAAAAAAAATCAGAAACTTGAGTGTCTGAATAGATATGTCTAAAAACCCTATAGATTATAACTTGGAAAACTAATCTGGAAGGTGATCCTGGTATATAACAGTTAGGAGAACCAAAAATACAGGTTGCATCTTGTTAGATATCAGTATTTAATGTGCCTTCAAGTTAGAAATATGAATGAAAAGTTTGAATTCCACTTGTATTTCTCTCTGTGTGTTAACAAAATTTTAAAACATTCCCTTTTTATGTCTGCTGTTGTGAGCTATACATTTTTGCCAAGGGTCAAATTATGGTAAAGTTTCAATTTGTAAGTTGTATTACAAGAAATTATTTCCTAACACTTAGCAGTGTTGTCAGTAAGTGTGGCATGCTGCCTAGAAGCACAGACTCTGGAAACAGGCTGCTGAGCTACATTTACTTACCTGACCTCTCTATGCCTCTATTTCCCCATCTATAAAAAGAGATACTATCTACTTGAAGTTTGTTGGGAGAACTGCACGTGGAACCCCCCACTGTATGTAAAGCAGTTACAATGGTGCATAGCACCTGCAAAATACTATGTAAATGTTAATGCTGGGCATTAAGATAGTTGTTATTTTGGCAGTTAACAAAGAATGAAACATGTGAAAGAAAGAAATGAATCCTTCTCTAGAAGCTGATAGCTGGAAGAGCAGAAATTCTATAGTGCTAAAAATCATGGGCTTTACAGTCACACCTGCTTGTATTTGAAGTCTAGTTATGCCCCTCTGCTTTGCAGACTTTTACCTATTAACCAGGAATCAGTGCCTTTCTCATAGGTAGTTACGAGGATTAAGGGAAATAATACATAAAATGCCTCACCCAGCAGAGATGCTAAGAAAATGAGAGTGCTGTCTACTCCTCACCCTCACCTCCTCCAATGTATACTAGTTCTTGGAGTTTGAGTTTTCTTATATGCCTTCTTATTCATTTGTTTGCAATTTTAAACTTTTAAAAGAATTTTAAATTATTTTTTAACTATTAGAACTTTTTAAATTACTGAGACTGTCTCAAGACAAAGATGTTTTCTGTAGACCTATTTAAAATATCATAATGTTTTACACAACTAATTATCAGTATACAAATGGCTAAGTGCATTATGGTGATAGCAGTCACTTATAATGCCATCATTTAAAGAATGAAGTATGAGGGCTGGCAGAGTGGCTCAAGTGGCAGAATGCCTCCTTAGCAAGCATGAGGGCCTGAGTTCAAACCCTAGAGCCACCAAAAAAAAAAAAAAAATCCTGATGAATGAAGTATGCGTGAAAATTGTTTAAATATGCTGGTATAGAAATATATCTAGGATATATTATTAAATAAGCAAGTCACAGAATAAACTCTGTTTTTGAAATTTTATATATAAATATATAGAAAAAGATGTGAATGAATACCCACCAAAGTGTTGTCTCTGCCATAGAAAAGTAGGAATGAGGGGGGTGGTGAATAGGACTTTTTACTTTTGTATACAAGATATTTGGAATAGTATTTTATTTTTGTGATAACAAAAAGAACTGGACAAAACATGAGTAACTTTAAAGGAAGCATATGTGGTGACTAATTTATGTATGTCAGGACACTATTTATTTTGCAAATATTAAAATAGGCTTGACAATCTATCTTGGTAAATAGAAAGGAATGCCCAGAATATTTTGCCCATTTATGAAGAGGATAAAATTTAGTTGCTAAAGTTGTGACAGTAATCAGGAACTTTTGCCAGGCATGGTGGAATACATCTATAATACCAGCAAGAAGGAGGCTGAGGCAGGAGGATCTCGAGTTCAGGGCCAGCCTGGGCTACATAGTGAGACCATTACTCAAACAAAACAAAACAAACAAAAAGATAAAACATATTTTCCCTTTGTTAGAAAATTATGTAGTTGTTTTTAGAAATATTTAATGTCTATGCATATCAGTTGATTAGCCTCTAGCCTATAAGGTTATTAATACCTTTTAATTCCCATTTTTCTAATTTTAGGCCCGATGAGAGAAAGGGAAAGTTGAGGATGCTGGAGCAGAACAATGGATTTCTCTTTCTCTTTCATGCAAGGGATCATGGGAAACACAATTCAGCAACCACCTCAACTCATTGACTCCGCCAACATCCGCCAGGAGGATGCCTTTGATAACAACAGTGACATTGTTGAAGATGGTGGCCAGACACCATATGAAGCTACCTTGCAGCAGGGCTTTCAGTACCCACCTACAACAGAAGACCTTCCTCCACTCACAAATGGCTACCCACCATCAATCAGCATGTATGAAACTCAAACCAAATACCAGTCATATAATCAGTATCCCAATGGGTCAGCCAATGGCTTTGGTGCAGTTAGAAACTTTAGCCCCACTGACTATTATCATTCAGAGATTCCAAACACAAGACCACATGAAATTCTGGAAAAACCTTCCCCTCCACAGCCACCACCTCCTCCTTCAGTACCACAAACTGTGATTCCAAAGAAGACTGGCTCACCTGAAATTAAACTAAAAATAACCAAAACTATCCAGAATGGCAGGGAATTGTTTGAGTCTTCCCTTTGTGGAGACCTTTTAAATGAAGTACAGGCAAGTGAGCACACAAAGTCAAAACATGAAAGCAGGAAAGAAAAGAGGAAAAAAAGCAACAGGCATGACTCATCTAGATCTGAAGAGCGCAAGTCTCACAAAATCCCCAAATTAGAACCAGAGGAACAAAATGTAAGTTGAAACATCTTCTTGAAAATTTTTGTAATCTTTCATGTTTACTGGAAGTCAAAGAGATAGTTTTTGGTTTTTATCTCTTCAAATATGAGTATTTCTGGTGACTTCATTCTTATCACTAGAAAGGTGCTTGGAGTATTATTATAATATAGGTGATGAATAAATATTTTTTAAATAAATGAACGGACATAATTAACATGAAGAAATATTTTAAAACCATGTGACACCAAGAATCTTATTTATATTTCTTTGTCTTAAGAGCCTCAATTATTTTTACTTGCTTATGACAAACTACTGGTTTTTGAAGCTGAGGAGGTTTTTCATTTCTTTTAGACTAAACTTTTGCTGTAGAGCTTAAATTTAGGGCTCTGCTAATATGTGTGCTATAAAATATGCTGAGGTAATGAAACTCTTGTTTTAAGATAAGAGTTAGCTTTCATATATGTTGACTAGAAATTTCAGGTGAAGTTTTTATAAAAGTCATCCTTCATAGATAACTTAAGATGTATGCTGCTGAATTTTTTTTTAATATCTGAGGTTTCAGTGTGAAGTTGCATAGCAGTAATATAATAATTGTAATATACAAATCAACTCTAACTTGAATGAAGAGTTCATGATATGAATTACAGATGTCTCCTAGACATTGATTTGGAAAGAAGCTAATACATGTTTATTTTTGTCACAATTGTCTGGTTTTGTATCTGGTGTACCAGACTAAGTTATCCTCTGTTTAAAGAAAGTTAACTTCTTACTATCCCATCTTTCCCTTGGTAGCTAGATTCTGTTACTTCATACAACTCCATTGTGATCTTTTTTTGGAGGAAAAGTCACAGTGAGTCTATAGCCTGTCACCAGTCTAAGTGTGGTATTTCAAACTTTTCTTATTTTTCTATCGTTTGTTTACTTATTCATTTAATACATATTGATTGACTATCTACTACATGCTAGATACTGCTTTTAAGAATTGAAGGTATGGCAGTGAGTGAAAAACAAAGATGCCTGCTCTAGAGTGCTTATATTTCTATGAGAGGAGGCAGAAAGTGCATCTAGCATATTTACATAGGCACCTAAGTTCAGGGAGTCAACTGCTGTGAAGAAAATAAAATTGGATAGTGAAATAAAGAGTAATCAGGGATACTTCATTTATTCTGATGTCTTAGTTCTGCATTATAAGATGAAGGTAAGAACCTTTTGGGTTCTTACATAATTTATCAAATATCCCCCACAAACCTACATTCACACAGTGTCTTATATTGACACACAGAAGGAGAGAAGTTAACTGTGTGCACTCCAGACACATTCACTGTAGCATTTCTACACTTGATCTTGGCCAAAAGGCTGAGAAGCAATGTACTATGGCATTTCTTTTCTTTTTATGGTGCTGGGATGTGTCTTGTGCATGCTAACCAGGCACTCTGTACTGAGCTACCCCCGCAGTACCACTGTAGCATTTCTTACCTAGACCTGTTGTGAAAGACATGTGATGCACTGTGGCTTTGGGGAATCATAATAATGCATAAAATCTGAATCTGGCTAAAGTCAAATTAGTGTTTAAAGTCATCATTAGTGTCTGAGAACTGTCTTCTGTCTGGCCTATCTTGCTTTTGCTATAGAGACTCTGGCATGTAGGAGAATACCCAAATTTACTTACTAGTCTAGATTTTCTGCCTTTATTGGTAAAGTTAGTTAAAAGTGTATCTCAAAAATAGAAAAAGGAGTGGACACTATTAAAGACAAGATAAAACAGTTTGTTTTTTATATTTACTTTCAGCTTTATTAGAATGTAAGAATCAGGTATGGTGATGCACATCTGTAATTCCAGCACTCAGGAAGCTAGGAAGAAAAATTGCAAGTTCAAGGCAGTCTAGGCTACATAGCAAAACCATATGTCTTACCTTGAAAAAAAAGGAAGGAGCCTAAGAAAATTTCAGTGCAGTGATGTCTCTAGTAGTCACTTTGTATTTAGGATCTAAAACCAATTCTGCCTTTGTTAAGTACCTGCTACTCTTGCCTCTTCTTCTGTCAGAGGATTAGAATGTATAGATATAAGCCAGGTGCAGTGGCTCAAGCCTATAGTCTTAGCTATTTGGGAGGTGGATTGGGAGAATTGCCACTGGAGGCCAGCCTGGGCAAAAAATTCATGAGACCCCCCATCTCAATCAATAAAATCTGGGTGTGGTGGTACATGTTTGCCATCCCAGATACACAGGGAAGCATAAATAGCAGGACCTTGGTCCAGGACAGCTGAGACATAAACATAAGACCCTATTCAAAAAACAACGATAGCAAAAAGGGCTGGAGGTAGTACTCAAGTGGTAGAGCGCCTACCTATCAAGCGTGAGGCCCTGAGTTCATCCCCCAAGATGGCCCAAAAAAAAAAAAAAAGTGTAGATATAATTTAAGAGTTTTAGTTCATTTTCTTTTTTTAGTGAATCATGCCAAGTATAATTTAATATTCGATTATTTAGGAACTTAAAATAATCTTGGAGTAAAGGAAAATCAGGGGTTTTTTGTTTTGTTTTGTTGGGCAGGTTTCAACTTAGGGCTTCATACTTACAAAGCAGGCACTGTATTGCTTGAGCCAAGCCTCTAGTCCATTTTGCTCTGGTTATTTTGAAGATAGGATCTCTTCCCCTCCTGTCTCCTCTACCCTCCCTTCACTCATAAGTTCTTTTTGGAGCAAACAAAAAGTTGACTTTGGGGGAATATCTAGGGATTTTTTTTTTTTTTAATTTCCCTCTCTCCCATTCCCATTTTCATCTTTATTTCCTATTCCCATCTCCTTCCCCGATTTTTCTCCTCTCCCTCACTCCTCCCCTCCTTCAAAGAAGTAAAGTGAAGAGCTAAGTTCTGGTTAGTTGAATTTTGATTAATTGAAATTTTACCATGTGTAGGACAGTTGTGAGCATAAGAAGTAGCTGCCATAAAAGTTATTCCCCATCTAACACCAGAACTGTGAAACCCAAACTCTAGCTCATTCTGTGTTAGTTTTTGCTAATTTAAGCAAGTGACAAGAGCTGTGCTTTGTAACATCGGATGTTTTAAAATTAGGCTTCATTTTCTTGAATAACATCCATGACTGCTTCTGTGGGACAAGTGTTTTTGAAACCCTTTTACCTCCTAGTTGTCTCTAGGCGTTCCCAGCCCTTGGGTTTACTATTGTAAAGGGCTGAGAAGTGAAGGGACGCCCAGAGAAGCAGACTCCCCTGGACAGCTCCCCTCTTTCAGGTGACTCGGGAAGTCTGGTGAGACTGTGTGCCTGGAGAACAAGTTTGAAGTGGGTGTCCTCCAGCTAGATTTGCTTTTAATTTTTTTCTTTTCTTTTCTCCTCTTTCCTTAAAAGTCCAAAGTTCTTTTTCCAGCAAACAGAATCTCATCTAAAATAATACACTTTAAGATTTTACCCACAGCTTTCTTCTCAGTCCTTGATCTGCATGTATTTCCTACTAGTTTTGAAGCTGCTTAGCCTTCTGAAGAGTGGCTGTTTTTGGAACAACCCAAGTATATCTTCTCAACAATAAAAATATGTCCAAACATGTAGGCAGCAGGAGACTTGAGATCATGACTGAAATTGTGTATTTTTTAAATCTGTGTTCGCTGTTTTTCTTCCCACCAAATTAGAAACATGTGAAAATGTTTCTGGATGTCTTCCTCCTTGGCAGGTGTAATGCCTCAGGCATGTGAGAGTAGGCCCTATTCAAACATTAGCACTTCAGTGGGCTTTTCCACCAAGGCCAGTCTCATTAACTCTTAACTTGCTATTTCCACTTGTATTATGCTACTTCCATATAAAAAGCCAGTGGCTGGCTGAGTCCCATTCACATTGAGTCACAGGTTCAATTCTCTAGCTTCAGAGTATTAGGAGTTAAAGTTCTTAGACAATGTTTGCATGCATTTTTGGTACACATTTTTTTATTTTTAACATTACAAACTTTGTTATTCAGAAGTAAAAGAAAAATGAATAATTTATTGCCTGTAAATATTTTTACAACTTAACATTGACATTAATTTTTTGTTCTTTTAGGAAATACGATTTTGCTTAATGTTTCTGAGATTTTTTTGGGTAATGTTATTAAGGGCTTTGATTCATATTATTAATCTTAATCTCTTGGGGTTTAATAACAGTACTAAATAAAAAAATTTAAGGAATATTTTGGAAAATGTATTACCTGCTGTCTTTACATAACTTTTTCCTATTTAAGAAACTTTACTGTAATACTTTCCTGTAAAATATGTCTTTTCACGTGGAATCAGCTAAAACTTTAAAAAGTGTTATAAACCTATAAGCTCATAAGTTTAAAATTAAGGTGAATTGATTATAAAGGCGAGGTAGCTCACAGTCATCTTTTTCTCTGATGTTTTCTCTTCCCAACAAAGTTAACAGTATTAGTACCAAAAGAGGTGTCTTCTGTCCCTATTTAATTTTAATGTTTTATACTTGCTTACATTCTTTGAACAGCTGAAGAAAAGTGAATTTTATACTCAGAACTATTTTATCTGTTAGCATTTTCTGAGTCCTTATTTTTCTTGACTCGAAACATTTGACTTCCATTGGTTGTTTCTCCAATAAAAGTTTTTCTCTCTCTCTCCCTTTTTTTTTCCTCCAGCTCCAAAAAGCTTTTTTTCTGAATTATGTCTGTGATGTTGTGTGTCTCTGGCTTTACCCTCTTAACCTTCTTGTGAGCCCCAAAGACCTCCACGTGCCGACTGGATATCTCTGTGTTGCTTATAGCTTAGCACAAATCTATCCTTGCAGCATCACCGTTTGACTTCCTTTCCCCCTCTATTGTATAAGAAAGCTTAGAATAAATCTTCTTGGGCTTTCTTTCCATTGTTGGTTTTTTCCTTTGAAAATGACTGTGTAAAAATTTCAGTTCTTTGAAAGTAATTTTGACAGTATATCAAATCTACCTGAAAGAAAGGCCAACAACTTGGAACAAACCAAAAAAAAAAAAAAAAAAAAAGTAAGAAATTCAATAAGAAGGTTTGGAAGGAAATCTTGCTTTTAATCCAGAAAGGAAAAAATGTGGATGGGTTTCAAATCAATTCTTACAATAGTAGGCTTCTGTTGAATGGTAAAGATTGAGTCACTCTGTATCTATCTAGAGGGTATGCCTCTCATCCTAGCACTTGGCAGGCGGAGGCAGGAGGATCCTGTCTCAAAAAAGAAAGGAAGGAAGGAAGGGAAGGAAGGAAGGAGCGAGGGAAAGGAAAGGAATGAATGAATAAGTAAATAAATAGTGGGAGAGAAAATAAAAGATCTAGAGATCCCTTCCATGGAGATGTCATGAAGATTGAGGATGACTCACTTTCATGGTACCATATTTTTCCTTGTGTTGCCCTGTCTTCCTGCTGTAGCTTGATTAGAGTGAGAAGCTAAGGGGAACACTTAAGTTGTATCTACATATCAAGGCAAGCTGTCAAATGACCCTACACAAACATGAGCAGTAGTTCTAAACTGCTTTATTACACGAATAATCAGAAAAAAAATTTATCTTGAACATAGATTTTTCTTTCTTTACTCAATGAGTGTGCCCTACTAGATGTCTATGGTACCACTACGAAAGCATCACACAGCTAATTCTGTGCCTGTCAACAAGCTGTCATTACTTGGCTATGCCCTCTTTTCATCACCTGGACCTCCTAATTAAACATTCTGTATTCCCTCTTGCTTCCTTCCAAAATATTCCAACCTAACAGCCAACAGAATCTTAGTTAAACATAAATTACTTATTACTTATCTACCTAAACCTCTTCCTTGCTCTTAAGATAAAATTCAAACACTTTATCATGGTTTATAAGACCCTCACAATGTAGCCTTCCTCTCTGTCTTGTAACCTCTTTCCTCCTATAGTTCTGACTTTCTGAAAGTGGCTATCTGAAAGTGTCTGTTCCCTCACATGTGTTACTCCTTCTTCCTGGAGTGCCCCTCCCCCGCCACCTCTTATTTTTTACTAAGCCAGTACCTCTCTTGAGTCTCAGATTTTAACTTCCTTTATTAGAGTAGCCTTTCCTGACCTTCGTATCTAAAAACACAGGTGCACCATTCTCTCTCCTCAAGCTTTTACTTTGTAAATGGATGTTTGTGTTTCTGGGTGTTTAATATTAGTCTTTCCTATGAATCTATAGGCTCCTTGAGTTTCACTGTTACAAACCTGGCTTCTAGAATATATGACATAGGCATTGCTGAGTGAATACTGAAACTTGGAATTTCAGTCTAGTTTACATAAAATTCCATTTTCTTAACAGTTAAAAACCTTTTTTATACTTTCCTTGACTTTATAAAACTTTGCTTTTACCAAATGTCTTGAAATAATTGAATGAGAATTTTAAGTAGCTTTTAGAATTAACTATATTTTTTAGTGGAATTAAAACCTATTTTAATGGCTATGCCCTCTTTTCAAGCCATCTGAATTCTGTTCTCTGACAGGTGAAAAACTTTAAAAATCTTTTAAGTTGTAGAAATCATTTGTTTGATACAGAAAATATAGGTAAGAGCTGGTGGAATGGTAGAATGTCTGCCTAGCAAGCATGGACGCTGAGTTCAAACTCCACTACCACCACCCCAAAAAAAAAATTATAGGTAATACAAAAGTATAGAAGAGCTTTCTTTATTCTCAAAATAATTACTGTTACCAGTTTGGTTTCCTTTGTACCAAATATTTACAGGGCATAGATAGATTATTTTAAAATAAAAAGTTCAAAAACACCGATTAATGTGTAGTTTACTGATGTGAAATAATACTGCAGTTAACATTGCTCTGGTTGTTTTTTTTTTTTTGGCAGTACTGGGGCTTGAACTTAGGGGTTCACGCTTGCTAGGTAGGCATTCTACTGCTTGAGCCACTCCACCAGACCTGGTTATATTTTCTTATTTTGTGTTGTTTCCTATTTTGCTAAATTGAAGTGTTTATATTTTGAGTTTTGATAGCTACTTCCAGTTTGCCATATAGACTTTTTTTTTTTTTTTCCCCAGTACTGGGGCTTGAACCAAGGCTTCACACATGCTAGGCAAATGCACACCACTTGTGTCCGGCTTAGAAATTCATTTTTAAAATAACATGCTTCTGAGCTTACGATTAGAAAGTAATGTCATGATTATTATAGGAAATTTAACAAATTAGAAAAGCACCCCAAAAAATCATACATTCCCTCACCTAATGGTAACCTTTTACATCTTCTTGTCTTTTTTTTGTGCATGTAGAAGTTATTTTTCCAAGATTGGAATAATACCATTCAAACTGCTTTGCAGTTTGTTGTTTTGGTTTGTTTTTTGGCAGTACTAGGGTTTGAATTTAGGGCCTCATGCTTACTAGACAGGCACACTACCACTTGACCCACTCTGCTAGCCCTAATTTGCTGTTCTTAAATAACAATATAATTAATGTTATTTTTAAATTATTTATATGCTGTTATTTATACCATAATTTAATTTATATAATAATTTTTTACCTTTTTTAAACATCTTCATTGTTTTTATTACTTTGCTGTTATAATTGGCACTGGTTTGTATATGTTTATACCTGTATATTTATTTTCACACCTCTCCATGCTTTTTTTTCCGAAGTACTGGGGATTTGTGCTTGGTGGGCAGGTGCTTAAGCCATACTTCCAGTGTTATTTGTATACCACTCAGTGCTTTTTTAGTGTACATTTTTAGAAGTAGATTCGTTGGGTGAGAGTGAAAACTTGAGGTTTTTTTCATACTTATTGTCAAGTTATTCTCCAGAATAATTCCAGGTTACATAATATGAGTAATTTCATAGTACCTATTTTTCTGCACTCTAACAGACTAAAAAACGTTTGAGTAAAAATGAAGTTTTTTAAGTAATAAAATAGGTAAAAAGATACAACAATTGTATGGAATGGAAAATGAACACTAATATATGTAGCATCATGTACTCAATAAATTGTATTCTTACTCCTTACCTTGCTCAGTAGTAAGTGTCCTTCATTCTCTCTGCTGCTTAGTTTTCTTTGATTCTTTTCTGTCCTTAGTTTACTGCCGCTTTATTCTATTTCCCTATACCTTTTTACCTAGACACCAAATGAGAGGGTGGATATTGCACCAGAAAAACCAAGAGAAGAGCCAGCACTCAAAGAGGCCACCCTGGTGAGTTGCTTTGTTGAGTACTGTCTGACTAGATGTACTGTGAGAGGGCAGTCAGCACAAAGTGATGAAATTGCAGCAGTGTGCTGCATGCTTTTTTATTTCAGAAATTATACTGAGACAAACTTGGAGCTGGTTTAAGAGGTAGATATTTTCAGTGAATTATTTTCCTTTTAAAAAGTATGACCATCTTTTTTGTTGTTGTTGTTGATCATGCGAATTCTCAGTATCTTATCAATAATTTGGCAACAGAAGCTATCAATCCTATTTTCAATATCGGCGATGGAGCTTATTAATTTTTTTCCTCCTATCTTTTTTCCCTTTTGTTATTATAGATAACAGGTATGAGAGAGAAGTATAAATGAAGATAAACTTTACATCTTAAGCGTTTTTAAAGTACTTTGTATGTAGTACATGGCTTTTTTTTTTTTTTAATGTCTCTATTGATGAAGTTTTGTGACCTTTTCTTATAGGTTCAGCCAATACTAACTTCTGTTCCAACAACAGAAGTGTCCACTGGTGTCAAGTTCCAGGTTGGTGATCTTGTTTGGTCCAAGGTGGGAACCTATCCGTGGTGGCCTTGTATGGTTTCAAGTGATCCCCAGCTTGATGTCCATACCAAAATTAACACAAGAGGTAAGGAAAGGCAAAAAGAGAGATTAAGTGACATGTTAGCAGCAAAGAAAAGTGAGCATTCAGTGTGTACGTGAACATAAAAATACATGCATAATATATGACCTGACACAAGCATATATGTATCTCTGAGTTTTTAATAACCGTTGAAGTAATTATGATCATGGTAACTGGCAGAGAACCCCTATAACTGATAGAGTCCTTATTCTCCTTTACCACATCTACCTTGTTAATTGTTCCTTTCATGCTTCCTTTTTTTTTTTTTTTTTAGAAAAAGAACTTAATCTGACTTTCCTATATTCTGAAGAAAGCATGTGAATAAGTTATAAAATGTCTTATATGAACTAAATGTACAGGACAAGCCTTCTTAGAACTTTTTAAAATTTGTTTTCTGTTTTATTTATTTGGTGGTAAGGGGGTTTGAACTCTGGACTTTATGCTTCCCAACAGGCACTCTATCACTTGAGTCATTCCACCAGCAACCCCCCCCCTTTTTTTTTTTTTTAACAGTACTAGGACTTAAACTCAGGGCCTCCACCGTGAGCCACTCCACCAGCCCTTTTTTGTGATGGCTTTTTCAAGGTACGGTCTTGTGAACTATTTGCCTGGGCTAGCTTCGAACTTCGATCCTCTTGATCTCTGCCTCCTGAGTAGCTAGGATTACAGGTGTTAGCCACTGGCACCTGGCTTTATTTTGTTTTTTTTGACACACGGTCTTGCTAAACGTAGCCAGGCTGGCCTCAAACTCAAGATCCTCCGGTCTGTGCCTCTTGAGTGCTAGAATTATAGGTGAAGGCCAACCTTCCCAGCTTCTTTGAACATTTTTATTTCATCATTCACTCCTATGGGTAGTATTTTTTACCCTAACAAGTACTTTTCATCCAGGATGCTTATTTTTCTCCTCCATTCTATTTTTGAAACTGTAAGCTTACTGGAGCATCCTTACATATTTGATGTGGCATAGAAGTATAATTTGCATTTAGCTAGAGTAACATAGAATCTAGTTACTTAGGAATGTTAAAAATTAAGAAAAGATGTATTTTAACTTTATTTCTTTTTAGGGTAGTTGACCAAAACATGACATGAATTAGACTCCTGAGATTCTACCATTTAGAAGGAACTTTATTAGTAGCCCAAAGAAAGTTTGAGCTTCAAATTATTTCTGAATATTTGCTTTGTGAACTCATTTTTGTCACGTGTTGAGTGTTTTCATTGTTTGTGACAACTTTTCATTTATTCTTTTTCTATCACTTTAAACTTTTAGTGTTGGTCCTTGTTGACTATTATAAAGGGAAAAAAGTGTCTACTTAAGTCTGGTCAGTCAGATTTGTCACAGAATTAACTCTGTCAATAACACTTTTACTATATAGTCGGTAATCTGCCGGGGTGCAGCAGGCAGTGTGGCTTGAGCATCTTCCACCTTATTATGTGCTGAATAGAAGCATCTGGGGGACAAAAGTGAAAAGTCCTCTTTGTGGAATGTCTCCTTCTGTGCAAAGTACTTTGTAAATAGTTGTGTTATGTGTTTTCTTATGTGATCTTCACAAGCAGCAACATTACGAAGTAGGTAATACACACACACACACACACACACACACAGAGACACATATACACACACACATTTATACACACACAGACTCCTGTGTTTCAAAAAATTAGTGTCTCAAACCTGATTTCACAACTCCTGCTCTTAAACAGGAGTAGATGTTAGAGGGAAGGCAGTCAAACTCACCCTGTCATCATTCATAGAAGTTGGAGAAGGTAGTTCTGGTTTCTGCATTTATATAAGGATGTTTGGCTAGAGTATCTGAATACCTTGCAACTCTAATAATCAATGGTTCTGTGAGAGGGAAAGAATAGGACAGGATTCTCCAAGAAGGAGAGTCAAGTCTTCTTAAATAAAATAATCCCTGTCCATGGACATCTGGACCTTCAGAACTCTCTAAAAATGGCATTGTGTGAGACTTGTGGCTCTTTAGTTCTCAGGAAAGCATTTTTTTGAGATTATGTAAGGAGTTTCACTTTACAAGCCCCGAGTTCAAGTGTCAGTACTGAAAAAAAAAACTGAGAAAACTTAGAAATGTTCATTTATTTATTTTAAAAATAATTATTATATTTTGTGAAAAACATTTTCTCAAAAATTAATGAGAAGAATGGCATTGCTTTACATATTTACAGATCTCTAATGTCTGGCTTAAAAAAAGATACTGGATTCTCATACCTGCTTCTACATTCAGTCTATTATGATGTGTTGTCTTGGTTGAAGTATGTGAAGATTGTCCTGCCTCACACAAATAGGAAGTAGGAAAAGGGGAGAATTTTTTTAATAGACTCTCAGGTCATTGTTAGTATTTTTCTTTGACATTATATCAAACCTGAATAGGTGACAGGTGAACTACAATGTGGGATTTGAAATCGTATTAGTGAACTTTCTTGTACTTTGTTACATTAAGATCTGCAGAATGTCTTGCATTTTGAATGGATCTTTTACCTTTCACAATTTTTCTTAATATCTTACATGCTTGCCCACTTAAAAATTCCTGGTTTAAAGCCAGGAGTTGGTGACTCATGCCTATAATACTAGCTGTTTGGGAGGCTGAGATCACAGTTCAAGGCCAGCCTGAGCAAACTGTTCATGAGACCCACCTCCCATTTGGTCTGGTTAGACCAAAATGGACTGGAGGTATGGCTCAAGCAGTACAGCGCTTACTTTTCAAATGCGAAGCCCTGAGTTCAAATCCCAGCTCCGCCCCCCCCCCCAAAATATTCTTGGTTTATGGAGTCAAGTACATTTTTCAAATTTTCATTCTTTTATGGATATACTTTTAAATAGCATTACTTAATATCACCACTTTCTCAGAATATTCTTTGATTATTGTTGGGAAGCTGGCAAACTTAGAGAAGCAATTACAAATTTTCTATAATTACAATTTTCTTGAAAGATCAAATTTAATTATTGGCAGCAAATAATGTTGTTGTTTTTCTTGAAGTAAGAAGTTCCTTGAGGAGTTATCTGCCAGCTTCTCAAGTTTGAATAGCTATAGTTCTTCTTTCTGTCATACTATCTAGTAAAAATGGAGTTCTAAACTGGGTGCCAGTGGCTCACACCTGTAATCCTAGCTACTCAAGAGGCAGAGATCAAGAGGATCACAGTTTGAAGCTAGCCCCAGGCAAATAGTTCATGAGACCCTATCTTGAAAATACTCAACACAAAAAATGTCTGGTGGGATGGCTCAAGTGACAGAACACCTGTCTAGCATGTGTGAGAATTTGAGTTCAAATCCCAGTCCCACCAAAAAAATAGAGTTCCATGAAAAAGTAACCTGTTCACCCTTCCACTCAAAGGATCACACAAAGGCTTTTCCTCTAGATAACTGTCATCCTCTGGGATGCAAAGGTGTTTTATTCATTCTTCTGGTATCATCACAGAGTGTTAGAGACTTGTATTCAAGAATTGAAATTTAGTAAAATTATTAATTTTAACTGCCTCATCAAGGACCGTAAGTAAAACTAGCTTTTTTATGGCAGTGCTGGGATTTGAACTTAAGGTCTTGTGATTGCACTCTACCATCTGAGCCATGTTGCCAGCCCTTTTTGCTTTAGTTATAGTTCAAATAGGATCTCACATTTATGCCCATGCTGGCCTGAGCTGTGATCCTCCTGTTTATACTTCCCACATAGCTAGGATGACAGGCACATGTCACCATACCCAGCTTTTTATTGGTTGAGGTGGCATCTCTCAAAATGTTTGCCCAGGCTGTCCTTGAGCCTCAATCCCACCAAACTCTACCTCCTGAGTAGCTGGGATTGCAGGCATGAGCCACTTGCCTGGGGTTTTTTTTTTTTTTTTAAGTGCCTACATATGATTTAAGAACACAGTGGCACTGGTACACTTGGGTGCACTCAGTTTGTCTCTACTGGACTAAGATGCCAGCAATTTTATCTGCTGTTGCCTTTGCATTGTTGAATGCAAATGTCAACATAATGAGAAAAATAATATTTTGATAGTATTGTGTTTGCCATCACAGGACCCCTGAAAGAATCTCATGTTTTATGGCTAAAAGCAATTTCATCAGTACTTGACTTTTTTTTTGATGGTACTAAGGTTTGAACTCAGAGCCTCATGCTGGCTAAGCAAGCGCTCTACCACTTGAGCCATTCTGTCAGCCTTAGTACTTGACTTTTAAAAGTCCAAGAAACATGTTGTACATTTTTCTAAAGAAACGTTTTTTTTGAAAGATTGGAGGCAGGTAAAAATAAATTGTGCAACCAAAGTAATAAATCCAGCAATTAGCAGATTTTCTGCATTTCTTTTTCTTAAAAGTTTCTGTGCTGATTTTAATCACATGAAGTGATTTTTGTAGCTACTGTTAATTGTATAATTGGTAAGTACTGAGACATATCTTTAGATAATTCAAAATGTCCAAGTTTTTTTTTGATGGTTTACATTTATTAAAATTGTTGGTTTAATCTTCTATCCCAGAGTGTCCTTCCAGATGTCCTTCAAAGGGTAAGCTGCAGGCTTGCTGCTGCCACACAAGCCCTTGCAGTTTTCAGGATACAGTGTGTCTATCTGCATTTTTCCAGCTGTGAATTCTATGTAGTCCAGGCTGGATTTGAACTCATGTTCCTCATCCCAAGTAGATGGGACTGCAGGTGCACTCTACCACAGTTACCTTTAATCTTGAATTCTTAACCCTTTCCTCAAAACTTGCTCTGTCTATTGTTGTCAAACTGATTCTTCATACCTTTATTTAAAAGACATCCACAATCTGGACCCAATCAAGCAGTCCTGATAAAAATGTGTAACCAGTAGTTAAAAAAAAAAACCAAACCCATAACTGGTCTGGACAATTCAGATGCTACCAAAATACCCAAGTTTTAGTGGGATAAATGATGAGGAATTTGGGTTAGAGGCCTTTTTAGAATAGTACATATGTGGATGTGGATGTTCTATAATGGTTAATAAGAGTTTTTACTTACAGGTGCCCGGGAATATCATGTCCAGTTTTTTAGCAACCAGCCAGAGAGGGCATGGGTTCATGAAAAGCGGGTACGGGAGTACAAAGGCCATAAACAATATGAAGAATTACTGGCTGAAGCAACCAAACAGGCCTGCAATCACTCTGAAAAGCAAAAGGTAACTGATAATTTGTTAATGCTTTTATTAATTCAATATGTTTTGTTTTGTTTGTTTTTTGAAGTGCTAAGGATTAAACCCAGTGCCTTGCACATTGTGAGGCAAGCACTGTACCACTGAGCTGTACCCCCAGTCCTGTAATATGATTTTTAATGACTTAATAGTTTAGAAGAATTTTCATACTTGAATTCAGACTATTGTTAGAATGATTTGTTATTTTAGCTAGTTTAAATTTAGCTTTTTGTTTTTAATTTGCCACTAACCCTCCTCTTTCCTCTTAACTCTGATCAGCCCAAATAGCAGTCCCCACTTCCTAGTGGAAGCTCCTCTCGTGGAGAGAGCTTTCTCTTGCTCCTGGTTACAACTGAACCTAACTGGGGCCATGGGAGACGCAGAAAGGACAAACAATAGACAGACAGACATGCAGAAAGTTGGGGTCAGGTTGAGTGCTCAGGTTGAGACTCACAACAGACTCATTGCTTCTTTTCTTTATAATTCGCTTCATTTACTCTGCTTCGTTTCTCTATCTTTATTCTTTAAGACCTTACACCTTTACAATTCCTTAAAACCTTGCTTCTAAAGTCTTTCTTCTTTCTATTCTTTAAAACCTCTAAAGTCTTCTTTTCTGTTCTTTAAAGTCTCTTTCCTTAGACTCACTCTATCCCATGTTTTCTCTTAGCTTTTCTTTAGCTTAGCTTTTCTAAAGCCTATGTATAAAGTTCTCTGTGCAGACTTGCACTGTCCCATGTTCTCTCTTTAGCTTTCTTAAAAGTCACGGCCCTCAAACTTACAGACAAACAACAGCAGCCACGTCCTTCAGTGGCAGTCCCCTCGCAAGCTGCCAACCAATTCTGTCAACTCCTCTTTAGCAGTTCTCCTTCAACAATTCTTTTCTTTTTAGCATTCCTCCCTCCAGCAATTTCTCTTCAGCCAAAAACCCCCATCAAAAAGGCTCTTGTCCTCCTCCAGCAAGTCTTTTATATCCAGTGGTAAACAAGGAGGTGGAGCAACAGTTCTCAGGGAAGGGCATGGCATTGTAACAGGAGAAACTTGCATTCCTGCTTCTCTGAATGGAAACAACTTAGGAAAATTTGCAACTTAGGAAAGAGCTGCATCTTGCCTTCTCTTGCTCTCTTCTGCAGCTGGGGCTATGCCAAATCTCAGTATACAGATTATTTAACATAAACACCTTAGGAAAAGCAGCTGCTCTGCATCCTACTCTAGCCCTCTTCCGTGGCTGGGGCTGTGCCGAGCTCAGCCTGCAGATATTGTGTTCAACTGTGCTTATGCCCTCATAGGCTTCTCATACTCTGCTGCCAACACTTTTTAGACCCAAGTAGGGGCATCAGTGAGTGAGAGGGAGGTGGGGGAAGCTGCAGCGTGTGTCGCGTGTATCCAGGTCACAGCGTTGTCTACCCTTGCTGGGATCTGTGTTAGGTACTAGTGGTCAAGGTAAATTTCCTGGAAGTGCTTGGTTGAGGGCTGGAGCTGCCTCAGTCTCCAGGTATTCCATGCCTAACCCTGAGAGGAGATATCTAGAGATGGGTTGGGAGGAGGAGTACCATGGAGGCCTTCTTGTTCCGGGAGTCACAGGTCCCCACCCCTACTAAGCCCTGACCCAGCACAGCAGACTCATATGGCAGGATTGTTAACTGGGGTGGAGCACACATGGTTCTCCAAGTCATGAATCTTCTTGTTCAAAGGGACTTGAGAGGTTATCTAAGACCCCCTCTCATGTACTCTATGGTATAAAAGACTCCTACAGAAGGCTGGCCATAGTGACCGTGCCTGTAATCCCAGCTACTCAGGAGGTGGATATCGGGAGGATCATAGTTTGAGGCCAGCCTTGGCAAAAAGTTCACAAGACCCCCCCATCTCAATTGACAAGCCAGATGTGGTATTCTACATCTACGATCCCAACTACACAAGAGGTTGTAAGTAGGAGGATCACAGTCTGAGGCCAGCCCCAGGCAAAAATAGGAGACCCTACCTGAAAAATAACTGAGAAAAAGGGGCTGAGGCATGGCTGAAGTGGTAGAGTGCTTGCCTAGCAAGCATGAGGTCCTGAGTTCAAACCCCAGTACTCTCCTTACATACTAAACAAATACTGAAAGAAGCATCACAAGCCCTGTTTACCTAGAGCCACCTGCCCAAGACGCATCCTGATTCAGAAAGGCCTCTGCTTTGAGGTATGGTGTGGTGGCATATGTCTGTAATCCCAGCACTGGGGAGGCTGAGGTAGGAAGATTGTGAGTTTAAGGCTAACCTGAGTGACATAGTAAGACCCTGTCTCCAAAAAATTAAAAGTAAAAGGCCTCTGCTAGCCCACCCTCTGCTACCCCACAGTGCTGCCATAGGATGCCCCACAATAGACATTAAACTCCTGGAGGGTTTGGTCCCTCTGAGAGTGCTAGTTTATCATGGGCTTGTTAGTCAGGGCTCTGTGACAAAAGGTTTGAAGGACTGGTTTGGTAGTATGCATCCTGGGCATACAGAGTCTCCCAGACTTCTGCTTCTATGAAGGGACCCTATGCCTTCTGACCCTGCAAATGTCTTCATCCTTGGTTCCCTACTCTGCAGTAAAAGTCTCTAGCTCTTCCCTGCTTCCCCACTTCTTCTTTGTACTACACTGCCTGGAGTGCATTCAGTCCTCCTCCTAAGTACAGGAAGTTTGTAAGATCAGGAAGTTTGTAAGGACATTAATAAGTCTGCTTGTTTGATTTGTTTTGTTTTGAGACAGGTCCCCACTTTATAGCCCACCCTAGCCTCAAACTCATGATCCTTCTGCTTCAGCCTCCCAAGTGCTGAGATTATAGGGATGCACCACCAGGCCTGGCTCAAAATTGGATTTCCTTTTTTTGACAGTGCTGGTGATCAAACCCAGGGCATTGCCTATGCTAGGCAAGCACTCTACCACTGAGTTACATCCCCAGTACCTGTTAATAAGTTTATATACCACATGAAAATTATAGTACTATTGAAAATTTACTTAATACAATGTTGGATTCCATTGTGAATTTGGGTTAATGTTTATAAGTCCATTAGATATTAATGAGATGTGAATTTTGTCAGGAATTTTAAATCTTCCTACTGTAGCATCTTCCCATAATTCCTCTTTATTCTGTTTAGCAAGATTATTTTACGAAAGTATAGTTGTGGCTTTTTTTGTTTTGTTTTGGCAGCACTAGGGTTTGAACTCAGGGCTTCATACTTGCTCGGCAGTCTCTGTACTACTTAAGCCACTCCACTAGCCCCTTCTTGTGATGGGTTTTCAAGATAAGGTCTCACAAACTATTTGCCTGGACTGGCTTTGAACTGTGATCCTCCTGATCTGTGCCTCCTGAGTATCTAGGATTACAGGTGTGAACCACTGGCGTCCGGCAAAAGTATAGTTTAAAAAATATTTTTATTATTTTTTTATTATTACTGTGCTGGGGGTACATTATGACATTTACAGCAGTTCTTACATAGTTGAGTTCATCTCCTCCATAATACTCCTTTATCTCCTCCTTCCCCCATTCCTGGAATAGTTTTAATAGGTCTCATTTTTCCATTTACATAGCATGTGTGCACGGTATTTGCACCACATTCACCCTCCCATACCCTTTCCCCAGTGGTACCAGCCCTCCAGACAGGACCTGTTCTGCCGTTCTGCCCTCCTCCGATTTTGGGGGGAAAAATGACATTTTTGGTTAAGATAGCTATAAAGGGAGTTTTCCTTGTGATATTTCCATGTATATATGTATTATAACCTGAACTGGTTCATCTCCTGTATTTTTCTCCTTTCTGCCTTAGTCCCCTTCTTATGGTGATTTCAACAGGTTTAAAAATTCTATATTCATTCTTCTATAGAGAGTACATCAACCATATTCACCTTCTTAACTTCCTTCTTTTATCCTCTCTCTCTCTCTCTCTCTCTCTCTCTCTCTCTCTCTCTCTCTCTCTCTCTCTCTCGTATGTGACCTCCCATTAGTATGACCTGTTGCATAATATTGCTTATATTTGTATTAGGTCTATATTCCACATGAGAAAAAAAAAAAGTATGTGGCCTTTGGCTTTTTTGAACCTGGCTGACTTCACTTAAGATGATGTTCTCCAGTTCCATCCATTTACCTGCAAGCAACAAAATTTCATTCTTCTCTACCTCATTTCCATTAGAATGGCTATCATCAAGAATGAGGATGTAGGGAAAAAGGAACTCTCTTACACTGTTGGTAGGAATATAAATTAGTAAAACCACTATGGAAAACAGTGTAGAGGCTCCTCAAAAAACTAAAAATAGAACTGCCACATGATCCAGTAATTCCACTACTAACGATATACCTGAAGGAATGTGTATCAGCTTATAATAAAGGCACCTGCACACCCATGTTTATTGCACCACTATTCACAATAGCTAAGCTATGAAAGCAGCCAAGATGCCTCACTGCTGATGCATGGATTAAGAAAATGTGGTAGTTTCAAAAATATTCAGTGAGTACCTACTGTAAGGCAAGTATTAAGCATCATATATATTTAATGCTCATTGAAAATGAATGCATATACACACACATTTAATCTTTATAGCTACCCATATAAGATACAGATTCTTACTCCTTTCTCTACAGATTAAGTAACTGAGGCATAGGAAGCTCAAGGAACTAGTTAAGCCCAGACTATACACAAATGATGGAACTGGGAAGTATGTTTGATGTGGTGGTAGATACTAGAATTTTGAGATGAATTCTCTATAATTTGTCTGGTTGAGATTTTAAACTCAACTAATTATAGTATGACTGGTTTCTGAATCTTGTGATTCAGAAATGTGATTTTTACACTTTAAAAACTAAATTTTATCACCAAATTTTGATTAATTTTATTAGGCTTACCTTGTATGGATTTATACATCAGTATTTGACATATACTATACCATCTCATAGATTCATTAACTAATTTCTGCCTACCTTAGTTTAGCTACCTGAACAATTCCTAATTTCTTGGGTCATCTCATACACTTTGAGCCAAATACTTTGGTCATTTTACACACCTCTGTTCGAGGCTTCTTAATCTGTTTTGCCAATCCAGACTCTTTTCAACCCTGAACATAGGACCTGCGGAAAAGGATTCACATTTATTTTTTCTCTCATACCTGCTCTCCTTTGTTTTAACAGATTTTATTCTTTCTCTGTTTGCATTATGGTTCAGATTAGCAGTACATTTTCAAATGTTAGCTCTCTGTCACTTAGCTTTGTTGTCACGTCCACAAACACTGCTGACTTACCTACATCCTCTAGATATGGAAGAAAAACGGGAGCTTTGGGGTACCACATTTAATGTCAGTGGTAATTGGCCACTGAAAGTAATCATTTCAGTAGCCTTTCTTCTCTTTTTCCCTTATTATTGCTAGAGTAAATATGGTGTGAGAAGGACCGCTCCCTCACTGGGAGTCTTGTCCAGTACATTAGTCAACAGAGGAAGGATAAGTAAGAGCCATCTAATAGAATAATAATAATTTATTAAAGGTATGAAATTAGAACATTTCAACTTATTTGACTGAAGAACCTAAAGATATTTATGTGTTCCTGAAAAGATAACAGGATGCATGAGAAATAAATGTTGGTTTTAATGTATTGATTAGATTAAAATGTGTCCCATAATGCCTATGTCTTTTTTTAAAGATCCGGAAGCCCCGCCCTCAGAGAGAACGTGCCCAGTGGGATATTGGCATTGCTCATGCAGAGAAAGCATTGAAAATGACTCGAGAAGAAAGAATAGAACAGTACACTTTCATTTATATTGACAAGCAGCCTGAAGAGGCTTTATCCCAAGCAAAAAAGAATGTTGCCTCTAAGACTGAAGTTAAAAAAACCCGAAGACCAAGATCTGTGCTGAATACTCAACCAGAACAGACCAATACAGGGGAGGTGGCCTCCTCACAATCAAGTACTGAAATTCGGAGACAGAGCCAGAGGCGACACACAAGCACGGAAGAGGAAGAACCACCTCCTGTTAAAATAGCCTGGAAAACAGCAGCCGCGAGGAAATCCTTACCAGCTTCCATTACAATGCACAAAGGGAGCCTGGATTTGCAGAAATGTAATATGTCTCCAGTTGTGAAAATTGAACAAGTGTTTGCTCTTCAGAATGCAACAGGAGATGGGAAATTTATTGATCAATTTGTTTATTCGACAAAGGTATCTCTTTTCTTTTGGGCTTTTTTTTGGGGGGTGGTTATTTTTTAAAATAATCAACTTGGGCATTAAAAAAATAACATAAGGACACACTTTAGATACCTTTTGTATCCACTGCATTTGAAATATACAGTCACGTTTGCTCTGTGGGCAAAAAAGACATAGGCAAAAAGCCCTGTTTTTCTTCTGTTTTCCTCCCTCTTTTGTAATATTCCCATCTGTAGTAGATTAATCTTGAGCTATGTAGCCAAAATTGAGCATAGCTCCTGAAAGTCATGGAAAAAAATAAAAACTGGGCAGTTTGCCTGTTTCTAGTTTGCATAGTTATTCTTTGTTGCAAAGTGTGCTTCTCATTAAAATCCTTTTTTTTTTTTTTCAGTTATCTGAAGTAACCATTGTTAAAAAAACTACTGTAATAATTGTACCTGCTGACCTGTTTGGTTGTACCAGACTCCTGTTGGCTTAGGATAGCTAACTGCCTTTTAGAGATATCACAGTACTATATTTGTCCCATAACAGTTAAGTGTGTTGATAAAGTGGTAATAGTATAGACCAGCCTGTATAAACTGAATGCCTCTATCAGATTGCTCTGGGCCTCCATTTAAAGCAGTTATACTTTAAGTTCAAAACATGAACTCACCACCACCCTACTAACGCCACAATTTTGGGTTTGTGATTTTAATTTAGCTGTATCTCATTACTGTGTATGTTAAAGAACATTCTGTTCTTACTTTTTCTTAATAGTCATATACACATTAAAAATATTAATGACTCCTACCCCAATACTGCCCAAAATAATTAAATATAGGGATGCCTCATTAGTAATACATTTCCTTAGAGAAAAGTGTTTGAGGGTCCTCTATTAATCTGTTTCTGTCCATAGGTACAACTGATTTCAGTAGAGCTGAGCTACCTGGAAAAGCTCCACTTGATTCTTTCAGTGGCAAATAAATATTTTTGCAAGGTGTTTAAATGCAAATTGACATTATTATTGAAGTTAGTTTTATCTGCTTCTGCATGCACAAAACAGACTTTTAAACCAGTCCTCCAAAAATACTATTTAAAGGAAATTTGAGCTAAAAATGATCTCTAAAAATACATTTATATTCATAATTCCTTTACTTTTATTCCATTGAATGAAAAAAATATCTTAAATGTGCCTAGCTTCTTTCTGCTTCATATTACTTATTTGGTCACCATGAATAATATACTTCTGTATCTAAGGATATTCTTTGTCTCTTAAAACATGTTGACCCTTTTAACTGTAAAACTGCCATTTGTGCTTTACTAAATGACAATGGCCAGAGTTCTCTTACTATTATATGTATTTTCAGTTTAGAAAATATTTTGGTTTTGATGGAAAGTAGGGTGATACAGGTTAATTTTTTATGGATATTTATCTCTTGAACTTTTAAATAGATTATTTTTTTCTCCCACATGATCTTACTGTACATTTTAGAGTACATCCTGATAATTTAATAACATTGTTTTGATAATGGCTAAGATAAATTAACCATGATTGAAGACCAAACAAATTTGAGCAAATTATGATCATGTTAAGCCATCTGTATACGATCATGATGCCATTTGCATGGTAGTCACCTATTTTTTACTTTGCCTTATTTTAAAGGGAATTGGTAACAAAACAGAAATAAGTGTCAGGGGGCAAGACAGGCTTATAATCTCTTCACCAAACCAGAGAAGTGAAAAGCCAACGCAGAATACATCATCTTCTGAAGCAACATCTGGTCCTACAGGTGGGTCTGAATGAGGAGTATGTGGATCCATTTTGAGAGGTCATTGTTATGTTTGTTTATAACAAGGCAGCTATGTTCCTAAGAAACTTTTCATTGTCAAAAGTAAGTTATAGGGGACTGGGGCATGGCTCAAGTTGCAGAGCAACTGCCTAGCAAGCATGAGGCCCTGAGTTCAAACCCAAGTACACACACACACACACACACACAAAGTAAATCAGGGCCAGGTACTGTGGCATACAACTACTCAGGAGGCTGATGAGGAAGGATATCTTAAGTTACAGGAGTTTGAGGCTAGCCTGAACAAAATAGGCCTTATCTAAAAACAAAAAAGTAGTAAATTATATTTTAAAAATTGGAATTTAAAAGTAATTATTTCAGTAAGAATTAATGGGTTAAAGGCTAGAGAGATTTATTCATAGTAGCAGTTATTTTTCCTACAGAAATTGAAATAATAGGACTATTCTCTAATTAAGAGTATAGCTATAAATTCTGTGCTGGGCGTGGTGGTAAACATATGTAATCCCTGTACTGTGGAAGCTGAGGCAGGAGGATTGTGAGTTGGAGGCTATCCAGTGAGAACCTGCCTCTCAAAAAAAAAGAAAGTATGAGCTATAAATGCTAAACATGTCTGAGTAGACAAACCATTTGATTATCTCTTTGCATGAGAATAACAGCTTTGCTTTCCCAGCATTATTAGCACATTCTGACCATTTCCTCCTTTATCGTCTACTGGAAACAAGAGTTTCCCGGCAGATGCCAGAGCTCTTTTCATTATACCTAGGCATGCAAGGTGTTAGTAGCTGAAAGGCCTAGGACCTAGGCCTTCTAATGTAATAAGATTGAGAAATCAAGCTATGTTATTCCTGCTTAAAAGAGAAATGCTGGGTTGGATATGGCTACCCATGCCTATGGTCCCAGTTACATGGGAGGTAGAAGTTAGAAGGATCATCATTCCCAGCCTGGACAAAGTTAGGTCAAAACCCTATCTGTAAAGCAAATTAAAAGCAAAAGGACTGGCTGGGCGCCGGTGGGCTCATGCCTATAATCCTAGCTACAAAGGAGGCAGACATCAGGAGGATCGCGTTTCAAAGCCAGCCTGGGCAAATAATTTGTAAGACCCTATCTCTAAAAACCCTTCACAAAAATAGGGCTGTGCAGTGGCTCAAGGTGAAGACCCTGAGTTCAGTCCCAGTACCTCAAAAAAAAAAAAAAAAGGAAGAAAGCAAAAGGACTGAGGGCATGGCTCAAGCAAAAGGAGTAGAGGGATGGCTCAAGTGGTAAAGTGCTTGCCTAGCAAGTATGAGGTCCTGAGTTCAATCCCCAGTACTGGAGCAGGGAGCAAAATGCCTTATTTTTATTTATACATGCCTTTGGAAGATTCAAAGTAATTTTTTTAAGGGATTGACTTACTAAATGTGGTAGAGTTTTAACTCACTGTCTGGTGGGTTTGGTTTATACAACTGTATTATATGAGAGTATTTCTATAATACTGCTTCACATAGCCATCAACAAAAGACTTAATAGGGCTGGACTCCAATGGCTTAACACTTGTAATCCTGGCTACTTCAGAGACTGAGATAGGAGGATCTTAGTTTGAGGCCAACCTGGACAAATAGTTTGTGAGGACCACCCCACCCATCTCCAAAATAACAAGAGCAAAATGGACTGGAGGTGTGGCTCAAGCATGAAGCCCTAAGTTCAAATCCTGATCCCACCAAATAAAAAAAAAAAATAGAAAAGACAGGTACTAATTAGCTTTATCATTTAGAATCTTAGCTTAGGAAAAAACAGTTTTGTTTCATTTTGTTCTTTTTAAAAATTTTTTTGGATCTAAGAAGTGACAATTTAAAAAAATAAGGACAAACTTTTGGCCACTCTACACACTGCTGTGACCCAGATGGGAAGGGTTTTTTTCTTTTCCACACTGACCAATTCTCAGACATTAGGCTGAATTTGGTTTTCATACTTTCTACCTGGGGATAATGTCCGATCCCACAATTTGTTTGTTTGATTGGTTTAGGGGCTGTGTAGCTCAGGTTGGCCTCCAACTCAACATCTTCTTGCCTCCATCTCCTAAGTGCTAGAATTATAGACATGTGCCTGTAATCGGCTTCACATCCTGCAGTTTAAGGGCTCAGTCCCCAAGACTGCTTCAAGAACTTCATGTGTCGCCAGAACTTTTTTGTTTTGTTTATTTGAGACAAGGTCTTATTTTGTAACCCAGACTTGCTGGGAACTTGAGATCTTCCTGCTTTGGCTTCTGGAGTGCTAGAATTATAGGCATGTACCACCACATCTAGCTCCCGTCTCCATAACTTCTGACTGACCAGCTATACATTGGGGTTCCTGCCACACCCTCCTCTATTCAGTCATTTGTGAAAGTAGTTCACAAAACTCAGGAAAGCACTTTTTTTATGTTACCAATTTATTATAAAGAGTATTCAAAGGATACAGATGAACAGCCAGATGAAGGAGGTACATAGGGCAGCACATGTGGAAAGGGTCATAGAGCTTCCACATGCCCTCTTTGGGCTCACTGCCCTCCCAGCACCTCCTCATGTTCCCTAACCCAGAAGTTCTCCAAAGCTTCCTCACTCTACATTCTGTCTCCCCTTCTCAGGGTGTGAGGGTGCGATTGAAAACTTCTTATCATGGCTTAGTCTTTTTCGTGACCAGCTTCTACCTAGGAGTCCACCAAGAGTTACCTCATTCAAACAAAAGACATTTCTGTCACTTAGGAAATCCTGTATGCCTAGGAGTTCCGTGTTAGGAATCTGAGTCAAAGACCAAATATTAGAACAAAAGATGCACCCAGCCCCCGTATCACTTAGAGAATTACAGGAAATTTAGGAATGAGGGGCAAAGATATATATTATATCACAAAAACAGTCACCAAATATTCTTCTGAAAGGATCAAAATCTTAAGACCTGAAGTAGTATCTTGAATCATTAGTAACTTGGGGCCAGAAGTGTGGCTTAAGCCGTAGAGCAAGTCTGAAACCCTGAGTTCAAACCTCAATACTACTCCCCCCCCCTCCAAAAAATAGTAATTCAGGGCATGAAAGGGTATTTTTGCAAGGTAAACTTAAGCAAAATTTTAATTATCACAAAAACTAAATAAAAACAGTCACTGTTCAGAAAAGGACTTGGACTAACTTTCTAAAAACAAGTGATGAGGGGATATAGGACAGAGCGAGATGGTATCAGAGAACACTGGACATACATTGGTGGGGCACACTAAGCAGTATGTTTTTATCCAATTTGGAGTTGGAAAAGGAAGCTGACTCAAAGAAAGGAGAGAGTAGCAAAATCCAGAACCAGGCTTGCTACTTACATCATTTCAAAATGCCATTTAGTAAAGTGAAATTATAATGTTGAAGAAGTGAGTAAGTGGACTTGGGTTTACATTAATTGGTCATGATTTAAAGTATTTGTTCTCTTTAAATATTAGGATCACCTTTTGGTCTCAGCTTTTCTTAGTTAAGCATATCGGTTTTGTTAACTGGTGTTAATTTGTCTGAATTTAAGGGGATACCTAGAGTAGGAGGTTCTTTAAGCATCTGTAGTCTCCTAACAAGAGAAAACAAATTCTTCATATAATCTTGGGCTGATCATAAGTATTATATTTTTATTTTTAGTGGATCTTGTTTTTTTCCCTTCCTCTCAGCTATGGAATGTTTTATTTTCATGTAGTCTTTTCATTGTAAGATTTAAGTTCTGTGAATTTTTATTTATTTATTTAAGTGGAAGGTTATAATTCTTTGCATCCTGCGAAAAGGCACTCTAGTTCCTTCCTTAGGCAGGCACACATAGATTAGGTTATAAAGCATGACTGGAACTTTAGGGAAGGGTGCTCAAAATGTTTGCTTTTGGTTTAAGCTTGGTTACCACCTGTGGTTAATAAGCACACTTTGTCTTTTTAGATGACCATTTTGGCAGTTGAAAAGTTTAAAAAGAGGCACGTTTCCCTTCAAAAACTAATTATATCATCACCTCAGCTGCTGTGAAATGCAGGCGGAGAATTCTTGAGGCTTTTGTTGGTAAATCTAGGGGGTGCATAGAATGTGTGGCATTGCTATGTTTCTGTGGTTTAAGGAACCAGCTCTGCCTTCACACCAGGTTTCTAAGCTATTTTTCAAATCCACAAATGCTCATCTCCTGACTTAGAAGATGAGCATAATACTTGTTAGTGGCTTTAAATGTATGTGTTCCTTGAGTAGCTTTCAGAACTATTTTAAGAAGCCATGTTGCCTAACCATCTGTAAGACAGTAGATCATATCTCATGTGAACTTCATGGTACAGTTATGTTGTCATCCTCAAAGCAAGTAAAGTTTTTTTGTCTACTTTTAAGCCATTCCATTTTCATTTTTGTCTCTCCTGGTAGTACTTGAATACTGATGATTATACTAAAGTGTGGCTCTTTGGGATATTTGTTGTCTTAGTTAATATTTTATTAGTGTAAGGAGAAGAGAGAAAGGAACCAAACCTCTATTTGTGACATCTCTGCTAGAGCTCTAACTCATACTGTTTTCAAACTACCCACTCTTTACCATAATGCAAAGTTGATGGATTGTTCTTTGTTTTGGTTTTGAACTAAGGCAAAGGAAAGCATTTTATATCCTATAGCAATGAAATCAGAAGAAATAAAGCTTAACTGGAAGGCTTTAGCCAAGTAGCTTCTGTCTAGTTTTATAGGTCTTAATATCTTGCTCTGATGGCAGGCAGAAGATGATTCTTATTTAGGAAGGACCATGTATGTGGTCCAAGCACTGAAGTCCTAGTGAATAGTTGCACTGAAGGTGTCCTTGCTTCTCAAAGTCACAGAGCAAAATCATCCCTGACTTAGTGTTCTTTCATTTTGTAATCTTCTGAGTATTATTCTTTCACATAGAGTCCATGTGCGTTTTCTTCCATTTATTTTTAAAGAAATGTACTGTTTTAAAGTCTTAGCTTGTTGTACTATTTAGCATGAGAAAATGATAACTTGTTTCAGCTACTTTCCCATGACTAATTATTTCTAAAGTATAACCAAAGCCCCTTGATAGTCAAGTCAGTGATTAGGTTTTGGCCGCATTTTTGTGCCTTTCCTGTTCTTCCTACTTTGACTGTTAACAATAGCAAAACTTACGTAAGTGCACCAAACTACTGCTAACCATTTTACATAAAGAATTAGTTCAACTCACTTATTAAGATGCAAAATGTGTAGTATTGATAGACTTTTAAACAAATAACACTTGTATAAATGGGGTATAAAGTCCCTTTTTACTCATCCCTTCAGTCTCCTGGGGCACCATTAATTATATTTACCTAAATGTGTTTACCTGCCTTCAAAACCAAACTGTGCCTCTGCTGTTTTGGTTTGACTGTATAATTTTAAAAAAGTTGAATCCCCCTTTATTTGTATAGCTAGAATCCTTTGTGGATTCCAGTTTTGAGTAATCATCCTTTACAATTTGAACTATTAAATAATTCTTGTGCTCCTAAGTATTTAAAAGCTTTTTAATAACTTTCAATTAAAATTCTAAAAGTAATGGGTAAGAAAAGCAAGGACTGTGGTCAGATTTTAACTATAGGAATGTCAAGCCATCCTTCAGTAAGTTTTTGTTTGTTTATATGTTTAAATCATCTCTTAGGCTCAGTAGAAAAGAAGCAACAGAGAAGATCAATTAGGACTCGATCTGAATCAGAGAAATCCACTGAAGTTGTGCCAAAGAAGAAGATCAAAAAGGAGCAGGTTGGCTTCCTACATGTAGAGAGTTAAAGCATTGTATTTGTACATGTTGTGGCTTATCTTGGTATCCTAAAAGAAAGAGAAACTTTCCCACCCTGGGTTTCCTTTCTGGACTGTCTTAACTTCTGTTCTGATGGGTTCCAGTGCCCAGTTCCATTACAACCACCTCTGTGATTCTGCTTCAAGCATTTTCACGGAAATCAGTCAGGCTTCAGGAGATGGGAAGCCCATGCGAGACTCTCACAAAATCCCTCACATTTACTTTGAAATTTATGTTATAAGCACAATGATTTCATGTCTTCATGATTTTTATTTGGAACCATCATTGAGTTCCCCCACTTTTGTTTTTTAAATTTTGATTTTTTGTTTTAAGCTGCTGGTATGTATTGTTTTTATTTTTTAAACAAATCAAATTAATTTAACTTATATTCTTATATTTAAGAGGCAGATAATCATAGATGATCTGGTTTTTCTGTTGGTATCACAGATTTTTTGGAATGTTATTTTCCCAGTGGAATGGCACTCATCTGGTATCAGGTTGTCAGATAAACAATATTTAAATTAAAAAGGGGGGGTACATTTTGATTGAATGTGTTCAACTGGTGTAATCAATGTAGTAATATACATATTAAATTACCTTTTCAAAGAAAATTTTAGAAACCATTCTTTAAATTCACAATCAGAATTTTTCTTATTTTTTTTAAAGTTTAAAGAATATCCATTTTTATAGCCCAGACACTTGATATTAAAAATTCTGAATAGAATTAGTTTCAATAAGTTTTATATTTTAAAACCACTTACCATGGAAGAACATGGACTTTCCTGTTTAAAATATTGCCTTTATAATTTTAAACTTCCAATTTTAAAAGCTAACTTTGTGGGTGCTCTATGATATCACAAGCATGTAAAACAATTTTTCCAGACTATTTAACTAAAATTAAGTAATCCACTGATTTGTCATTCATTTATCATACTAACTTTCATACTTAGGAAATTCCAAAAAATCTTTCTAAGCTCTTGCAAATCTATAGTATTCGTTACCAAAGTGAAATTGTGACTTTGCCACCTGAATCCCAAATTCAGTCTGTGACCATTCAGTTTAAAATTAATAAGCAGAATGAGTACAAAAATGGGACAAATTGTGAATGCCACTGTGTTATATAGAGTTAGTCGTAGAATAATACCAGTGATTGTTTAGAAGATTTTATATTTGTATGACTAATTGTATCTTATAAAAAGCGTTTCTGTTGTATGTTTTTTACCTGTTGTAAAAAAATAAAAAAATTTTTTAAAAAGCTTAGAACAATCCTTAAATATTTACAAAATGTGTTTCAACATGCATATTTCACCACATCTTAAAAAACATGAAATTCAACTCATAGCTTAAACAGGAACTCCTCCAAACAGCATCCTTTCTCTAATTCCAGTGCTTCAATCCTCAAAAAATTACCACGTGTTTTACATATACATTGGCAGAATAACTTCTGATCTCGCTCTCCTAATGTAGGATCAAGACACTGTTCATAAGACACTCAAGAAAGTGCTTTTGCAATATCACAAACTTATTTTCTTAAGTTTGTACTAGCAGCAAAAGTATTGAGCTTCCAGCTGTATGGAGCCCTGTAGCACTCTCTACAGAGAGGGTCCTGATTCCCAGCAACTTAGCTGTGAGTGCAGGCGCGGAAGGGTCTAAAAGTGGCGTGAGTTACATTAACCTGAGTATCATAGTAAGTAAAAATTTATCCTAACGTCTTTGGGGCGGGAGGGGTTTATAGCAACATTGGGGCTGGTTGCAGAAACAACCCCTCTCCTGCCTCCCAGACACTGAGGAAAGTATTCTTATTCTCTTCATATTCCAAGGGCATGGTGGGAAAAGTCTGCAGTAGAGCATGTGGCCATGTGTTGTCACTTGGTATTCAGCACAGGCAACTAGGATTTAAACCCTCCCTTACTTTGAGACAGAGAACTTGACCCAGAAGATGGGACTGAGTTCAGATTTCAGATACATTGATCACTCATCATTACTTAGATTGATGAAAGCCTTATTTTTTCCCTCTTACTTAAAAGTGAAAAAAATTCCTTGTTAATGCTGTGTTTTTCTGTCTAAACAGGTTGAAACAGTTCCTCAGGCTGCAGTGAAGACTGGATTACAGAAAGGTGAGTTAAGATTATAATGTTGCTTTGCATTTTCTTGATTAAACCAAGTTTTAAGAACTACTTATTTATACTTCATGTATTTTTGTCTGTCTCTGTAAATCACTGTTGTTGCTCTTCAGTGTGAAATTGCAGTATTACCTGGTGTTTATGTGTGCGTGTGTGTGACTTTTAGAGTTGATCTTACTCTGTACCTCCACATGAAAAGTCCTATTTGTTTTGGTAAATTGGACAACACCTTGTAGACTTGATACTGTTTCCAACTTTTCTCCATAAGATTCTGAGGTTTCATTGGCTTATAAACTAGGGATGTGACGAATCCACTTTTTTTGGTATTCGACTGAATACCGAATAGTAGCTATTAATGTTTGTCAAAAACGGACAAATCATACAAGACAACTTGATTGAAAAAAATGTTGCCACACTTATTTTTACAGTGCTGTAAGACCTTTTTGTAAATTAAAATGATCCATAGCATATTTATGGCCACTAGATGACCATATGTGAGTCTATTTGAGATATGAACAAAATTTAAGAAATCTTAAACTTATATCTGTATTTTCTGTGTGCAATTTGACTACAGTACAAACTCTATAGCATGCTTCATGCTTTTTTGATGAGCTCAAACTGTATTTAATACCTGTAGTTTACTCTGGGCAAATTGCATTATTTAAAAATAAATAAATAAAATAAAACACCAGCCTCTCTGCATTCTCGGGGAGAAGTCTGCAGCGATGGTCTCCGTGGAGATCCTCAGCAGAACTGAACAGCCTCTCGGAGGGAACACTGCTTGGCGGAGCTCCAAGAAAAGACATCGCGATCGCTGCGAGATTAGGAGGCCTGATTGCGTTGTGTTTCCACCATTCCACAGGGTCGGCGGACCGGGGAGTGCAGGGCTCTGTCAGATTCAGTGACAGCTCCGTCTCCGCAGCGATTGAGGAAACTGTGGACTGAGATTCCTGTACAATTTCATCCCAGAAACTCCAGACTTGGAGTCTCCATGCAAGATTTCTTTGTCGGCGGCTCCATAAACAGTTTCTTTGTTTTCCATTTCAATTTTGCCAATCATCATTATTGGCATTCTCCTGCCTGGTTTCTTCTTCAAGACTGAACAATTGCTGTAACATTCAGATGATTTTTTTTTTTTTTTTCGGTCTGAGCTGGATGGGTACAGCTTAAATCATGGGTCCAGCCTAAAACCACCATTTAACTTACACTGATCAATTCCAACATGGACTGTTTTTGGGTTTTTTTGTTTTTAAATAAAGCATCATTAATGCACATCTTCAGGGTTTTGCCAAACAGCCCAAACTGTATACATTGCAATCATTAAAAGCTCTTATTTTTTTTAATATTAGCGCCGTTATGGAGAACAGTATGACAGCTGTCTTCAGCAGTCTGTCATTTTTCTAGCATTTTCAGAAACTCATCGGAAATGGCGGTACCTGTGTTTCCCTTCGAAAGCCTCTCAGTACAACACTCCTGTTCCTCTGTTAAACCTCCTTGTTAACCCAGTGATCTTTTAGGCCAAGGAAATATTTTGTGGTGGTGTTCTGGGTCCATACACCAGCAAAGAAGGAGATAGCTTTGTGTACTTGTGTTTTTTAATCAGCGTTAACATGGGCAGGCACCCTCATTTATAGCTGTCAGGAAGCATTCAGGAAAACCTGTAGGATGGGATGTGATAACGAGGTTCCAGTAACCTGAGCAGTCTCCCGAGGCCCACATCCTCCACCACAGAACATGGCTCTATACCACGTGCTGCTCCCACCCAGCCTGTTGCGGATCTTCATGGCCTCAGGAGACCTGTGTCTCCATGGTCTCTTCTGGACTCCACATTTCCACCATAGCTTGCTGGGCTGATCTAGATGTCTGTTTGTTGTATGGAAATTTTGGGGGAAAAAAAATCCAAAACATAAACTGTGGGTGGAAATATTAACCGTCTCCTTGGTTCCTTGGTATTCACCGTGCCTGATCTGCACATTTCATCGTGGCTGTTTCTGTATAGCCTATACTGCATTAGCCCAAGAGATTGTTGCTTTGTAACTTTTTGCACTATTGTTTTGGCTGGATTTGTATTACACACAGTTTTAAAAAAACGTCCACACTATTCTCTGCCTTTTTTTTCATATTTATTCCTTCCCGCACAAATTCCTCATTGAGGCCTCTCATCCAGCTCTTCGTGATTTGGCTGCACTTGAATACTGATTGTCCATTTACAACCCTCAGCAGTGTGCCTCCTAAATGGCATGACATATGTAGATGTGCTGCAGACCTTGTTCATGGTCACAATAAATGCCACTTCACCAAGGAAGTCTCAAATGAACAATTATGAACATCCAAAATTTATTTGGGGGGCAATAATCAACTGAATTGCAAAATTTGGGGGAAAATGGCACTATCCGTGTACGAATCGAATACAAATCAAAGATTTGTCACATCCCTAATAAAAACAAGATGGAGATGTCTCTGCAACCATATTTGTAAGCTACACAGTGTGTTGGGTTTTATGTCTTCCCCCTCCAAATTGAATGGTTCTTTGAATTGCTCCAAATCAATCAGCTATCCTGCAATTTTGATAGAACTGATCCTTAGGTTGGAACTTAGGCTCATTGATTGAAAATAGCATTAGAGCAGGAGAACTTAAATGTTTTAATAGAGTGATTGTAAATTAAATCACTACCAGGAAGGTCAGAAGGTTTTGAAGTTTTGACTTGCAACTTATTGTTACAAAGAGAACTGTGCTTTTTTTTTTTTTTCCACATTAGAGATGAGTTTGGGGAAGGAAAATATTCTCCCACACAAAAAAAAATTAAAACAACAAATTTTAAGTACTATTTAGGATTAATTTCAGTATGTTGTATTAAGGTGCCAGCGAGATTTCAGATTCCTGTAAACCTCTAAAGAAAAGGAGTCGCGCCTCAACTGATGTAGAAATGGCTAGTTCTGCATACAGAGACACATCTGACTCCGATTCTAGAGGACTGAGTGACCTGCAGGTAAATACGTACAAGGGTCCGGGCAGAATGATTTTTTCTTTTGCAGCGCTGAGGATAGAACCCAGGGCCTCATACGTGGTAGGTGAGTGCCATACCACTGAGCCATACCCTCAGCCCCACGAATGCTCTTTTTTGCTTTGTAAACCAAAGTAGCATAATGTTTTCACCTGATTTACTTGGGGAAACTAGGGAATTTTTTAAATACTCCGGAAAAAAATTACTTTGGTTATTTTGTAACTTATACATGTCTTTTTTTGTAGACAGGGTCTCACTATGTAGCTAGGCTGACCTTGAACTCACTGTGTAGCCCAGGCTTGCCTCAAACTCAAGATCCTCCTGCCTCAGCCTCCTGAGTGTTGTAATTACAGATGTGTACTACCACGCCTGGCTTTATATAGTCTTAATTTTGGATTATATATGGATCTCTTATATAACAGAATCATTGTTTTTAATTTTAACTACAGTTTCTCCCCAAATGGCAGGCATGTGGATGGGTTTTAGGAAGGAGAAAAAAAGAGGTGTGTCAAGATCTATTTGAGCAAGACGTACTAGGATTTTCATTGCATCTAACTTTGAGGGAAGTTTTGTGTTTCTTAAAAATGTGCTGTTTTCTACATAGGTAGGCTTTGGAAAACAAGTAGATAGCCCTTCAGCTACCGCAGATGCAGATGTTTCTGATGTACAGTCTATGGATTCAAGTTTGTCCCGAAGAGGCATCGGAATGAGTAAGAAGGACACTGTGTGTCAGGTAGGCAGGAGACTGAGCTTCTGCTGAAAGCAGTTGCAATCATATTCTGCTGATGACATGCTGGCCTCCTGTGGGAGAGGGCAGTGTTTTCTAAATTATGTTTAAAGTTATAAATCTGAAAGCCCTTTCTGGCTCTTACCTTTTTTCTCTAAGTTGGAATACTTGTTCAAATCCAAGTGCCAGTTTTCATTGTGATGTTGATTGTAAGTAAATAGAGACAATTGGTTTCAAAAACATTTTCTTAAAGTTTGAATACATATGAACTTTTAAAATGTATTTTTGCCCTTTTTGGAAAATACTGCTTTGTTCCATGAAGACAGGTTTTAATCCAAAGAAAGACTGTAAAAGATCAAGTATGACTTTTAAACTTTATGCCACACTGGGCACTGGACTAACTGTCTAATGGTTTGCCAGGGGAAGCCTGAGGCCAGCAATGCCAACTTCTCCATGATGCTTTTTAAAAATATAAAATCTACTGACACAGAATCTCTTCAGAGGAACCCAGCGACCTATATTTTAACAAGCCCTCTCGGTGACTGATGCCTGCTAAAGTTTTGAGAACTGCTGCTTTGTGTCATATTGCAGATCTGTGAAAGCTCTGGTGACTCTCTGACTCCTTGTGAGGGGGAGTGCTGCAGAAACTTTCACCTGGAGTGCCTGGGTTTGACATCAGTCCCCGATGGGAAGTTCATCTGCACGGAGTGTAAAACCGGTAAGCTGCTGTGAAGAGGGTAAGGAGAGGTGTGCCGTGTGGTAGCATCTCCTGTGACTCTGATTCTCTCATCACTTTTATCTGGGTTGTCTCCTCCCTTCCCCCATAGGTACTTCAACAAATTAAAACAACAACCAATGATTAACTTCCCAGGAACAAACTTCCTCCTACCAGTTTCTGTACCATGAAATCTAGCAAAATACCAGGATAAATTTGTGTTTTAGCTATAGAACTATGCAAAGAACATGATGTTGTTTTTCAGATGGGTTTGAGTTTTTTTTGTGCTCAATAAATTGGTTTAGTCCTTTGATTTTTGTAGACTAGAAGAAGTATCAATAAAACTATAATCATGGTGATTATAGTTTTATTGAGAAGATGGAGATATTGTAAACTTTATTTCAGACTTGTGACTCACCATTTATTTCTTATCCTGCTATACATACTACCACCTATCAAAATAGCATGCAGAGAAAGAAATAGGCTAGTTTGTTTTTTCTCCATGTAAACATGATTCTAGTTAAGCTCATGGAAAGCAGTAAGTAGTTGTTCAGTCTGAAACAAAATAGCAGGTAAAAACTGGCATGATACTGCTTCTAGGAAACATGTTTGTGTGTGGGAGGGGGGGTTGTTTTAGTTTTTCCTTGTTCTGTTTTAGCTCTGAGGAACTAAGAACCAAGTGGATATCAAGTATATATTGAATGCTCAGTTTTACTTTTGACTCTTCATTATTTCCTACTCTTTCCCCCCTTTATTTGATTCTTGAATTTATTCTATCTTGTTTCATTTGAATGTGTGCCTCCTATAATCCTTTAGACAAAAAGTAGCTAATTTTTTTTATTGACACTTACTAAATGCTACGTATTGTTAGTACTAAGCATTTTATACTATGATAGTATCATAGATGAGATACATTATGAGATAGGTATTATTATTATTTCCATTTTATAGAAGAGGGAAAATAGGGACTAGAGAGTTTCATTCCTTGGTAAGCGCAGGCCGCTGGACAACTCCAGAACCCTTGTTCTTTACCATCACCTTCTCCTGCCTTGGCTGAGTGAGATAGACATCACATGTGTCATGTATCCTAACACACACACACACACACACACACACACACACACACACACACTACAGATTAAGCTATAGAAGCTGTTTAGTGTACACAGTGCATTTTTCCTGTGTAAAATACTGAACTCATCACATTTAGTTATAAAAAAAACTCACAAGTTTTATAACTGATGTCTCTGGGTCAGATTATCCACAATTGTTTCATTTGGCCTTTAGAATGTGTTTTCATTTTTGAACATTTATCAGGTATGGCTTGCTGGTTCTTCCCCATCATTGCCTTTTCCATAAATCCTATTTCTTCAGTCACTTTGTAATCTACCTGGTCGCTTTAACAGTATGCAATCCCTGATTTGAACTATTGATAGAAGAGACCATGTGTCTCAGTCTTAAAACACTCATAGGCTTCTCTTCTAACTAGAAGCAATAGAATGTTGCCAACAAAGGTTAGATATAGTCTAATTTGGTACACAACTATTTGGATATTTAACAGGAAAATTTGCTTTAAAAACAACTACGTTGGACTCATGCTTCCTGATTTAAAAGATTACTACAAAGCTACAATAATCAAGACAGTGATACTACTGTAAAGATAGACATGACTAATGGAATAGCATAGAAAGCCCAGAAATAAGTACTTGTATATATGGTTAAATGATCTTTGACAAGGATGTTATGTGAAGACCATTCAAAGGAGAAAAGATGGTCTTTTCAACAAAGGAAGCTGGGACAATGAAGTTGGACTCTTACCTAATACCATAAATGAAAATTAACTCGAAATGCATCAAAGATCAAAATGTAAAAGCTAAAACTCCTAGAAAGAAGCATACAGGAAAAGGTTCCTGATCTTGGGTTTGGCAGTGATTTCATGGATATAACATCAATGACAAAAGGAAAAATGGACAGAAATGTACAAAAACTTTTGTACACCAACTGACGGTATCAACAAAATGGAAAGACAACACACAAAATGGGAGAAAATATTGGCAAATTACATATCTGATGAGGGATTAATCCCCGGAATATTTAGAGAGCTCCTTCAACTCAACAACAAAAACAATTCAAAATTGTGCAAAGAATTTGAACAGACAACAGACATTTCTACAAAGAAAATACACAGATGGCCAATAAGCACATGAAAATCTGCTCAACAATTAGCAATGGGGGAAGTGCAACTCAAAACCACAATGAGATGCTACTTCACACCCATTCGAAAACAAGTTTTGCCAGGATGTGGAAAAATTAGAACCCTTGTGTGCTATTAGTGGGAATGTAAAGTGGTACAGTGACTATGAAAAACAGTATGACATTTCTTCAAAAAATTAAACAAAATTACCATATGATCAAGCAGTTCCACTCTGGTATATACTCAAAAGAGCTGAAAGCAGGGATCCATGTTCACAGCAACATTTATTCACAATGGTCAAAAGGTAGAAACAAGCTGAATGTTCATTGATGGATGAATGGGTAACCAAAATGTGTGTGCAGACAGTAGAATCTTACTGTTTTATTTTTTGTGGTGCTGGGGGTTGAACCCACATGCTAGGCAAGCACTCTACCACTGAGCTACAACCACAACCCACCCTACAATGGGAATATTACTAGACCTTAAAAAAATTTCTGAGCTGGGCACTGGTGGCTCATCCTAGCTACTCAGGAGGCAGAGATCAGGAAGATTGCAGTTCGAAGCCAGACCGGGAAAATAGTTCGATACATGTTGTCTTGCAAAAACCCATCACAAAAGTAGGGCTCGTGAAATCGCTCAAGGTGAAGGCCCTGAGTTCCAACTGTAGTACCTGCTAAATAAATAAACAAATAAATAAATTTCTCATACATGCTGCAATATAAATGAACCTTGGATATATTATTTTGAGGATTAGTTTTTCAAAGATACTATGCTGAGTGGAAAAAGGGAGATACCAAAGGACAAATACTGTATGCTTTCATTAATATGAAGCATCTACAGTTAATCATTTTTTCCTTCTTAAAAAACTTTTAAAATTTATTTTTTATTTTATTTTTGGCAGTAGTACGATTTGAACTCAGGGCCTACTGCTTACTAGGCAGGACTTTACCAGTTGGGTCACATCCCTAGCCCTCTTTATTTTTATTTTAATTAATTAATTAATTAATTAATTTATTTATTTATATATATAGACAGGGTCCTGCTGTGTTGCCCAGGCTGACCTTAAGCTCATGCTCCTCCTGCCTCCGCCTCCACAGTGCTGGAATTACAGGCATGAATCTCCATGTCTGGCTAGAGTAAACTCCTAGAGTCAGAGAGTACAACAGTGGGGCAGTATTGGGATAGGAGGAAATGGGCAGCTGTATGAGTGTGGAGTCTCAGTGTGGGACAATGAAAACGTTCTGGGGCAGTAGGGATTGGCTACACAACAATGTGAATGTGCTTTCATGCCATTGAAGTGTATACTTCTAATAGTTGAATGTCAAATTTTTTACATATATTTTACCACAATTATAAAAAAACAAGTGCTTTGGAACCATTTAGTATGGCATAAAAATTAGTTTGGTACCAATTTGGTACATTTGTACCATATTAAGAGCTAGAACTCAAATTTTTAAACCACTGTTTGTGACATTTAGGCAAGTGTTTATCAAGAGATGAATACATGTTAAAAAAAAAAGTATTGCATGCCTAATAAATTCTTTTTAAAAATTTACCTGGTTTGTTTTTGTTTTTGTTTTTGTTTTTGTTTTATAGCTGTACTGCAGTTTGAACTCAGGGCCTTCACCTTGAGCCACTCCACCAGCCCTATTTTTGTGATGGGTTTTTGCAAGACAGGGTGTCTTGAACTGTTTTCCCGGTCTGGCTTCGAACTGCAATCTCCTGAGTAGCTAGGATGAGCCACCAGTGCCTGGCTCAGAAATTTTTTTTAAGGCCTAATAATATTCCCATTGTAGGGTGGGTTGTGGTTGTAGCTCAGTAGTAGAGTGCTTACCTAGCATGTGGGTTCAACCCCCAGCACCACAAAAGATAAAACAGTAAGATTCTACCGTCTGCACACACATTTTGGTTTTTTGATTGAAATCTAATTAGTTTTTGTTTTTGTTACTTGTTTTTTGAGACAGGCTCACTTGGAACTCACTATGTAGCCCATGCTGGCCTCAAACTACAGTTGGGCACCAATGGCTCACTCCTGTAATCCTAGCTACCAGGTGGCAGAGATCAGGAAGGTCATGGTTTGAAGCCATTCTGGGCAAATAGTTCACTAGACCCTATCTTGAAAAAACCCTTCACAAAAAAGGGCTGGTGGAGTGGCTCAAAGTATAGGCCCTGGGTTCAAGCTCCAGTACTGAAAAAAAAAAAAAAAGAAATTGCAAAAAGAATTCTGTACAGGACTGGCAGAGTAGCTCAAGTGGTAAGAGGCCCTGAGTTCAAACCCTACTGCCACCAAAACAAAATAAACATATAAAAGAGTTCTGTACAGATAATTTTACTTTTTTTTTTTTTTTTCCAGTACTAAGACTTCAGCTCAGGGCCATGCATTTGCTAGGCAGGGGCTCTGCTGCTTGAGCCACACCTCCAACCCTGTTTTGCCTTAGTTACTTTTAGGGTAGGGTCTCGCATTTTTGCCTAAAGATGACCACAGACTAAGATCCTCTTTATAGCTGGGATTACAGGTATTAATTGAAATGGGAGTCCCCCAGGCTGGCCTTGAACCTTAATCTCCTTAATCTCTGTTTCTCAAGTAACCAGGATTATGGGATTATATATACACTCCCAAAATTTACTGTTAGGTAATAACATTACCTCTAATGGCTCTTTTGGTAGGAAGCGGGACTGGGGTCAAAACTCAGGGCCTCACACTTGTACTCTCTACCAATTCAAAGTAAGAAGGGAGGATTCACATATTAGGGCCCAAACCTAAGTCTGAAAGAGATTTGATGGTTCAGTGCTCTGTTAGTCTAATACTTGCACTAGTAGGAACAATTTTTATTTTGATTATGTATATGAAAGCCTATTTTATTTTTACATAGAGTGTTTTTTGTATTAGGCAAAGCTGTAAAGTCTAACCTCCTACTACCTTTAAATATGTTCTTTAATTTTCTGCATTTGTAAGTTATTTTTCTTTTCTTTTTTCTTTTTGTTGTGCTGGGGATGGAACCTTGGGCCTTGCACATGCTGTGCAAGTGCTCTACCACTGAGCTGTACCCCTAGCCCTAAAAGTTATTTTTAAAAAATTCTGTTATCTTCATAACCATGTACATGTTAAAATGTAATTTGAAATTACACATATGCAACAGGGCAGCAACAAACCTTATTATACTTTATTTCTATAACAAAGCCAGTTTTAAAAAAAATTGTAAACATCACAGTTGTAAGTACTCATTTGAAAGAATTTTTATAATTCAACCAATTTATAAAGATTAGGTACTTCCAAAATCAAAGAACAGGTTTGCAACTGATCTAATTATCTGCAAAAAAAAAAAAAATTCCTCCAACCCAAACTCTTCCTTAATACTTATTTCCTTTATGACTTATGTAGGGATTATAAGAAAAATGGACAAAACACTTGAACATATCCCAAAAGCTGATGTTCACATGTCCAATGAACATTTGACAAGTTCGTTGTCATAATTTGCAATTCCTCATTTCTAACTGAGCATTTTGTTCACTCTTATTATCAATTCATGTCTCTTACTCCTTTATGTTTTACAGTGTTCTTATCACTTAACAGCATTTTAAGTTTATGTACAGAAATAATTTTATAATGGAATGTTATAATGTTATAAAAACACTTTAGCTCATTCTCTTCATGCCTTTTTTTTTTTTGGTGCTGGTAATGGAACTAGGCCTGGTACATGCTAAGCACGTGCTTTCCCGCTAATCTGCAACCCAGTCCTTAATCACCGTTCTTAATCTTAGGCCCCTATTTACTTCTAGCCCTCAGCAGAGTTGGCTATTGTTATCAGTTTGGTGGGTAGCCCAGCAAATCTTTATGGGTCTGTTGCTTTGTATGTCTAACGTTTTTGCATGTGTTCAATAAAATTGTATGGTACCGTTGTTCTGCAGAAGCTCTTTTTACGTCAAATGCAGTACATTCTATTTAACTGCTGCATAGTATTCTATAGTGTGCATGTATCCTTCCCTTAAGGAGGATATCTGATTGACTTTCAGTCGTTTGCAGTTACTAATTCCTGTTTGCTGCAGTCAATCTCCATTTCTGTGTAAAAGTCTTCATTAAGTATTTATGGAGAACTAGAATTTCTAGACAATAGGGAGTGACTGTGCTTTTATTGTGATGAATATTCAGTTATTCCTAAGGTAGTTCCTTCCATTTGAATCCTGCCTACCAGCAGTGTGAAAGTACCTTTTCCCTACACCCTTGTCAACAGTTAGTATTACCCAACTATTCTTCCTATTTCATAACTGGTTTCAGTTAGCATTTATCTGACTCCTAGTGAAGTTGAGTATTTTTTCATGTTTTTGGGTTGTTTCTCTTTTCATTCTTTGTAGTTGCCTGTTGATACTCTCTGCCCACTTCTACTTAGGGTGCTTTGTTTCTTTCGATACTGATTGATAAGTCTTTGTCTTATTAACTTATCTTTGCTTACATATGTTGTATATATTTTCTCCATATATAAACTCTTTATAGAACATAATATCCTTAGCCATTTTTGTTGCATATTTTCCACATCTGTTTTCTTTTTTCTATTTTTATCATAATTGGCATTTTTTTTTTCCTCTAAATGTTTGGCACATTCACCAGTGGAGCCATCTGGGCCTAAAATCTTCTTTGGAAAATATTTAATTACAGTTTCAATTTCTTTTAATAGTTTATAGAACTATTCATATTTTCAATTTATTTTAGTGCCAGTGTTAGTGAGTTGTTTTTCTAAGAATTTTTCCATTCATGTAAATATTCAAAGTCATTAGCAAAAGTGTGGTGACATCCTTTTAATATCTTTCGAGTGTTTGTAGGATTTGTAGTGATGTCCCATTTTTCATTTCTAATATCATAAATATTGGTGACTTTTTATTATTCATGTCAGGGATATTTGTGATACTAGTTTTATTAATTTTCTCAAACAATATAGGCATCTTTCTCTCTCTCTCTCTCTCTCTCTGTCCCCCCATCCCTCCCTCTCTCCCTCTTTCCCTTTGGTTTTTGTTTTGTTTTGTTTTTCAGAAGGGGTTGGCAGTACTGGGGTTTGAATTCAGAACCTTGCTAGGCAAGTACTCCACCACTTGAGCCATATCCTCAGCCCTTTTTCCCTTTTAGTTATCTTGTGTTTTTTCCAAAATGGGGGTCTCACATTTGTGCCTGGGTCTGGCCTCCTAACATGAACCTTCTACCTCTGCCTCCTTAGTGGCTGGAATTATAGCAACATGTCCAACTTGAGTTTTTTGAGATAGGTTCTTAGTAGGTTTTTGTGGCATTTTTTTGTTTTTTTGTTTTTTTGCTGGGGCAGGCTGGCCTTAAACCACAATCCCCTCATCTCTGCCTCCTGAATAACTGGGGTTATAGGCATATGCCACCATAACTGGCTGTATATCAAATTCTTATATGTAATGGTAGACCTCCTTTCAGGAGCAACTCTTTGATGTCTATAGCTACTTCTATCTAAAAGGATTATGCAGCCAAGCATGGTGGTACATGCCTATAATCCTAGCACTCAGGAAGCAGAGGCAGGAGGATCATGAGTTTGAAGCAAGCTTGGGAGTTCAAGGCCAGTGTGAGCTACATAGCAAGATCTGTCCCAAAAAACCAAGCGTTATGGATGTGACTAGTTGTGGAGTGCTTACCTAGCATGTGCAAGTCCCCAGCACTGTGAATGAATGAATGAGTAGAATATGTTTCAATTAAATTTTATTTGACCTGTGTTCCTCACCAATCTTCCAGGGCAACACCCATGTTTTTCATGTAAGGTGTCTGGTAAAGATGTGAAGCGTTGTTCTGTTGGAACATGTGGAAAATTTTATCATGAAGCCTGTGTCCGTAAATTCCCTACTACCATCTTTGAGTCAAAAGGATTCCGCTGTCCCCAGCACTGCTGCTCTGCCTGCTCTATGGAGAAAGATATCCACAAAGCAAGCAAAGGTAACACCGAGCCAAAGAGGGAACAAAGATTTTTGTTTGAAGTACAATGACAGATAATAACATTATTGTAAACAGTATTATGCATTCTCCCCATCTCTAGTTTTAAAACCTCAACAAACATGTTAAGTAGGGATTAAGTTGCAAATTCAGAACATGGAACAAAAATTTCACACATTCAAAACTACTCTTAAAAATCCCTTAGTGTTTTCCCTACTCCTCCCCGCCCCCCAAAAAAAGAAGCAAATCCTGTAGGCACCATTTTAGATTATCAGCATCTTTCCAGCATTGGAACAGACTATGTTTTTCCTTGAATAATCTCCAAATGATTACTAGGTTTGCATTCATTCATCATGTTATAGGAATGATAGAACCAGGCCAGTGAAGAAATACTAATTTATAGTTACTCTAATATCACATGGGAACCCAAAAGAGACCAACTCCAAAAGTCTCATGTCCCTTCCTGACATGTCTTTGCACAGGACGCATGGTGAGATGCTTGAGATGTCCCGCCGCCTATCACTCTACTGATGCTTGCATTGCTGCTGGAAGCGTATCTGTGTCCTCCTACGCTCTGATCTGTAGTAATCATTCCAAACGGAGCAGTAGTTCTGCCGCTGTTAATGTAGGCTTTTGTTTCGTTTGTGCCAGAGGTGAGTTGTCAACCCTTTCTCTTTCTTTCCTCCTCAGTTCATTGGCATATTTCACCCATTAACTTAAGCCTCTGCATTGGGAAAGAACTCAGGCCATCTAGTACAATCTCCTACTCAGCATTCATTTCCATTCTGTGATGTCCCTGAGAGAGGTGAACATTTCCAAAAGTCCCTTCTTTAAATTTAATTCATTCATTAATTTGCTTTCTTACTTAAAGACAGGGCCTCATAATGTAGCTGAAGCTGGCCTAAAACTTGAGATCCTCTTGCCTCAGCCCCCCAAGTGTGCAATTACAGGTGTGTGCCACCGCACCTGGCTAATAATCCACTTTATAATATTAAATAACCACATTGTTTCAACAGTAATTCTTTCATAAGCTAAGCTAAAATACTCATTTATCTTGGCAGTGGAAGACCACTTGCCAAGCATGTACAAGGCCTTGGGTTTGATCCTCAGTACTGCCAATATATAAATAAAAATAACTTAGAATTATAGATACATTCCTTCTATTTAGTATTTCTATTAATTAAAACATTAGTCTGTTCTACAACAATTTTTCTACTCAAAGTAATTTCTTCCTATGTCATCTTCTTTATTTTTACTTATTTATTTTTTGGTGGGACTGGGGTTTGAACTCAAGGCTTCATACTTACAAAGCAGGTGCTCTACTACTTGAGCCATACCTCCAGTCCATTTTGTTCTGGTTATTCTGGATTTGAGGGTCTCTCAAACTATTTGCCCAGGCTGGCCTCAAACTGTGATCCTTCCAATCTCAGCCTCCCAAGTAGCTAGGATTACAACAGTGCCCGGCTTCCATGTCTTCTTTAACTGGGAACTTTCAACTGATTGGGATTTTACTTGTAAGGCAGGAGTAGCACATTTGTTTTTCAATCAATTGTGTTGCGTTTTATGATGTTTTGATCTGGCATTGAGAGGGCCTGGTGGAACACAGCCAAGGCAACAGATGTGGTGGTTTAGTTAAAGAGTCAGCAACATAGGCGTTCTTACTTGCCAGCTGTTGATACTTAAGTATGCCAAGAGCTGGATCAACCAAAAACAATATTGTCCCTCAGGTGCATCAGTGAATTTGGTACACATAAAACAGAACTTTTTTATGTGTGTGGTGCTGTGGGTTGAAGCCAAGGCAATGTGCATGCAAGCAAGCACTCTACTACTGAGCTACAGTCCCCAGCCCCTGGAACTTCTTTAATTGACTATGATAGACAGTATCCAGCTTTATATTGGTGATATTATAGTGAAAATTTTTTGTAATTAGTAAGCATTATAGATATCAACTAATTCCCACAAATACTGTTTTTGTTTTGTTTTTCAATAAAACTGCTAAGTTTTCTACGTTTGCCTCCGTGTGAAATATTTGAAAGGACTCTGAAGTGTATCAGGCCTGTTAGATTATATTTAGACTATACTGAAGATGAAAGCTATTTTGTTACTAGACAGCTAATTTGGTGAAAATACTATTGAATTATTTTTTTGTGATTTTTTTTTTTTTTTTAAAGGATGAGGTGTGTTACTCAGGCTGTTCTTGGACTCATGGACTAAAGTGATTCTCCCACTTCATTCTCCCAAGTAGCTAGGACTTACAGGCATGTACCACTATGCCCAACTTATGAAACTATTTTTAAAATAGAATTTAGGTAGAATGACAGATCTTAGATTGTTTTGCTTTTGTATCTCTCATTTTAAAATATTAACTTAGAGGAGGTAGACAGTAAGAAATTAAGCAGTTGTCCTTTGTATAGTAGCCAGCAGGGTTCATTGTAAGCATGGCCATTTGCTTGAGACTCAAGCACACATGCTGATGCCATTGGAGTGGGAAGCACTGTTTTTCTTTACTAGAGCAGTTCCAGCTACAAACTTCTCTGAAACCTGGCTGGTACTTGGAGGCGTATGGCTGAGGTGCTTCATGCCACGTTATTACAGGTAGCAGAAAGGATTCATATAGGCAAATAATACGTAGAAAGCCGTGCCTTTCCCAGCTTCCGAGGAGAGTAATGATGGGAAGGAATTATTGAATTATCAATTGAATGCCTGGCTTTGGACAGATGAGTGAAAATAACAACATGAAGTCAGTCATTGCTTTGCAAGTCCTTTCTATTCTACCATTCCTATGCACTTTACTGACATTGTATAAGTATTTATAACTTGGCCAGAATTTTAAATATCAAGTTCATATTGGCTTATTTTGGGATACACTCTAAATCTGGTTCTATCAGTATATTAACCAATATTTCCTTTTGCTATATTTCATTCAGTTGACTGCTGAAGAGGTTTAAGAAGTAGGATACCTGCTTAGCAAGTATAAGGCCCTGAGTTCAACCCCCAGTACTGCCAAAAAAAACCAGACTTATATTTCATTCATTAATTGGGAGACCTTTGTTTTCAACTTAGCACAAGTAGAAAATAGCCCATATATAGAATCCCTAGCCATTTTGTTAAATTTAACTTGTAGCCATTGATAAAATGCTTGAGAATAATGTAAAGGGGGACAATCCCATGTTTTAACAACAGAATCTGTGCTTATATCTATCAATTTGGCAAATATTCTGAAAGATACAATATATTTAAGTGTCTGTTTAATGGAGCTTATTTAATTCTCAAATATTTTAACTGTGAAACTGCAATAAATAGAAACCTTCATTTTCCTTTCCAGCATTTGACAAAAACTTACTCTAAGTACATCAGATGTTGTGATTTGAAGTTTAAGTCAAAAGTCTTTTTGAGAGGGCTGGTGGAGTGGCTCAAGTGGTAGAGCTCCTAGCTAACAATTGTGAGGCCCTGAATTGAAACTCCAGGACCTCAAAAAAAAAAAAAAGTTTTTCAGAAATATTATGAATGTGTTCTTTTCTTTTTTTTTGGTGGTACTGGGGTTTGAACTCAAGGCTTGCTAGGCAGGCGTCTACAACTTGAGCCACACCCATGCCCTTTTCGCTTTAGTTATTTTTCAAATGGGGTCTTGTGCTTTTTGCTCCGGCCATCCTCAAACTGCAGTCCTACTACCTGCATCTCTGTAATAGTAGTAGTATAGGCCTGAAGTACTACTCCTGACTTATTTGTTGAGATGGGGTCTTTCCAAGTTTTTTCCCAGGCTGATCTGGAACTGCTGTCCTTCTCATTTAGGCCTCATGAGTAGCAGAGATTACAGGTATGAGCTACCATGCCCAGTTATGAGATCACCTTTTTAAAGAAACCTAACCATAATAAAACCACACACCAAAAGAAAGAAAGAAAGAAAGAAAGAAAAAATGACATTTTATCTGGGGGTGTAGCTCAAGTGGTAGAGTGCCTTCCTAGCAAGTGCAAGGCCTTTACTTCAAACCCCACCCCCAGTAGCATACACACAGAAAATTTCTGAACAACAGAAAGACACTTTTATCATTTATGTTTTGATATTAGAAAACTTAGCTTATTTCACGTTTCTTGCTTCATTCAGAATTGTCTTCTTGTAAAAGATTTTTCTTTATTGGATAATCATTATGCTATTTTTAAGGACTGAAATGTCTAGAAGTATGTCTAGAGGTTTCAAGGTTTCGATGATTATTCTCATTCTCTCTCTTTCTCTCTCTTTCATACACACACACACACACACACACACACCACACACACACACACACCCAGTCAACTCGAGGTGCCATAGGAAATACTGAGGTACTTTTCACTGTACTTTTTCATATGCGTCTGTCTAAAGGGTAGTATAAACTAAAAGTTACTTATCATTCTGTGCCTTTCTTTTTAAGAGTAATTTAAAGTGGAGCTGTTAAGTTAGGGTTTTCTTTTCATTTTGATGGTAATAATAGAAATCTATTTTGCATATATTAATCAAACTTACTAGACACAATTTGAAAGACTTGCCATGATTGTCCTCAGTAGTCATTTCCCCATTTTACATGGATGAGCACACAGAAGCCCAGGTGAGATAGTTGACCTGAGGACACAAGTTGTTGAGTAGAAAGAGCTGCATTTGTACCTGACATTTCCTATTTCGAAGCCTAATTTTTTTTTTTGAAATGCACTATACCACCTTCTATTAGTGTATAAAATCTGTTTGGACATTACATCGCTTTTCTTAGAAGATACTTATGTTATTAGCTATGTCAAGTTCCATCCTATCATCTGGGTCAAAGGCATTTCTTGAATATATCTCAGAGAGGGCAGCATCAAAGAAGATAACATCACAGGAAAAATAACTTCCTTCCCCACAAAATGATCTCAAATGAAATTGCTTTTGTGAGCATTGCAGTCCTAGACCATTGTCAACTAGTAACCAAGATGAAAAGTTTTCCTTGGTCTTACAGTTGTCTGAGTCCAGGAGAGGCTTATAGGTAAATTAGAAACTTAACGGGGAGAAGGGAGAGGAGGAAAAGAGAAGGGGATCACTGGTGGATTACAGTAGATCTGTGTCTCCCTTCACATGGGATAGCTGTATTGATAGATCAAAAAGATTGCTTCTATAAACCCTTAAATTAGTGATAAATTTATCATGGCAGCAAAAAAAAAATTAAAATGGTTTGTATTACCTTAGGAAATTACAGCTCCTTTAAAATCATGTACCTTAATGGTGGAGAAAGTTTTATTATCTGGCAGAGAACGATAAAATTTGAGTGTATCTCAAGATATGAATGGAGAAAAGGAAAGATTCAAGCCTGCCCTTAAGTGTTGTGTGATATGTTGAAGATAGATCAGTCATGTAAATGATTCCTCTTCTCACTGATGCAGTGATGCTTCATTTTGTTCTTTGGGTTGTCATCACCATACTTCTAAATGTTAAGGAACGTAGCTTTGTTTTCCTTTTGGAGTTTTCGTTATTCTTCTGGTGTTTTCAGTGTGATGTCAAATGCCATGTACATATTCAAATTATTTGAGGTTTTATTCTGCAATGTAGAGGTTTCAGTATAGGGATGGACAAAGCATTGACTGGCTCACATTCCCTTTAGTAACTGCAGAAAGTCTTTCTGTCAGATCTTTCTTTTTCTTCATATCCACCCTCCAACCCCAACTTTAAGGCCCAGCTGCATAGTAGATGTTGGTTTATTTTTTCCTCCTGGAATCATGGGTAGTTTCATTGCAGCTCATCTCTTTCTGTTTGTTTCGTATAGGGCTGATAGTTCAGGACCATTCAGACCCCATGTTCAGTTCATATGCCTATAAGTCCCACTACCTACTGAATGAATCAAATCGTGCTGAGTTGATGAAATTACCTATGATTCCTTCTTCGTCAGCTTCCAAAAAGAAATGTGAGAAAGGTAATAATCAAAATAGTTTATCTCTTGCTTTTATTTTTGCATTTCCTATTTTTTTCTCTTTAAATAAAGGGGGAAAATGTATGCCTGTCAAGCCCCATCTGTTGCTTTTGGTAAATTCTGCCTTGGTGGTTGTGACTATGTCTTCATATGGCTGCAAAATTATTAAAAAGGGCTTAAAATAATTCTGTTATTATAAATTTTTACTTTTCTCCTAGAGTTAATTTCACACATTCCAAATATGTAAGTTACTAAAATAGACTAGGACTTTGTTCAATATAAAAGAGTATTTTAAAGACTCTCTGTTTTCCTGATGTAGAACTGTCATTCATGTTAGAATAGAATAAACATTAATATAATTTGTTATTAACTGCCAATTAAATAATAAGATAGGTAAATAAGAGAAGGAAACCAAGATACAAATACTTAAAAGTTTGGATTTAGAATGCATTCTGTCATTTTGTTTCTTAAATGTTTTGCAAAGATGCTATGAAAAACCAGTGCCCTTCCCTTAAGAGACATTGGTGGGAAGCTAGGGGTGTGGGATACACCAAATGCTAGATGTTGGAAGGCAGCCCACCTGAATTACTGATCCATAAAAAGCCAAGAGCTACATGTATATTTATATTCTCCCAGTTAATTTCATCTCTGGGAAAAAAAGCTTTATCTGTATTTAGCTTTTCATAGTATACTTTTAATCCAGGAAAAAAATGGCTTAACAATAATATATTATTTGGGGAATTATTAACCCAGAGGAAGAATCAGTGAGCTTGGAAGGTAGAGGCCTTTTCCTATATACATTCCTATTATGATCTTTGGGCCAGGTTCAGAATCTGTAAAGAAAAATTCATTCCTACCTAATGTATACCATATATGTATACTAGGTATATGTGAAATGGGCTTTTTTTTTTTTTTCTTCCATTCTTTGTGTTGCCTCTTTGATGTATCTGTGGTCTTGTCAGATATCTGAAGTGGCAACTTGTGTAACTAGGCAAGTTGATTAGAATCCACTAGAAGTGTTGGAAAGAATATTGGCTTGTTTGTTTCTTTTCCACTGAGCTCAGATTATTAACCTTAGTGGTGATAACCACCTGCTTCCAAAAAAAAGATGGACATTATTCCATAATGCTATAAAATTATCTGAGGTTTTTTTGGAAGTACTTTATTTTCCTGCTGGCGCCTTTATAAGATTAGGTTAATCCAATTGTTGCTTTGTTTTCAGCACTTGTTCTTAACCTTGACATGAATTGAAATTATTTTGAGCCCTCTGCTTAGCTTAAACCATGTCAAATCCTAAAGCAGTTTTCTTGCATAGCACCAAGGTAGATCATTCATATTTTAATTTTTTCTACTTCCCTTTGTATTTTTAACATCTGTATCATGGTGATTTTCATTGATGATTCTGGCTCTGTATTTCCTCTGAAACAAGACTTAAAATTCAGTAGCATTCCTTGATGTTAAAGATGACCCGACTGACTTCCATGTCAGTGCCAGTGACCTCATATCCTCTAACGCTGTTTGTGAAGACCATTCTCCCTAATGGGAGGGAAAGTGAATAATCTCATTTTACTTTAAACTTACAGAAGGATTCTCTGCCTAGATTTAAAGCATTCAGGCAGCTAATCTTTAGGCTAGAGAATTGAACCAGTTAGTTCATATTGAGATCTACAGTTAAAGGAAAAAGTCCTGATGATTGAAGTAGAAGCTTTTGAACAGAGGAAATATAGTAATTTAGGTCATCACTGGTTGTATATAGATTTTCTTTTTTGTTTTCAGGTTAATCAGTTAGAAATTTGAAAGTCTACAGGAAGACAAGGTTTTCTAGAAAATTGGTAGCAAACCCTCAAAAGGTTGGAGCACGTAATTTTCTCAAGTTGTAAAAAGGGCTCTTAGCCTTTTTGCTTATGAGACTTTAAATCTCAGTAATCTCTTGAGTTATAGAGGTAGTTTTCCAATGGAAAGGTGAATTTTTTGTAGTAAATATCTTTATTATATTCATTTTAAGTAACTGAGACTGAATTGACACTTGTTGAAATACTAGGTATAACTAATCCCATAAAAAATGATTTCGTTTCTTTGCATTTAAAATATTTTATTTGCCACATTTGTTTTCATATTGATACAGATCTCATTTTCTGTATTCAAAAGGACAGGGTTTTAATAGGAAGTTCAGAGGGATGTCCTGCCTATGGACCTACACTCTGCACTAGTAATTACTTACCTCAATGCTATATAGCAGTGGTTCTCAATATTAAATCAAAAAAGACTTACAGAAACAAAATTTTTGAACTAGTTTGGAAAATCTAACTGAATCACACATTTGTACAAAATAAGGCTGCATGAAGTTCCTTTATATTTGGCTATGATTTTAACAACACAGAGTGATAATACTTGCTTTGTATTGACTCTTTGGTGTAGTTATATTTTTGGTTATTAAAAATAGGGGAAATTGTTACTATTGAAATGCGATTTATTTTTGGTTGATATAATATTTGAAAACATGTAGGTTCACGTAGAGGAGAAAGGGAATCCTTGGTTATGAAAAGTTTTAAACCACTGCTGTATATCCTGTTTGACTTTCTGTCTTCAGATCATCAATTTGCGAATCTGTGTTCCTTTTTTGTATCCTCTTATGAGAAGAAAAAAGTACTGATCAACCTATTGGCTATTTCATTCTTGCTAATTTTATTGTAAAGGGATTTAGTTAATTGTGGCCCTGGATTAAAATACAAAGATGACGATTGCTTTCTTTGTTAGCTCTGAAGCACAAAAGAAAAATTGCTACTTATTATAACTTTGAACACCTGCTCTCAGATCTACTCAGTCTAAAGATTTTGTGCATCTGTCTTGTGATATCTTAGGATACCTTGGTAGCCAATATTTTTAGAGGAGTAATGAGTACAGTAATGCTTTTGATGCTACTCAAAAACTCTGTAAACTTTCTAGCCACTGAAGTCCTAAAAATAGCTAAATATTTTCATTTGTTTTCTATTTTAATCCATCACTATAGATTTGACTCAATCCCTTTGTTATTTCCCCCAATTTGAATCAAATGTAATGCACTTGAAAGATAACTTTCTCCTCTTTCTTTTTCTCTTTCCTCTTTTCTCAGTTATTAAGACTGTTTGTTTGTTTCAAGGTGGAAGACTGCTCTGCTGTGAGTCGTGCCCAGCTTCCTTTCACCCGGAATGTCTGAGCATAGACATGCCAGAAGGCTGCTGGAATTGCAATGACTGTAAAGCTGGCAAGAAACTGCATTACAAGCAGATTGTGTGGGTCAAATTGGGAAATTACAGGCAAGTTTTCCAAGGACAAAAGGAAGTAGTCAGTCATTGTTCAGACATTGATAATGTGGATGCACAGTAGCCAGGAGACAGGCAGAGCAGCACAGGCCTGCCTCCCTAAAAACAGACAAGGAAAGAAGCAGGTTTCCTGTCTAGGTTGGTAGGGCTTCGGGAAGCTTATGTTGTTGGAGTTTTTCTTTTTCTTTGGGATTGGTTGTTTGCCTTTGTTTTTAGGTTCTGAAAGTTATTTTATACTACTGAACTGTACCACTAGATTTTGTAAATGGTGGAGATGTTTTCCTTGTGTATTAATTAGACTTATATTGATTTCTGATTTCTAATAAGATCGAGTTTATAACCAGGTCATAATAGCTCTCTTTGGTCTTAAATCTGGCTTTTTTAAATCTAGAAGCCCTAAACTGTGTATAAAGAGAGAACTTTTTATAATTTAAAGAGAGAGAGTATTCCAAGAACATTTAATCCTTTTTCTTTTTTGGAAGTACTAGGGTTTGAACTCAGAACCTTCTACTTACTAGGCAAGGGCTCTGCCACTTGAGCCACATGCCCAGACCTTTTTTGCTTTAGTTTTTTGCATAGGATATCACATTTTTGCCTGGGCTGGCCTTGGACTTTAATCCTCCTAACTATGCCTCCTGTACACCTAGGATTATAGTTATGTATTAGTACGCCCAGCTTATTTGTTGAGATGGAGTCTTACTAACTTTTTGCCTGGGCTGGCCACTGTAATCCTCCTGATCTCTACCTCCTGATTAGCTGGGATTACAAATATAAGCCACTTTACCCAGCCTGCTTTAGTTATTTTTTCAGATAGGGTTTTATGCTTCTGCCCAGGGCTGCCCTTGGATCACCAGTCCTCCTACTTACGTCTCCTATGTTGCTGGGATTACAGGCATGAAGAACCATGGCTAGTTAAAAAGAGAGGGTCTTTTTAACTTCTTAACCCATCCCTTTGGCTGGCCTTGAACTGAGATCCTCCCAACCTCTGCCTCCTGAGTAGCTGTGATTACGGGTGTGAGCCACCACACATAGCCAAGCCTTTAGTTCTTAAGGAAATGAAATAAGAACCATATGTGATTACTGTTATTTCAATGAAACTTCTCCTTTTAAGGCTTTTATTTAACAGGCTTTCCCTGAATAGGTATACTGATAATTTTTAAAACTACATTTTGAGGCAGATAGTTTTAGAGTTTAACAGAAGAGTTCTATTAGAATCCTAAGCAATTTTTCTAAAGAATTTCAACTGTATTGTAATTTTGTTTTTTAGCAAGAGCTATGTTGTTTTCTCTGTTTTAAATATGCTGCTTGTTTGCTTATTTTAATTTAAAAACTTTGTTTTTAGCCAGGTGTGATGGTATGCATCTGTAATTCCAGCACTTGGAAGGTGGAGGCAGGAGGATCATAAGTTTGAAGCCAGCCTGAACTACATAGTGAGAGAGATCTTGTCTCAAAAACCCAAGGTCTGAGGATGTAGCTCAGTGGTAGGGTGCTTGCCTATCATGTGCAGGGCCCTAGTTACATCCTCAGCACCACAAAAAAAAAAAAAAAAAAAAAAATCAGAACAGCAACAAAACAAAAAACCTTTGTGTTTAGGTGAGATCAGGGGCCTTAGGGACCCGGTCCCCCCCCCCACTCCCCACCTTGTTCTTTTAAAACAGCTAAGTCCTTGAAAAAAAAATGGTAGTTTGAATACATAAATAATTTTATTCTGTGTGACAAAAGGAAAATGTCAAACTGAGGGAAAGTATTTGCTCTTCTATCTTCAGTAGCCAAACACAAATACCTCATTAGAAAAAGAGGCAAAGAAGAGAGACAGTTTGTAAAAGAATAGGAAATAATCACAGAAAAAAATGCTTGGCCTCACTAAAAATAATTACACCATCAAACAGATTTTTTTTTTGTTTTCAGTTAACAGATTAGTAGGGTTTCAGATTAGCAATTTTGTGACCAGTGAGGATGTAGAGAAAGGAATGTGTGGTAGGTAGTCTGGTATCACGTATTAAAACAGTGCTCCCACTTCAGGGAGTTGTGTAGGGGAAATTGACTAAGCTGGGTGTGGAGGTGCACTCCTATAATCCCAGCTCTCAGGAGGCTGAGGAAGGAAGATCTCAAGTTCAAGGCTAGCCTGAGCTAGGTAGATCCTGTCTCAAAAAACAAAAACAAAAAAAGAAGAAACAAGCAAAATGTATTTACTGCAGTGTTATTTTCAGCTGCAAAAATCTGAAATGACCTGTGTGTTCAGTCAGTAGGGATTCATCACAAATTCCAGCATATCTGTATTGTAGAACAGCATGAGCCAATAAAAAGATAAGAATACAAATTTGTACAACAACATGGGAGGAAGCCTATAATGCGTGGCTGAGTTTTGAAAGCATATTAAACACGGCAGTTATGTTTTCACAAGTGTATACAGTTTGGTTTGGGGTTTGGGTTTTTTTGAGACGGGGTCTTCCTATGCTATGTTAACAAGGCTGGTCTCAAACTCCTGGATCAAGGGATCCTCCTGCCTCAGCCTCTTGAGTAGCTGGAACTACAGCTGCACACCACTGCACCTGGCCTTATGCAACTTTGAAAAGATGTAGATATGGGTACAATGCATTTTTAAATGCTTGGAAAGAAATTCACCTAAAGTTAATAGACGCAGGGATGAGATTACAAGTAACAAGATTTTTATTTTTCTGTTTCTTTGTTTGTTTATTGTGGTACTGGGGCTTGAACTCACGGCCTCATGCTTGATAGGCAGGTGCTCTACCACTTGAACCATGCCCCTAGCCCTTTTTGCTTTAGTTATCTTTCAGGTAGAGTCTTGCATTTTGCTGGAAGCTGGCCTCAGATGATGATCCTCCTACCTATTCCTCCTGCATAGCTGGGATAATTAGGCATGTACCACCATGCCTAGCTTATAGATGGAGATAGGGTCTCATTAGCTCCCCCTTCCCTATCACAGGCTGACCTTGGGCAGCCTGTGATCCTCTTGAGCTCTACCTCCCAAATAGACCAACTTTATTTTAATTTTTAAAGTATTATTTAAATAATTGTACTTAAGAGCTATTCATACTTCTGAGGCAATGCGATGTCTTTCTGTGTTTTATTTTATAAAAAAAACATATACTACTTTTATAATTTAAAAAATATAAATCTTTCTGAGGTGGGGAGGGGTATACAGTTTGACATGGATAAGACATTCCTGGATAAGGAATACCTAAATAGTAGACTGGTGCAGCAGCTCAAACCTGTAATCCTAGCTACTTAGGAGGCAGAGATCAGGAAGACCACCATTCAGGTCAGCCCAGGCAGAAAAGTGAAATCATATTTGAAAAATAACTAAAGCAAAAAGGGTTGGCAGTATGACTCAAGTGGTAGATGATTGCCTAGCAAGCACAAGGCCCTGAGTTCAAACACCAGTACCACACACACACACACACAAAAGTAAAATAAATAAAATGATAAACCAACCTGAATAATATAAGAAGCCTTCTTTTCTCTCTCTCCTTTTCCTTCTCCTTCTCCCCCTCCTCCTCTCTCTCTGCTCTTGAGAGCTTAGATTAGAGGCATGTCCAGCTTGAAAGTATCCTGTAACTTACGTTTAACATTTTAAATTTAATCACATTACATTTAAGGAAGTCCAGAGCAGTGCTCCAGGTCAGTTCATAGCCCAATGAGATTTTTTTTATCTAGGTCAGATTGTTCTTGTGTTTTGGAAGGACTCCTATCCAGGAACTAATTCACAATATATTTCTTTCTAATCAGGCCCATTGGGGCCACATGAGGCTGTTTATTTTCAATAACTACTAACTCTGATATGTTGCTGCCTGGAGGGAACGTGATGACCTGGAAGAAGCCCTAGCAGAAAGTGTGCCTCTTCCTAACTAGCACACGTATTTAATCACCTTACGTGGAGAAGAAGCAGGTAGAGCAGTGGTTTTCTTAGCTTGCTTAGAGGGCAGAGGGAATTCTGATCACTTACAGTAATGGGACTTGTTTTAATTGAGTGTGGGTTCTTACCCATGTTTTTAAGTCATAGATGGACAGCAGGGTGCCTTTCAGATGATGCTTCCTCATGGGCCTACAACCATGTCATCTTTTTTCTCCTAAGTAATAGAATTATTTGTTAAATAAATGATGTTATTGTTGGGGATATGCAGAAGTACAGACTGAGCATTTGTCTAAGTGTACTTCCTCCTCACATTGGTGAAGACCCATGTGAGGGTCACTGCAGTTGGTGGCCTCGTTTGCTAAGCTTTAGCCTTGTCCTCAATTCCTGACTTGTCCAGTTGCTGGAAATTGTCAGACCCTCCTTACCAATGGTCTTGTTTAATTGATTGCTGTAGTATTCAGTTATCATAGTGTGAGACCGCAGTGTTTGCACTCTGCCCTACCCTGCATTGATTAAGATGAATGTGATTCTGAAATACCAACTGATAAAAACCTAGTACATGACCAAAAGGCATTTGTCCACGTTGAGTAGAGATTCAGAAAATTCTGGTTTGCATGAGAGTTGTCATTCTTTACTGTGGCAGCGAGTTACTCTCAAAATGATTCCTTTCACTGCTAGAACTCATCCTTTATGCCTTGGAAGATAATGTTTTATACCTTGAAAGGTATTACGTGTATCAGTTGTGAGGCAAAACATGATTTTCTAGAATAAAATTGGGTTTGGAATAGGATTGGTAACATTCAATTCTTGAATGGGGTAGTGGGTTCAGAGTTATTTTATTATTACATTCTGTAACTAACATTTTCATGATATATATTCTTTAAATATCAAATATTAATCTTTTAAAGAAAAAGTAGGTTTGGCCTTTCAGGCCTACTTTGTATAGTCTGTTTACTATTTTATTAATTGCAGTAAGTTTTAAATTACAGTTAGCTTTGGCCAAATTAAAGAGAAGTAATTTGTGTTCTAAGACTCAGAAAGAATGTGGAAACCTTTTTCTTCTCCTGGCAACCTGTAAAGAATAGTGCACTTTGCCATTTTCTTGGTCTAAAATCGCTTTATGTTTGCAGATGGTGGCCAGCAGAGATCTGCAGCCCCAGGTCTGTGCCACTGAATGTCCAGGGCCTGAAACATGGCGTGGGGGACTTCCCTGTGTTCTTCTTTGGCTCTCATGACTACTATTGGGTGCACCAGGGCAGAGTGTTCCCTTATGTGGAAGGAGATAAAAGTTTTGCTGAGGGACAGACTAGTATTAACAAAACCTTCAAGAAAGGTGAGTTGGATCATGTTTACGGTGACTCAGCTGAGCCTCCATCATGGGTTTCTTGCTGTCTCCTCACTTGCGCATGACATTTCTGCTACTAGGGAGTGTTCACCAGCAATGTGATTGTGACTCTGTAAACTTCAGTCACAGAACCAGCTTGGAAATGCACATGGTGCAGTAGACTGTGCTGTGTGTGTGAAAGGAGCTTCCTCAGTGACCTTTCTAGAAATGAAGTTTGTATTGGGAGTGGTCTCTCAATTAAGTGAAACTCCTTTGCCATTGAACAATAGTGAAAGCTTCCCAGAGAGAAACCAGCTGCTACCTTTGCAATGAGTTGTCAACAAGTTTGGCTCTCTGGGTGAGGGCAAAATGAAATTTGAATCTAGTGCAAGGTCAGCAGCTGCTCTTGTTAGGGTTTTGAAGATCTTGGTCATTGCAATAGGGCCTCATCTCTGAGGCAAGCACAGCACATAGTGTTTAGTGAGTTGTGACCTAGGTCATCATTATCCTATGCTGGTGGTAAATGGTAATTTCCAGAATAATTTTTAAAAAGCAAATCTCAAGCCACACACAGAGCATTGAGAAAGGTGGTACACAACTGCTATCCTAACTGTGTGTTTGTATTTTGGTAATTATGTACTTTGGTCTTATTGTCAGCACTGGAAGAAGCTGCAAAACGTTTCCAGGAATTGAAAGCACAAAAAGAAAGTAAAGAAGCACTAGAGATTGAAAAAAATTCAAGAAAACCTCCTCCTTACAAACACATCAAAGTACGTCTCCACCCATGAAAACAACTGTTATTTGACAGACAAGATGAAATACATTTTGCTCAGTAGCTCAAGGATCTTTTTGACTTGGGGAAACTTTTGCTAATTTCAGCCAGTCTTCAGTAAAACTGATGGACAATTACCTGTGGTTCTGTGAGAATTGGGTCTTTGAGGGCCGGGGCATGGCTCAAAGAGTAGAGCACCCACAAGGTGAGGCCCTGAGTACAAACCCCAGTACCAGCAAAGTTGGGGAGAGAGAGACATAGAGAAAGAGACACACATACAATCTCTTACCTAGGAGCAGCATGGCTTATGTGAAATCCCATTCTTGTTCCTACTAGGTTATCCAGCAACCAAATAAGAAATAGGTCTTCAGCTACTTTATTATAGAGAGCCCACAGGCAAGCCTGTTTTCTCTGTTTCAGTTCTGAAATTTCTTTTAAGCCAGTGAAAGGAGAAATATGGATAAATAATTAAATTCATATCAGGTTTAAGTATTTTCATCAACTAAGGAGAGACAGTTATTCTTAGCTTTCTCCTGGGGAAATTGAGGGAAAGAGCTTCTTCTCGGAGTCACGCCACAGGTATTAGCAGAGGCCATGACAGCATGGATGTTTTTAATGTTCCTGTTCAAATTGCTAGTAGATTACTTATGTTCTGCTTTGCTGTCATTTGTGATTTTCTTTCCTAGGCTAACAAAGTAATAGGAAAGGTTCAGATTCAGGTTGCTGACCTGTCAGAGATTCCCCGCTGTAACTGCAAGCCTGCTGATGAAAACCCTTGCGGCTTGGAATCAGAGTGTCTGAACAGAATGCTGCAATATGAGTGTCACCCTCAGGTGTGTCCTGCTGGAGATCGCTGTCAGAACCAGTGCTTCACAAAGAGGCTCTACCCAGATGCAGAAATCATCAAAACGGAGCGAAGAGGCTGGGGCCTCAGGACCAAAAGGAGCATTAAGAAGGTAGCATGGGATGGAGATGGGGTAAGGTGGGGGTGGAACAGCCAGAACCTATGCCTCTTAGGGATGCTTCAGGAAAGCTTGAATCTAGGGATAAAATATATAGGGATTTATGGCAAAATTTTGAAACTTCCCACATTAAGAAGCAAAGAAGCAGTGTGAACAGGCTGGTTATAAAACATACATAATTTTGATCATCCTTTAAAAAGAAGGGACAGTCATCATTTTCTACTTGAAGTACTTTTCTTACTTGTTAAGTGAAATAATTTAAATATTTCAGTAAAGACAATATATTCAAGTTAAAAGTGTCCTGGGATAGAAACTAGCAAACCTGGAACTTTGCACCAGCTTTGTAATTCCCTAGTCATGAACATGAGGCCAAGTTACTTCCCCTCCCAGAGCCTCGTCTCTAAAATGCACATCATAATATTTTTCAGGTTATATATTGAAAAGCAAGTGGAAAAAGTAGAGATCTTTAACATTTATAAATTATTTTACTTTTATACTTTGAGATAATTTTTCCAAGCAGTCTCTTTGTTTAACACAAGGAGTACATGCCCATTGTAGAAAAAAATTTTAAATGCAAATAGCAATAAATCTACTATAGAAACAGTGGGTTTCAAACTTTAGCATGCCCGAGAATCTCTTGGGGTCCTTATTAAAAGCAGAACTTGCTGAATTAGATGATCTAGCACAGGCCTGGAAAAACCTGCATTTTAAAACAAGTCCTCCCATAATGAATATCCCCCTCGTATTATTAATATATGATAATTCAAAGGCCAAATTAAAAATTAAAAGTAAAGTCTTCCACCCCCAGTTCTAGCCCACCCTCCTCTAGTGCCTTCAATCCAGAACTCAAAGGTATATTCATTGAGAGATGGTAGACCTAGTGAGAATTTTAAATTACCTTCAGCATCTTTCCTTTTTTTTTTTTTTTGGCAGTACTGCGGTTTAAACCCAGGGCCTTGTGCTTGTAGGCAGGTGCTGTACCACTTGAGCTACACCCCAGGCCTGCCTTTTTAAAAAATCACCTTTATAATTTAAACATACCATCTAACACAGTAAAGAACAGTCAGACAGTATAAAAAAGATAGCAGAGTGAAATTCCTCCTTCATTCATACAATTCCTGTTCTCTTCACCAGAGATAATCACTGTTAATAGTTGGCTGTGCAGTCTTTTAGAACTTTTTCTGTGCCATCATAAACACATATATAAATACTATCCATATGTTCAATATTTGTAAGATTTCTAAACATAAGCATTATAATGCAGATTATTCTTTTCTTCACATTTAAAAAAATATCCTGAGTATATTTCTGTGGTAATACATATAAATTTCATCTCATTCTTTTTAACAACCTCATTATAGTCCACAAAGAAATATACCATAATTTATTTAACCTATTCTCCAGTAAATGTGTGTGTGTGTGTGGTGTGTAGACATGAATTCTGTGATGAACATTCTTGTTCATCTGTCTTTGTGCATCTGTTTTTATAGGGTAGTTTTTTTTGTTGTTTATTTGTTTTGGTGGAACTGTGGATTAAAATCGGGGCCTTACTTGCTAGACAAGTGTTCTACCACTTGAGCCATCCCCCAGTCCTTTTGTTTTTGTAGATTGTTTTTGAGATAGGGTCTCCCACTAACTTTGCCCATGCTGACCTTAAGCCACAATCCTTTTCTCCTTACCTCTTGAGTGCACCACACCTGGCCTTACAGGATAGATCTTTTGAAGTGAAATTTGTTCACTGAGCACATACTTGCTGAGCTTCATCTATGTGCTATTCTAGGCTCTTAGAAAACAATAGTGAAAAGACACAAAGCCCTTGCCTTTATGTATGTACTAAAGGAAAAATATAACAAGCAGCTTTGTAATGGTGAATATCATTGAATTCTGTGAAGAAAAATAAAGCTGCAAAAGGGATAACAGGTGACAGGGACAGTAGGGACAGCTGTCTTAGATTGTTTAGTGAAAAGTACCCTGAGGAGGTGACTTTCAACCTGAATGTATAAAGTTGAAAACCATGCAGATATATATAGAAGAGCATTCAAACCCAAGTCCAAAGGCCTTAGCATGCTCCACGGATAGCAAGCAGGCCAGGACACTTGGAAACTAGTGACAAGGAGTGCACAGGCAGAGAGGGGTAAGGGGCCAGAGGGTATAGGAGTTGTGTACAGGAGTCCGTTTATAATGCCAGGGATGTAAGAAACTCCTAGAGAATTAATGTAAGTGAGGAGGTAGACCCCTTAATCCAGCTTATAGTGTACTTAAGTTCCTTGTTCCTCGCTGTATACGTACATCACCAGCACAAAAGTTAACAACTTACAACATGACACACACATTTTATCATCTCATGGTTTATGTGAGGCAGGGGTCCAGGCGTCCCTCCACTAGAGGTGCTCACAGGGTTCGCAGTTCAAAAGTGTTAAGCCCAGGGCTGGCTCAGTCGTACTCGTGGCTTACGGCTAGGGATAGATGAGAGTCCCAACTCGCTGCCCACGGTGCTCTGTGGAACTCTAGCTGTGTGTCCTCAAGAGCTGCACGTTTTTGATTGTTTTGGAAAGATTTTTTTTCTTGCCTAGGTTGTGGCAAGGAAGCTGCTTGTCAGGCCCTATAGAAGGCTCGTATACTTAGGGGTCCCATGAGGAGGGAGGGGGAGGGGGGTGGGAGGTAGGTCACTTTTTGCTTCCTTAAAGCCAGCAGGGGAGACAGACTTTGAAGCTCCAATCACGAAAGATCATTCCGATGTCCTCAATGTATGAGCGCCTCCCGCTAAAACACATACCAGCACCGAGACATGCCTGCTTTTATGACAGTGGTTAGAAGCTCACCCTCAAAAGGAAGGGGTCTTACTAATGGCATGAAAGTCAAAGGCCACCTTGAGAGCCTGTCTGCTACACTTGTGTTTCAAAGGAACAGCCTTGGCTAGAGTACGGAAGGCTTATAAGAAGGGGAAAGAGTAGCTAAAGGAAACATCGGAGTCATCCAGGAGAGGATGGCAACTACATCTGTGGCTCAACAGGACAGGAATGGTTAGATTTTGATATGTCAAAGATAGAGCACACAGGCTTTGCTGATGATGCATTGGATATGTGGATTGGGATGCATGATTAAAGGCTGACTACATGTAAATGCTGTTATATAATGCAAAAATGTTAATATTACTCTAATCTCATGTGTTCATGCATATCACTCGCACACATTTTTGCCATGATTTTGAGGGAGTTTCTGGGCCATCTGAAATCCATCCAGCTTAATATTGTTACCACCTTTTAATGATAGTTGCATTTATTCTAAAATGTATTCTAAAATAATTTATTGAATTAGTAATATAGTCAAGAGGAATAAAATAACAATCTGGATTTTTTTGCCCTTTAGTACTTAAAGGATTGCTAATGTAAGATAATTGGCCACTTTATCAATTTAAAAAAAAAAATAGATAATTCATATCTTTAAAATAAGCATAATCAAAATAGATTTTGTAGACAAAAGTGAAGAAAGATGTGTTGTTTGGGGTACATTTTATAGTTAAAGAAGCCAGATATGAAATTGAATTGTGCACAGTCCACACACCCTTCCCTTCCCTGCTGTTTAGCTTATTTTTCCCGTGGTGCTAGGGGTAGATGGAACCTGGCAGGTTTTGTAAATGCGTAGGATAAGTCTACTAAACCACTTGAGGCTATCATTCCCTAGCCCTTGAGTATTAATTTAGACAGGGTCGTTTGCCTATGTAGCTCAGGCTAAGGAACTGTCTATTACAAAGTTGTTTCTTTTTGTTTGGTTTTGGTTTTTTATGTTAAGAAACAATGGTTGTTCTCTTGTATAACCCAGACTGGCCTGGAATTCTCGATCCTCCTGCCTCAGCCTCACCAGTGCTGAGATTACATGCATGCTCAATCACACTTGGTTTATGAAGTGGTTTCTTTTTTCAGAAATATTTGGGGGTACTAGGGATTGAATCCAGAGCTTCACACATGTTGAAAGCATTGCACTCTCATCTAAGAGCTATATCCAAGCCTCTTTTTCACAGAAAAATTTTGTAATAAAAGATAGTAAGATCATCTTATATGGTTTTCTATTTATTGATTGGAGTGTAGTTTCCTTGTATCCTTGTTTTTTGAAACAGGGCCTCACTTTACAGCCCAGGCTGTCCTCAAACCATCTCACAATCCACTCCTGCCATCATAACGCTAAACGATACTATGGGATTTAAACGTGTGTGCTGCCATGCCCAACTCTGCTGCAGTCTTTAAGGAACAGGATGGAGAAGCAGGTTAAATTTACTTCATTTTTAGTTATTATTCTATTAATTGCAACTCATAATTAATAGAAAGTGTGTAAGCCACATTGGTCTTTGTAGAACTGAAAGATATTATTTAGTCACTTTCAGAACATGCACGAATAAATTTGCGCTCTTTATTCACAGTGGTATCAGGCTTATGAGACTGCACTTCTCATATGTGCTGTCAGCACTTTAGTCTTTCTATATTCACTCATTTCCGTAGAACAATAAATGTAAGTCATAATGAGTGGTAATCAAGCTTTTGAATCCACAAAATCATTTTTTCAAATAAATCTTAACATTGAAACCCAATATGTAAAAAAGGTGAACTGGAACTGAAACTGGTTGAAATTCTGCTCTATAGCGTTCCATCAAAAATAATTTATGTCAAGTGCAGTGGCTTGTGCCTGTCATCCCAGCTGCTTGGGAGATGGAGATCTGGAGGATTGAGGTTTGAAGCCAGCCCAGGCAAAAAGTTAATAAACCCCATCACAACCAACAAGCCAGGCATGGTGGTAGAGGCCTGTGATCCCAGCTACACTGGAGATCATGGGTAAGAAGATAGCAATCCAGGCTACATAGGCAAAAAATAGCAGATCCTATGGTGTTGTAAGAAGAGCAAAGCTAAATGCAAAAAGGGCTTGGAAGAGCGTGGCTCTGTGGTAGAATGACCACCTTCTCCTTGATAGTTATAAGCGCAAATGAACCACTTAGTTAATCAAATCCATATCTATTGCGGCTGGAGAATAAAGAAAAAAAAAGGAAGGGAAGAAAAGCCAGAAAATTGGCCATAATAAGAAATTTGCTTGAGGGATAGTAAATTAGTCAGTGGCAATGCAGCCAAGCTGCAACACTGCCCAGGGCAGCGACACTGTAAAATGCAAAATACTATTCATCAGCAGATACCAGAGTTCAAACTGGATATAGGCTAAGAGTGCAGAAGGGCCCTATGTCTTTTGTGAGAAAAGACTGCAAGGAGGCTGGGTGCGATGGTGCATGCCTGCAATCACAGCACTCGAGGCAGAAGCAGGAGGATCACAAGTTCAAGGCCAACCTGGGCTGCTTAGCAAAGTTAAACAGCTGTCTCAAAAAACAAAATAAAATATATGAGCTAGGGATTTAGCTCAGTGGTAGAATGCGTGCAAAGCCCCCAAGGTATTGATCACCCCGCACTGCGGCAGTTTGCCATGAAAGAGAAAAAGGACAAGAAAAAAGAAAGGAAAAAGAAGAGAAAAGATTCAACTGTTCTGTATTTATGACATATTAGAGTACTTATCATGAGGAAATTTTTTTTAACCAAATTTTTGTCACATAGTTTTGTACTACATAGAAAATGGGTAAGCGGGAGAAAGAGCTGGCCTGCTTTATGTGGTACCACTAGCTCACCTGGCATTTCAGGTGTGTAGTCCCTGCAGCAGACTGGTGCTCCTCACTCACCCCTCTACCCAGCATGCCATGGAAAAGACTGTTGCTGGGAGGGTGGGTTCCTCCTTCACTTTAGCCCACTAATTTCTTTCCTCTTAGAAATGATCTAGTGTTATCAATAAGGAGTAATTATTGCTAAGAGCATGGACTTACTGTATTTGGGTGGATTAATTACTGTTTTCAGGGTTTTTTTTTTTTGTTTTGCATTTTGTTTGTTTGAGATGAGCTGCCTCAAACTCCTGATCCTCCTGCCTCAGCCTCCTGAGTGCTGTGATTACAGGTGTGTACCACCATGCCCTGCTCAGCTTATTGTTCTTAATGAGTTCTCAAAATCAGCAAATATGATATAGTACGCTTCTCTGTAGACTACTGACATTAATTTCTATCAACAGTTTTAATACTAAGCTATGAGAAGGGCTAGTGGAAATTTGTGGAGAGACAAGAGAATGGAGCAGAAATCTGCTAAAATGATAAAAGCAAATACTATTTGTTTTCTAAGACATTTACTGGTTGCGCTCGGGCGAGGAGTACCGATTAGTAAGAATGACTGGGTAGTTCTGTGGATAAATGCTGTGTCTTGAATAAGGTTAGCGCTTTTTTTTTAGGTATGTGTGTGTGATACTGGGGTTTGAACTACCAAACAAGGCCTATACATATGAACACTTTTTCCACCAGCCCTTTTCTGTTGGTGTGTGTGTTGTGTGTGTGTGTGTGTGTGTTGGTGTGTGTTGATGGGTTTTTCAAGATTAGAGTTCTTCCAACTATTTGCCTGGAGGCTTGCCTTCAAACCACATGTCCCTGACTCTTCTCCGTCCTGAGTAGCTAGATTATTACCATGAGTCGCAACTGAGTGCCTAGACCTTTAAGGAGATGGCTCCTCGAGTGTGGAAAGGGTAGAGATTAAGATGAGACCTACCATAAAAACGATTTGAATGTACGAATGATTATACTCTTACTAAGTGAAACTAGATCCACTGTGTACCAGTTAGAACAGTGAAAATGATGGTGGTTAAGCCAAAATTCTGGCAAAAGAACATTAAGATAATAACGCCTCGATTCTCAGCCCTGGAGCCCATGTTTGTGAGACTGTGAGTGCCGCACTGCCACTCATGAAACAAGTAGTTGGCGGGCTTTGGAGGTTGAAGATTTTGTTGTTTTGTTTGGGTCTCATCTTGCTAGGCAGGTGCTCTACCACTTGAGCCACTCCCTGAGCACTTTTCACATTGGGTTTTTTTTTTTGAGCTAGGTCCTTGCTTTATGCCCAGCTAGGATGACAGGTGCAAGCCAGCACACCCAGCTTTTATTGTTTGAGATGAGGTCGCATAAACTGCTCCTTCTTCCAGGGCTGGCCTTAAACTGTGACCCTACTGATCTCCACTTCCTGAATGGCTAAGATTGAAGGCAGGAACCACCTTGGCTGGCCAGTTTGGCAGTTTCTTTAAAAATAAACATACAGTTACCATATGGTGCAAGATATTGTACTCTTGGCCATTTATCATGAAACAATGGACACCAATCTACTTGAAAACTTCTCCAGAATGTTCACAGTGATTTTGTCTACAGCAACACATACAAGGAAGAGTGAGACTGTTCTTCAGTGTGTGGCTGGTTAAACAAACTATAGTGTATCCATACTGAGAAAACTACTCAGCAATTAAACAGATCACTTGAGTGATCTCTGGGGAGTTAACCCAAGTGGATTTTTTGTTTTGTTTTAAAGCTAATCTCAAAAGGTTACTCCAAACATATCGTATGATTCTACCGTCATCCCAGCTACACAAGAAAATAAGAGGATTGCAGTTCAGGACATTCTTGAAATGACAGAATTACAGTGATGGAGAGCAAATTAGTGGTTCCAGGATGTAGGCTGGCACGAGTGGAGGAGGTGTGTCTGCGGTAAAGGACTAATTCTGTATCTCAATGGTGGTGGCTGTGTGATGCAGCACCTGATTAAATCTCACAGAACTGCACACACACAAGAGTGCATGACACCGGTGAAATGTGAATAAGGTCTGGGTACCAGTGTCAGTTTTCCATAGTTCTTTAAGCTGTTACCTTTAGAGGAAGCTGAATGAAGAATACAGAGATCTCTGCTCTGTTGTTTCTAACTTCCTCTGGATTTCTATAATTACTTCAAAATAAAAGTTTAAAATCAAAAGCAGTGCTCATTTGCTTCAGATATAGTTTCCAGCTTTTCCCTAACTGCCTTCCTCCCCAGCTACAAATTAGTAAAAGTCAAAGGCTGTCCCCCACTCCCAGTGACATGCCATATGATGTCACTTGGACTTTAGAAATAGTTCTGATGGCAAGAAAAGGCAAGCAGAATGATACCTCCTGAGGCACTTGTATAAAAAAGTAGTGCCACTCATATGCCTATGAATAAATAAACACCGTTTATTTCTAGGATTGAAGTTACATTTTCAGGATTCTTTTTAGTTAATTGTCTTGGATTATACATGTGGCATTGTTAAGGAATGTATTCTAACACTGTGCACTGATTTTACAGTTATATATTACATGCTTCTCTACAGGGCGAATTTGTAAATGAATATGTTGGTGAATTAATTGATGAAGAAGAATGCAGACTGCGAATCAAGCGAGCCCACGAGAACAGTGTAACTAATTTTTATATGTTAACTGTTACCAAGGTAAAATTGCTTTTTTTTTTTGGTAAGAAAAAGGGACTTTTTATTCTTGTTTCATGGTTTTAGGTTGAACGCAGTTTATTTTAATTTGATTTATTTTTCAAGCCCCGTTACAAAGTGAGTCGTTACTGAAGACTGTGTGTCATGTGAGACGGCACTGAAAGGCAAAGATGACCACAAACAGAGTTAACATATCTGGACTTTAATCTCTGTATCTTAGTCCCAGCTCTTCTTAGTCACGGCAAGACCTGGGCCTCAACTTCTTTATCCCTGGAGAGAATCAGCTCTGTGATTCTTAAGTTCTAAACTACTATTACATTTCTGATGTAGCAAAACTCTAAATTGCCCTGTATATTTAACTTTGTTTTAGTAAGTTAGGAAAATGAGTGTTGTCATAAGGAAAATGATAGCACACGTCCTAGTTACATATCACATGTTGTTGTGAGACCTGCATTATTTGCACAGTACATCCATCATCTCATGTCACTTTTTCAACAGTCTCTGATTTACAGAGGACAAAAACTGAGGTTCAGGCATGATAAGGGATTTATTGAATATCTTGGTAACAAGATATTTTATGAGCCACACCTAGTACCCGTGCTTCCTGTGTTCCAGACTGTCTCTAAAATTAAGTCAGGATATCATTAGGGGTGGAGAGAAAAGCACTGCTGAACATGCATGAACCCTAGGTGTGATCCCCAGTACCACCAAAAACAGAGGGAAAAATACACACACATCTCATATATATCATTATCATTATATATCCTACATATCATTTAAAGTCAGATTATTTTAAAAAGTATTTTAACTGATTTCATTGAAAGTTTTATACCTTTCTTAAATGTGTTTCATGAACATCAATCAAAATGCCATTTTTAATGATGCTGTCATCTGCCTTCATGGATCCTGTCCTTACTACAGCCAAGATCCCCCACAGCCAGCTTCATAACACTCTGGAGGCTCTGCCCCCTGGCCTATCTGGACTGTCAGAGTTCAAGTCCAGTGGGCCTAAGTGTTGAGCTTCTAAACCATGCTGAACTGTAGTGTGAGAACAGAGAAAACGGATAACCATTAGAACATTCACCCCACACAGTAGCCCACACACCAAACATCTCCAAGTCTTCACTGAGGTGAAGGTTCTCATTGCCCTTCTTCCATCTTTATGTTTTAAACTTGTCTCCCCATACCAGTTTTGCTTCCTGGTTAGAGCAGCAAAGAAAGGCTGGCAACAAAACACTAGAGTGATTACATGAACTTGGAGCAAAACCCATAGCTCACTAATCCAAGCAGCATTATTCTATGCTCTGCTTCTAGAATCAAGTTACACTTTACTGTAATTACTTTGACTTGAGGGTAAACTGTGGTACATTTCATAGGAAGTGTTGGGCATGTTTTTAGAGTTGTCACTTACCACACACTAGCTGGTAACAAATGCTGCTGCCTTGTGGCCCTTGACTGATTAGATGTTTCTAAAATGGGCTTATGTTTAGTTTTATGTCAAAAGTACCTTTTTTTTTTTCCCCAAAGGACCGTATAATTGATGCTGGCCCAAAAGGAAATTACTCTCGTTTTATGAACCACAGTTGCAATCCAAACTGTGAAACACAGAAGTGGACAGTGAATGGAGATGTTCGAGTTGGACTTTTTGCTCTTTGTGATATACCTGCAGGTAAAAAACTTAACTTACTTCCCTGAGCCCCTCCCTAGGAAGAAAAGCTATCCTTTGAAGGATGGACATTATTCTTCAAGGTTGACATCCAAATATTTATTCAAATAAAGTAACATGTTAATATTTGGAATTGAGTGTTATCTGCCAATGAAAGGTAAAAGAAGAAAGAACCTAGCAAGAGCCCTTACATAAGGAGGATGTGGCAGGACTCTGTGTGTACATACACCCAGCTACACTACTTCTAAGACACTAATGCATCACTCCTCCAAATTACTGCTGTCTGTTTAGTGTAACCAGATGTGTTACCTGGTTTAAGCGTGTTACAGCATACTAAAAGTTACTCTTTTGTGTTAACATCAACTGGTTTCTTGGATTTTTGGCTTTAATCTGTTTCATATTATACATAAAAGGTCTCAGAAGCTAGAACTGTTGCTTTCATTTTTCTTTCCCTACCCTGCATCCCTTTTTTCCCCCCAGTACTGGGGTTTGAACTCTGGGCCTTGTGCTTGCTAGGTATGTGCTCTACCCCTTGAGCCACACTCCAGTCTGTCCACCAGAACCTTAACAGCAAAACTTAGTTTCTCCTTTGTTAAATTCGTAGAGAAATGGGTGAGAAGAAAAACTATAGCTAAGACAAATTATTCTTTTCTGAGATACTGGAGATTGAAGCCAGGGCCTTTCATATGCTGAGCAAGTGCTCTACTGAGCTACAGCCCCAGCCCTATTTTACTTTTGAGACAGGGTCTCATTAAGTTACCTAGGCCGCTCTGGAACTCACTGCAGTCTTCTTGCTTCAGTCTCCTGAGTGGCTAGGATTGCAGCTCTAAGATTTAAACTGTTTCTGAGCTCTGTGGATTGGCTGATCCGTCAAGCCCAGCTACAAGTTCATGAGGCCCTAGTTTGAATCCTTGGATATTTGGCGTATGTAGTAAACCTCCATTTTGAACTTTGATCAATTGATAAGGCATGAATTACTGAAAATAACATTGTCATGGTTCCATGGTCATACTGTTCATTTAGAACAATAGAAAATAGAGTGAAACTAGAAGCTATTTTTCTTGATCATGGGCCTTATTTCATCGTTATCTCATTGCTCAATGTTCAATCCTTATGACATTGTTTTCAACCACTTTTGTAAAAAGGCTATATCTTCTTTTTATATTTAGTATTGCTGTACTTGTTTGTAGATGGGGGCATCAGAATTATGTCTCTCCTTTCAGTATGAGAGTGGCAGCATTTCTCTTCCTCATGACTTGAGTATGAATAATTTTTTCTCTTACATTTTAGGGATGGAGTTAACATTTAATTATAACTTGGATTGTCTGGGCAATGGCAGAACGGAGTGCCACTGTGGAGCAGATAACTGCAGTGGTTTTCTAGGAGTGCGGCCAAAGGTCAGTTGTTCAGGGGGCACCCAAGCCAAGAGGAGATAAGGAATTGAGCTGCTAAAGTTTACTTAAGACTGTCTCAGGAGAAGGCTGGCAAACAGCACCTGCTTTAGCTTGCAGGTCATCAACAGTTTACCAAAATTTAGCCACTTGGACTTTCTAATGAAGTCTGTTTTATAGTAAGGTCTATCAGGTTCTGAAATGTATTAAAACTACTGAATTATTTTTAAATGGTGGGTGTCGTGTTATATGAGTTATAAGTCATTGAAAAAATTCACAAATTGTCTAAGCATTAATGGGTTAAAGCTACTTGAATTTACCACCATCTTTGCAATTAGGAAAATAAAAAACACCCTATTCGAAAGTCAGTGAAAATCAAGCCTTATTTTTATGATAATACTTTTGCAGGATAAGTCCTCCTGTTTTTAGGAATTGTGCAAGATGAATTTGAGTTATATGAGTGTTCTCCTTTCTGTGTAAAGCTTCATCCCTTGGCTGTGGTTATTGAAACTGTGCTCCTTCTTTCCTGCCAGTCGGCATGTGCCTCAACAGTTGAAGAAAAGGCAAAAAATTCTAAATTAAAGCAGAAGAGACGAAAAATCAAAACAGAACCAAAGCAGACACATGAAGATTCCTGTTTTCAATGTGGCGATGGTGGAGAGCTGGTCATGTGTGACAAAAAGGACTGTCCCAAAGCATACCACCTCCTATGCCTTAACCTGACTCAGCCACCATATGGTAAGCTCAGCCTTCAAGCCCTTCTGTGGCTCTGCTCTTTCCTAACTACGTGTAAACCAGAATACATCCTATGCTCCCTAGTAGAGCCATGAAATAAGAGACATTGAGTAGGACTGAGCAACGCAGCAAACAAAATTATGCTAGTGAGAAATCTGTCTCCGTGCACCGCTGGGATACCTTGTGTGGTAGCAAGGAAGTAATTGTGGTGTAGGCACCTGGGGCATTGGTTTTGGGATGGAGCTCACATCCATGTAAATATCACTCCTAGATGTATGGTTGGCTAAAATTTAGAGGTGGAGTCAGTCTCTAATCATAAGAGAAGTGGGGCCTTGGGTCTTGTCTGGGTAATCAAGACAGGTGCTAACAGGGTGCTTTCCTCCTCCCTCTCATCCGCATTAGGGAAGTGGGAGTGCCCGTGGCATCAGTGCAACGAGTGCAGCAGTGCAGCCATTTCCTTCTGTGAGTTCTGTCCACATTCATTTTGTAAAGATCATGGAAAGGGGGCTCTTGTTCCCTCTGCACTGGAAGGCCGTCTCTGCTGCTCTGAACATGACCCCTTATCTCCTGTGTCATCAGAATACTGGAGCAAGATCAAATGTAAATGGGAATCACAGGTTCATGGAGAAGCAGCAAAAGAATAAATGGGTGGTCATTTCCTCCCCTCTTTATTTAAGAAAATGAAAAGAAGCAAGTAGATAATGCATTCAAAAAGAAGAGACTCCATAATGCATCCAGCCTTTGCCATCGGAACTGCCTTCCTTAAGCAAAATGGGAAACCAGTTCACAGGAAACCAGTTCACAAAGGCAGAAGCAGTTGGTGGTGTCTGACTTTTCTGTTTTGTTTTGTTGGTTTGGGGGTTCTTTTGTCAAGGGTTAAATTCCCTTGACCTTTTCTTGCCTTTTATTGTGCTTCAAACCCTTCGCAACTGGGAAAAGAGATGTCTTTGCTTTTAAAGTAAGAACAAAGAGAAAAGAAAGTTTTGTTAATGAGATCAGTTAAAGTCTAAGATATGTTCCTTGGTTGTATAAAGCAAAAGTAACCATCATTCCTTTATTTATTTTCACTTTTAGGGATTTCAAGAAGTGTAGTTAAGATAGTCTAAATAGTGTGTGCGTGTGTGCGTGCATTTCCAGTAGGAATTGGAGGAAGCCCTCTGAAAGAGGGTGTGACCACTTTTATATACCTCTTTACTGAGCAGTCTGTAGGCTAACTTCTCTTTCCCTTCCACATGTCTTTCATAGTTTTAGAGAAGGGCTCTCTGCAAGTATTAAATCTGGCCTCTTGGAAACAAACACCTCAGTGGTTTTTACCTCTGTGGTCTTAAACTAGGTGGGCTTTGTGATGTGGTAACTTTACCTTGAAAGATATATGATGATTTTTGTTGAGGAGGAAAAAAGGAATGGATGCACTCATCGATTTTGAAATGTTTGTTGACAATGAACTTTTCTGATGTTGTGCATTTATGTAAACATGAATACTCAGGCAGAATGTCACTCCTGTCCTCCTGACACTTGTGAAGGCAGCTAAAGGGAGATGCAAGGCACAAACCAAAAGTTGGATCATATAAGCACCACTTGTTTTTTTGTCCAATTTAATGTAGACATTGGTCTGACTTAAACTTAGGGCATTTCATTTTCTGTCTCTGTTTCCCTCTCCTAATCTAACATTTTTCCTTTGTCCACTTTACCAGTTATGTTTCCTGGTAAAGCTATACAAGTGAATTTTAACTGTGTTAGAATCCACCTTTTTGGTTGAGTTTCTAGTTGGGAAGAGGGGGCAAAAGCAGTAGGGGCATCCCCAAATATAAAGTTTCTATTTAGTATTACCCAATACTTAAAATTGCCTCCATTTAGTAAGGGGAAGAATTTCTATTTTTACAGGGTATATAAGCGCCACGCAAACACTTCATCTTAGGAAACACATGAGGAAAGCTCCCAAGAAAGTCAGTGTTAGCAAAAATGGTTGACTGAGATGTTTGAATCTTACAGATGCAAATATACCAGATGTCTGCCCACAAAAACTCTCTTGCATTTAATGCTTAGGAATATGTGTATTGTTCTATGAAATCATTAGTAATGTCAGACATTATTATAACACAAGACTAAATAGAAGTCTAGGGTTAGCGTGAATGAATGTTAACTTTCTCTGTGAATTTCACTTCTTACAGATGCTGGTACCTGGTAGCATTTATTTTCCCTTAAGAAGTACCTAGTAATCTTATGAACATTGGGAAGGTAGATGCTGTACCACATTCCTTCAGTTGTCTTATGTGTGTTCGTTCCATTTTCTTATCAATTTAGAGCTCTTCTCTGGAAAGAGCTATTTTGTGCCTCTTTTTTGTATAAAAAATGTGCAATTATACTGGATTTTCTCTTGTAAAAGAAAAATAAACAGTAACAGCACTACACTCCCTCTACTTAGCTCCTAAACTGCCATTTGCCTGACTACAGTAATCAATTCTGGGGTGACTTATTGGTCCTCCAGTAATTCTGTTGATTAGATATGATCCCAAAAGAGAGCAAAATAGAAAATGCTACATGCTACCAAGTCTAATTGCTACAAGTAATGTGAAATACGGCTCGTGAAAACACTAGACTTTGCTCTTGAGCAATTATACAGTTTGATGTTCTTTTAAAAAATAATTTAAGAAAATCTAACGTTTATCATACTAAATTCTTATTTTATATAGATTTATGATAAATTATGGTTTTTTAAACTTATTAACTAAGAATTTTCATTAATATTCCAAATGCAATTCTTGTTCAAACAATATCCAACATGAAATCTTATCTCCATTTTTGTTTTCAACTCAGTGCTACTTAATATATGATGACTTTTATATAGTGAGCAAGGGTGCATCGTATATACTACAGATTCCTTAGGTTGAAGCATTTTTATGCAGCTTTTTCATTGTGTCACATTTTGTTTTTATAACAGCTGTGCAGAGACTTTAAATTTTTTTTTAAGTTTTAAATGCCTAATATGATTGTTCTGTCATATCAGAAATCAAGGTAGAAAACTACAGAGCTAACCATAGCTCTACAGTCTGTAATGGTCTAAAAGTGTTTCAGTCATGCCAGTGTCAAGGGCTTCTCCTGGCACCTCTGTGGTGTTAATGTTGACCTAGTTATATGTTTTAAAGTTGCAAGTTATGAAAGCAGACAGCTAGTTTTGTGTATGTACACATGCACTGCGCTTGCCAGTGCTACACCACAGAAATATTCCAAAAGACACACTGCTTACTCATAATTTGAAGTTGGTGTGTGTTCATTTTTAAATCTGCATATGGTCAGAGCATAAGTGGTTGGTTTTTATTTTTGCCCCAAACTGAAATAACTTAAGGCAGCATAGGATAATGGTGTTTTTTAAACCTCCTGTTTATTGTTTGGAAGAAGTGACCATAAGATTTTTGGTCATCAGCACAAAGCTTCAGAAATTGTGTCAGTAAGAGGTAGAAATGAAAGCGTGGAAAACCTTCACGGCACTGCTCAGCAGAGGCAGGACTGGCCACAACAAGCAGCTGTGCAGCACCAGAAGGCAGCCATTCCCTTCTTTCATGTCAGGACTAGAGATTAGAGTCGAGATGGCTTTTATTTTTGTTTTATAAATTCCCACACTATTTTAATTCTCAGAAGTGATCTCTGGCCTAATAGACTGCATTTTGTAATCATGGAAACTTGGAGATTTCTGTGTGCTCAAGGGAGGCACATATCTGAAAACTAAAAAAATAATTGGAGAAGGGAAACTTCTGCACTACTACAGAGTATGTGTTAACATGCCTGTAGAGACTGTGTATCTGCCTGACCACAGGAAGCCCTTTGAAGATAGGACAGGCTATTGGATAACTCTTAAGGAGCTGCTTTTTTGAGTAGTTTCTTGCATGATGTGTTCTAATCAGGGTCAAACCCAAACCTACAGTTTGGAATCAGATACCCCATCTCTTCAGAATGGAATCTCTTGACTGCCCAGACCTGTTGCTTGTCTTTCCTTTCATTTTTAAATGCAAAGCTCTTTTAGCGCTCACCGTAAAGTCAAAGTGCTGCTGACCACATACAGTGTCCTAATGGGATACAAAAACAAGTCGCCTTGGAGTCCATCCAGTTTGGGAAGTTTGTATGTGGCAAGCTCCTCCATGAGGTAACATGGCATTGAAAAGTCGCTCTATGGCTGGGCATAGATTTGAATTGTTTACAAGGCTGCTGCGTGTACCACCACCACTTGTCCAAGTTGCTGCAGGCAGGAAGTGATCGGATAGAGTAGATGCCTTCAGTAATTAGACAGCTTTGTAATGAATTAACAAAGACTAAAAAGCTGGAAGTTTGTATATACCAACTTTTACCTGGGGCGGGGTACCAGGGATACTGGGAGAGAGGGGTTATAATAGAGTAAGGGAGGGGAATGTTTATTGCCACAGGTACGATGTGTCACCTTAACATTGAGACCTCTGCCTCATTGAATTCAGGTTTTTTAGGTACTTGAAACTCTTCAGATTCTCCTTCTTTTAGTTTCTTTTTAAAACTTATGAAGTAGAAAGCATTGTTTTGTATACTATTTTAAAAATAAATAGCTAGTCTCTTGCCCTCTTGAACTTGGATTAAAGACAAAGTTCTGCAAATGGGAGCTCATGTTAATAGCTGATGTGTCACATTTATTGTGTATCTTTGAGGAAGAGACTCCTGCATGAGGTATCAGCATTTTTATGAATATGTATGTTCTTTATTTTGTCATTTTGTCAATCCCATCCCCAAGCACCTCTCAATATATGTCTGTGTAGGGAAAAAATATTGCTCTTATGTTACACTCCTAACATGCTGTGTATTAAGTTTGTGTTTAAAAAAAATTTCCATTATTTGGCTTCGTGTCAGTCCATTGAAAAGTGACAAATTTGGGCTCTTCTGGCACACATGTATGAAGGAGGAGAAGAAGAGAATTATCAGTCCTTCAGTAGACTCCAAAAGTCATTTTACTTCTGGTAAAAAAAAAAAAAAAAAGGAAAATCGTTGCCAAAGTCATTATTCAGTACTTAGTTTTCCTGTGATGTCACTCCATCTAATGGATGAAAAAACACCCTCAACTTCCCTGTCCCCTTCTGTGCCTGCCACAGACTCCTGATGTGTGCAAGTAAGTTGAAAGTGTCTGTCAGATGGCATATACAAGGTAGGAGGTATTTATAAGGTATTCTTGTCAGTTAGAAGTGGGCTGGATAAATTTACACTTTTTGTTGTCATTATTTTTCTCTCATTTGTTCTGTTACATATTCTGTGTTAACAGAATCATATTGGCTATAAATACCAAGATGCTAAATGATTACAACTGTCTAAAAAGACCATCTTTTTCATACACAAGGGTTTGTGTGTATTTGGAACTGACAGAATCATTTGTGCCCATTGGAGTGACACTGCACAACACACACATATACCTACAGATTCCGTTTCCATTTTATGTTTAGATAATGGCCTTTGTAGATTATTTCTGTATTTTGTTTATCTGTAATACACTTTGTAGACCCTGTGAAATGTTATTTTGCCTAAATCACTTGAGACTTGAGTCTTTAAATAACAAAGCATTGATATTCATTAAAATCAGTCTCTAGTTTCTGTGACTTGGCTAACTCTTGACACTAAAGGATTAGTGTTGTTAATTGTCCCTGGGGTGTTCACTAGGGCGTTACTGTATTATGATTTGATGTTGCCACATAGACTTCCAGATATATAGTATTTTGAAGATTCTGTTGATTGACCTGTTTTCTTGCAAAGTGTGAAATGTGCAAAGCTTGGATAACCTGTATATAGATAGCTTGTTGACTAGTTATAGTGCACTTAGGACTGCCTGTGATATTTAAGCTGCTTTCTGATGTGTGTGCTGGTAGGGACATAATTTTTGTACATTATATTTACTGAGATGTTTCCTTTTTTATTTTGCAAACACTTTGGATTTCAAATGTGTTTTCTGCTTCTGTGAGGATTAATTTGGAAAGGTTTTTAATGACATTCCACTAATTTTAGATTTTGCTTGAGATTGACTTCAATAAATTGTCCTGTATGTTCCAAAGTAAATATGTGGGCTTGTTCTTTACTTTTACTGCTACAACTCACTGGGCAGGAGGCCATCATGGGTAAGGGGCACAAAATGGCACAACACGTCCAATCTCAGCCCGTTTTTCTTCCTGCAAAATGCTGCAGTGCTGCTGGAAATGTGGATCTTTTAAAAACTGGGTTTTCTCTTTTGTTTTCATAGAGGCTAGTCCTTACAGAGTGGTTGCGCCTTCAGCCCACTGGTTTGAGCCCCACAGGCGACCTGCTGCTTGGCCGGACACTGGGGGGAGCCAGAGGACGCACCGCTCGCTGTCGTTGCTTTTGCTGCCGAGGCCTTGAGAACCGGCAAAGCTGCCAGTCCTACTTCCTGCTTCCTTGAGGCCGAAGGCCGCGGCTGGTGCGGCTCCCTCCCGCGGACGCTGCGCTGCAGGAGCGGGACCGGGACCGGGACGGGGACGGGGATGGCGAGAGCGGCCGCGGCCCTCGGGGCCGAAGTGGGTGTGCGGGTGGCGCTGTTTGCGACCTTCCTGTGAGCACGTTCCCGGGGCGCGGGCGGTGGGCCCTGGGCGGCAGGGGCCCGGGACCCCGCCCTGTCCCCTCCCTCTCTCCCTCCGCAGGGTGACGGAGCGGCTGCCCGCCTTCCAGAGGCGCATCCCGCCGGAGGAGATGTGGCGCTACCGGAACCCACTCGTGGAGGCCGAGTACTTCCCCGCCGCGCCCACGTTTGTGCGTGGACACGTGGTCGTGGCGCGCCGCCCCTCCCCCACACGCCCACCTTCCCAACAGCGCGGGCTTCCGCGGTTACCTGCGGTGCGTTCCGTCCTGCAGGTCATTGCATTCCTCTCTCCACTGTCTCTCATCTTCTTGGCCAAGGTCCTCAAGAAGGCGGACGCCAGCGACAGCAGACAAGCCTGCCTGGGTAAGCGCAAGCCCTTCCTGCGCGGGGGCCCTTCCTGCGCGGGCCCTCGTGTCACTTAGGCGCTGCCTGGCTCAGGCAGGCGGCCGGCCTCCTCCTGGGCGGACGGCACCGACACTTCGCTCTGGTTTGCAGCTGCCAGCCTTGCCCTAGCTCTGAATGGTGTCTTCACCAACACGATAAAACTGATTGTGGGGAGGTAAGTGCCCAGTTAGCTGCCCCAGCCCTGCCTCAGGACAGATGGGGAATGCCACTGTCATACATGTGTCACAGCCTCTCCTCTCCTTACTCACACGTCCTCTCCTCTCCGTCCCGCTTCTGTCCTGAAGATGACAGCAAGGCTCTTTCCTGCCTGACAGCATTTCCCAGAGCACAGCCTTTGGCCCCAGGGCCTCTGAAGTTGCTGAAGTTGTTTGCTGATTGCCTCAGAGTGTAATAAGCTGGAATGACTTGTTTTTGTTTCTACTTTTTAAGTGTGGGCTATGGAACTAAGGCTTTTTAAGTGTAGCGAATATCCTAATCCAGTTACATTATCTTGTCTGGGACACTGTATGACCAACAGCTGACAAGATTGTTGACATCTAATACAACTGTGAAAAATTTTCTGTTAGTGTGAGTGACGTATGCTCAAACCATGATTTTCTTTCAGGCCACGCCCAGATTTCTTCTATCGCTGCTTCCCAGATGGGCTAGTCCACTCTGACTTGACGTGCACAGGGGACAAGGATGTGGTGAATGAGGGCCGCAAGAGCTTCCCCAGTGGACATTCCTCATGTATGAGTTTCATATTTCTGTGCTTAATTTTTCATTACATTTAACCTAGGAGGCTTTTAGGGGTGGGAGCATCTGACTACAGTTGTTCTTATGTCTAGAAATTACTCTAACGTCTTGAAATTGGCTCACAGGCCGGAGCCTTGAGTGTTAGTATATTCACGAGGTCTGCACATTTTATTATTGTTATTAATTACTTGCCTAGCTCCTCCTTCTACTAGCTGTTAAAACACCAGCCTTCATTGAAGAGTTACTGTGTGTCAGGTGCTCCAGAGCACTTTAGGTTCTTACCTCACCTACAGCTCACAATAGCTCATTGAGGTCCATATTATGTTCTTTTATGATTCCCACTTTAAAAAGCAGAGAAGTAACCTACCCAAAGTCATGTAACTTGTATTCCAAAAACTATTTTCAGGTAAAATATTATTAAATTTAGGACACAAAATGAAGTCCTTCATTTTCCCTTTATTTTCCTTTTTTCTCATAACCAATGTCAGAGGCATAAAAGAAATGGAGTAAAACGCACTCATATTCGCCTAGCTTCCTATTTGGAGATGAGTGATGTGGTTTCCAGTAAAAGATACACATTACTTACAGGTTTTCTTTGTTCTAGTTGCATTTGCTGGTCTGGCCTTTGCATCCTTCTACCTGGCAGGGAAGTTACATTGCTTCACACCAGAAGGTCGTGGGAAATCTTGGAGATTCTGTGCTTTTCTGTCACCTCTACTTTTGGCAGGTGTAATTGCACTATCCCGCACCTGTGACTACAAACATCACTGGCAAGGTAAGCCCTGGAAGCTTCCATGTTTCATTCATTTTATCCCTAGAAACTGGCAAAAAGAGGCTGCTTATTCACTAATTTTTAAGTATTTGTTGAGTGAAAGAACAAATGAGTATGTAGATGGTCTGAGTTCTGTACTTAGGCATATGTAGCTGTATGGAAGACAAAAGTTAACCTCTTAAAGTGATTACCAAATGGAACATTTAATTTTTCAAGCATCATAAGATGAAATTAAATTGAATCTAATTAAAAATTAATTTAAGGCAGGCACAAGGGTGCCAACCTGTGATCCCAGCACTTGGGAAGCTGAGGCAGAATTGTGAGTTCAAAGCCTGCCTGGGCTACATAGAGACCCTGTCTCAGGAAATAAGGAAAGAGAGAGAGAGAGAGAGGAGAATGAGAATGAGAATCTTCAAAGAAAAGCCACACACAGTCCCCCAAAACACTGGCCGTACTGCCCAGAGGTTTTCCTTAGGACCTCTGTTAAAGGATAAGCAGAGGCGGGAGGTGTGTTTCAAGCAGTGCAGCGCCTGCCTAGCAGGCCCAAAGCCCTGAGTTGAAACCCCAGTTCCAACCTCCCAAAACTCCAAAAAAATAGGAAAGAGAGGCAACTCTTGAAGTTTATTCCTTCCTTCCCCTAGGGAAGTGATGGGGTCTCGCTACACTAGCCTTGAATTCATTATGGAGCCTAGGCTGGCCTCAAACTCAGGACCTTACTGCCTCTGTCTCCAGAGTGTTGGGATTCTAAGCCTATGCCATCAGCCAGGTCTCCTGAAATGGTTAGAAGAGATAAATGAATACAGTGGCCTGAACCTTTATTATTGTTCTGAATTTTAAAATTCTGATTTAGTCCATATTGAATGTGCCTTATTTTATTAATGAAAGATTTGTTTGATTTGGTGTTTAGAGAACAATCTGAATGATAAGCCTATAACTATAAGATAAAATTAAGAAAGCCTAAAGAAACCGTAAATCTGAAATTGAGGGTTTGGTTTTGTTTTTCCCCAGCCCCTACAAGTAAGAATAACTTGGAGGGCCAAGTCCTTTACACTGTGGAGTGTCTCGATATGGTTTTGGAGTCTAATATGAACAAGATATGTCCTCTCTCCTCAGATGTAGTAGTTGGATCCATGATTGGAGTGACATTTGCCTATGTCTGCTACAGGCAGTATTACCCTCCTCTGACTGACGTAGAATGCGATAAACCATTTCAGGACAAACATACACTTCCCACTGCACAGAAGAAGCCAGGTGATTCTTGCTGTTTGGATATTTAAAAGTTGAATCTATCTCAGAGAATACGTGAATCAACCTTTGGGTCATGCACAAGACAAGGACTTCTTGCTTTTTTACCCTTTCCAAGGTACAAGTGAGGACACAGCCAAGCTGTATTCTGCCCTGCTTCCCACGGATCTGTGTTATGAGGAGTCGGGGTTATTTTCCACTATCATATGCCACCGATTTTGGTAAAGGGACAGTTCCGTGGTTTCCCAAGATCTATGCTTTTACATTTAATTTAAATGCCACTCTTGGAAGAATCTTTTCACAAAGACTGCACAGCCCCACATTATCCTAAAAGCTACAGTTAATTACTGAAACTTAACTTCTGTTTCTTATAACTCAAAAATCTTAAAATTTAGGGCCTGACCAACTAAATTACTTTGATTGTTTACTTTCTCTAGTGACAATTCCAGAAAGCCTTAAATGAGAGAATGTCCAATTTTGATTAAGTTTCCATTGTTACACATCTTATCTGAGTTCAGCCATCTAGTATTGCTGTCCAACTGTGGTCATAAAGAATTTGTTGAATTACTAAGAGAACACAATAAAAAAAAGAAAATGGCCAAGAGTGTGATTTCAGCTCATAACCGATGATTGTTTCCACCTCATGGAGCTCTTGCCCGAATTCAACTCTTTCCTACTACGGTAGGAAAGAAAATTTACTGACATCATTATGTGGAGGACAAATCAATCTTACTGTCTGTTTGTCACAAGGAGACATAAGGAACAATTATAGGATATCATGAAAACTGGTGGACCTACAGCTACCTTTCTCTTTATTGTGATTATAATTTAAATATGACTGTCTTACAGAGTTCTGCCTATAACACAATAATGCATTTTTCTCCTTAAGTAAACCTGATATTCAAATAAAATGAATGTGTTGGGGTTTTTTTTTTTTTTGCACTTAGACGTACCATTCAGGGGCTGAAGGTAAACAATGAATTCCCCATTAGACATAAGTATTTTAAACTTACTTTAGTAATACATAGAGGAAAAGAAAATCATTACTGTATTAATGTTTTTGGTGGAACTGGGGTTTGGAACTCAGGGCTTTGTGCTTGCTAGGCAGGCCTCCACCACTTGAGCCACTCCCAGCTTGATTTTCTTTATGATAGATGAAACCAGGTAAAAGTAGGAAACTAGTCAATACGGTTTTATTTCAGTATTAAGTTTTAAATATAATCACGTAAAAAACAAACATTTCAAAAGTGCAAAATATTAGAAAGTTAATCAGTGCTACTAATCTTTCCATGCAAATGGTCTCTTTTACTGAGATATGCAATACTAATTCTCAGCTAGGAGCATGTACAAATGTTATACCAGTGTTTAAAAATAGGCTTGGTCAAGAGATTGCACATGATACAATTGAAGCAGTGCAAATTATATGACTAGATAAAGGACTTGAGTCAAGCTTATTAACTTGTATGATAATATCACACAGCCATAATAATAACACAAGTAGATGGATGAGAATATAAAGCTCTTTTATAATTACCTGCCCCTCACCACCAGGAAAGAAGCACTTCTTAGTACAGTGGTTTATCTAGCTCTCCAGGCTTAAGCTGTCCATCTTTGGTTACAGGGACTCACTCTTGGTTGTCCTTTGGTTATCCTTTGGTTTACTCTTAAAAAGTATCTATTCTGCTAATATAAAGAGTAAACATAAACTTGAAGACAGCAACTTGACAAAAGCTGACCCTCTAGTATATAATGAATGCTATTTCTCAATAACTCTTACTCAGTTTATATACAGAAAATATTCCAATATATCTTAAACTTATTAGCAGCTTACTTTTTAGCATTAGTCCGTAAGCAGATAAGGGAAGGCCAGGCTTGACCTATACCCAACCCTTGATTCCATAACCAGAGTGATAGCAACTAAACTCCTTTTTCCTTTACAGAAAAGGAATGGCTGTCTAAGGGATGGCTTCATTGTGTATTGAATACCAGTGCTTTGGATACCATGATACATTTACCAAAATAAATTTACAGAAAACAAAACATGGCTTGTCTGCCTCTGCCACTTTATAAACAGGCCTAAGGAAACCTTAGGACTATAAAGGACTATCATAAAGACAACTGCAAAGATAATGCCAAACGCTGGCCAATGGGGAAGAAAATACCTACAGCAAAGTGGTGAGCAGATGCCTTAGGAGAAGACTAGTCTACAGTCACCCATGTTCTTCGGGTAAATCTCACTTTGTATGTTCTAGACCTAGCTGACAATGACTGCAGTATCTGCTCCTTGGACCCTTATAAGTACAGGTGTTTTTTTTTGTTTTGTTTTGTTTTTTTTCCAGAATACAAGTATATCCCCCAAGCCAAACCTATGTGCTCAACCAACACTGCCTATACCAAGAACCTTTTAAATAAGCTTTTCAACTGTGGCAACTAAAAGGCAATGATGTTCACTAAATGTTTTTAAAGAGGATATCACACTACCAGTTTCACCCAAGTGGAAGTGGCTGATGACTTAAGTTGCTTCATCACAAAAGCACCACTAAAAAAAAGATCTCACTGATAACTTTAGCCGTTGGTAAAGGCCATGTAATTTCAGGTTCACCAGCTTCTATAACTTCACCTTCAACACAAGAATAGAAGTGTTATCAAATAACTACATCAGACCTCACCTTCAGTTCCCCAATTTTGAGAATGGTGTAAAATACATAACATCTTTGCTTCGTAAGGACGAACCTACTGTGAACTGAGCTGTCTACTGAAGTACACAGTGGTATTACAGTACAGTAAGTAACGCTCTTCATGGTAGTGCATGCTCGTAAATCCAGCCCTAGGAAGGCTAAAGCAGGGGATCAAGAGTTCAAGGTCAGTCTGCGCTACACAGTGAAAACCGTTATTCTTATTAGTAAGTTACAGTCCAGTCGCCATACATACACATAAGAAACACAGGCTTAAACAAACACACACCCAACTGCCTCTCTCCTATCTACTGAGATTTGACTTAGCCTTTAGAACACAAAGATAGTATATCCTCAAATGCCTTCTAAAGCTCAAGAATCTGTTCCCAAACTGGAACATTTTCTAAAAATAAGCAGTAATTTCCTTAAAATTTTTTCTGATCTACTCTAAACAAATCAAGCTGAAAGTAAGACTATTCTACCTCATGTAAAAAGAAAGTGGCATCTGTATACTATCATCAAAGAATTAAAAATGCAAACTGCCCCAGCTATAAAGAAAGAACAGCAAGGTTTATACAAAGCTGGTGGTAAAAGGTTAATAGGGTCTTTCCTTTGTTTATCCACTCCTAAAAAGAAATATCTTCCAAAGACCCAATGGTGAGTAAGTGGCAGGCAACATGCAGAAATGATGCAGTTGAAGAGAAGAAAATTGCGGCAAAATTCTTGGGGGAAGGCACCCTCAATGTCCGTCTAAGGGAGAGAGTGGGAGAAGAGGTCATCATGCAGGTACAACCAATAGGGAATGCCAAAGTCTAATGTACAGACTTCCTAGTTTCATAGCTGAAAACAGTATTTTAAATCTCAGGATGTGCTGTCTGTAATTAGGTTATAACTATTAGGATTCTAAGTTTAAATCCTAAATAATGACGGATGTCATTGAACAAAATCCCAGCCACAACTGAGATAACCCAATCTCTAAGTGGCTACTGAGCATTTCTCCATGAATTTTAACCACGGTCTACAAAAACGAGGACTAGTCTAGATCCTGGTGACAGGCAACAGAAAGGTGTATTTTATAAAAAGCTTGAAGCCCATAGTTCCTTGTAACATGCTAACACGTAGTAAGTACTATACTACATACATGACATTTAAAACTTACATTAAGCAGCCACAGATGGGGCACTTTTATTGCAAGGGCTGATCAAGAAAAATACCCTGGGTTTGATAGATCTCTTTGAGGACCAGCAATACCGTATCTTCAGACTCCCTGTAAAGAGAAAAATATACTGAAAAAAGATGGAACATTTGTGCTATACACTTTGCCTATATTATTTCATTTAATCCACACCTTGCACTCATTTTTTACTACTCCAAAAATATGAGTCAGAGGTGGCCTAACTGGCAATGATTTGGAAGGTGATATGACAAAGAATTCTAGTATTATGCCTGAAAATATGAAAAGCTTAGGGTTTGGGAGTGTAGCTCAGTAGTAAAGCACTTGCTTAGCATCCCTATGTTCAAGCCCCAGCACTACAAAGAAAAAAAAAAAAATCCAAAAAACTAATAAATGAACAAAGTTCATTCTTCAGATACTACTACTGAAGAGCCATCCAGTTGATTGCCTTCATTTTTAAAATTTTATTCACTTTTCTGAAAAGGTAATACAATCATATGATTCAAAATATATAAAAGAGTACAAACAAAATAATGAATTCTACCTCCCTAGTTTCTCAACCACCAGCTCCCATCTTCTCACAACCAATGTTAATTTTTCATGCATCATCCAGGTATTATTCCATGTATGTATAAGCAATTACTTGTATTCACAGTTCATAAAGAAATTTGATTACAAAATATAACATTCATGAAAGACCACCCTGTGGATATAAGGCTCAAACTGTTCTCTATGTCCGTGGTGCATTTTTTGAAATAGGCATCCCTTTGAGAATCTAATAAGATCTATGGATGTCTCTATGGATGGAAAGATTACATATATACATACATAATCAAAAGTATAAATAGAATTTTATTATATTTATAAACTAAGTTCATTTCCCCACAAATGCCAAACAAAAATCCTAGCTTAAGAAACTCCTATACCAACAAGGAGGAATTAGCTCTACCAGATGTTAAAATTGCACAACAAAATGATAAATGAGTAGGTAGGTCAGAAGTAGTCCCAATTATGTATAGGAATGTAATGTAATAACGGTAGACTCTATTGGTAATGGTGAAACAAGTGGATATACATCTGTATTAAGATAAATTTGAGGTAAATCAAAGATTTACCTGTGGAAGTACAACTAAAAATTAAAACAAACAGTGATAAAATTTTTTTTTAAATGATCTAAGTATGACACAAATTCCAAAAACTGAAAAGCAAATCTAGGCAATGTCAAAATACAAACTGGGGAAAAGGTATTTACAACTCACATTGAAGACTACTCAATTAAAAAAAAAAAAAAAAAAGCCAACGCTTCAATATATGGGAAGTAAAAAGATCTAGGTAACTCCCAAAAAGGAAATTAAAATGGCTCTTAAATATGTCAAGAATCAACCTTCTTCATACAATTAGAAATTCTAGTGTGCATGGCATGTAGAGTGAAAACTATAGAACATTACTGATGGAAATTACAGATGCTCTAAATAAAAGGTGTTTGTTCATGGATCACAATACTACGTATTATAAAAATGTCAGTTCTCTTTTAGATTAAAAAAAAGATCTATAGAGAACTGACCTATTAATAAGCAATAACAATCAAAGTCCTAGGAGAGTCCTTTGTAGAAATTACCATTCTAAAATATACATAGAGGGCTGCCAGAGTGGATCAAGAGGTAGGGTGCCTACCTAACAAGCACGAAAAGCCAAGTTCAACCCCAATATCACTAAAAACTAAATAAATCATGCATGGAAATGCATGGACCTGCAAAAGCCAAAATAATTGAAAAAAAAAAAAAAACCAACAAAGGTAAAAGACTCATGCTACCTGAGTTCAAGGTTTATAAAGCCACAGTGACCAAGTCTCTGGGTCACAGACAAACAGTCCAGAGAGAGAGAGAGAGAGAGAGAGAGAGAGAGAGAGAGAGAGAGTGTGTGTGTGTGTGTGTGTGTGTGTGTGTGTCACAACCCATTTAGAACAGCTAAGATACTGAACATCAAGTACATCAAGGATATTGAAGCTAAGTGTGCTGGTGCACACCTGGAATCACAAGCACTCGAGAGGCTGAGGCAGGAGGATCATGAGTTTGCAGCCAGCCTGAGCTGCAAAGCAAAACTGTCTCAAAAAAACAACAGATGAAGAGATCAACTGTGGTAAAGACTGTGGTGAATCCATCCAACAGACTACTACTTAAGAAAAATTAACTACTGACGTAAACAACATAGATGAATCTCAAGATAACTATGCTGGGTAAAAGAGATCAGATCATACCCCACACCAAAAAAAAAAAGAAGGTAAATATTATATGATTCCAAATAATGCAAACTGGTCCACAGTGACAGAAGATCAGGGGATCACTAAAGATTGGGGCTGGTGTGGGAATTACAAAGGAGCATGAGGAAACTTTTGAGTAATTAATATGATCATTAATTTGATTATGGTTATGATTTGACATGTTTCCTAAAACATGTCAAAATTCATCAAATTTATACACTTTAAATCTATGTAGTTTATATTTACAGTTGATGAAACTGTTAGACAAAAGTCATGAAGAAATGTTCTCATACATCCATGCTGGGAATGTAAAAAGTGACAACCTCTGCTTGGCAACATATACCAAGTATGACTAAGGTGTGCCAATGGCTCTATGTATGCATACTTCAAGACAGATTCATCAATAGATGAAATGACATGAATAAGGAATATAAAGAGGAAAAATATACAAATCTAAACATCTATCAGTAAAGGACTGGTTATACAAATTATGGCTGACTTTGAACTTACTATGTAGCCCAGACTAGCCTCGAACTTGCAATCCACTATTAATCTGTTCAATAATCCATCAGATAATTATATATAATAATTCTGATTCAGCTATTATAAGTGCTTTCAGATGAATTTTTTTCTTTTCTTTCTTTTTTTTTTTTTTTAAACTAATGGTTGCTGGCATCATTAACCTCATGGTCTATGCAACTGCATAATAAAATAACAGGTTTAAACCAGATTTCTTTAAAATGGCATGACAATACTGTTTTGTAATTGTCTAAGTGAGAATCATTCCAATCCCACCCTATCCTCTTTTTTTTACATCTGTTAGTATCGGTGAACACCTAAATAAACAAACAAACAAAAAACAGAACAAGCTGGACATAGTGGAATATGTCTGTAATCCCAGCACTTGGGAGACTAAGGCAAGAGGACAACAAGGTCAAGGCCAGCCTGTACAACATATAGAGACCCTGTCTCAAAAAGGATAAAAAAGAGGAAGAAACAATAGGGCTTGGTGTGGCTCAGTAGTAGACCACTTGCCCCTAGGCCCTGGATTTAATCCCCAGCACTGCAAAAAAATAAAAAACAAAAAACACTTACCAGTAGCATAAATGGCTTTGCAAAGCAAATAAGTATTCATTAAAACTTTCAATGGGTTTCTCCTGTAGCACATAGTCAATGCGCTGGCCTCCATTAAGCATGCCCACATTGATGGGAGGGACTTCTTCTTTAATTATCACAGGAGTCTCTTCTGTGTTAACATCTGCATATAGAAGAGCCATCAAAAGAGCCTAAGAGGCCTGTCCTGTTACTTCCCATCAGACTCCAAGTTTACCTTATAATCAGCTCTATTCAGAGAGCTCTGTTCCATTTTCTTCCTCTCAATTTCCTTATACTCTTTAAGTCATACTAATATTGCCCAATCTCTTTCTTTTCTTTTGTTCAACACATCTCATTACCTGTACAATCAATTGCTGAGTCACTTGCCTGAAGTTTACAAACTAAATGCAAGCAGGGATAGAGATCTTTAGAAAATTTAAAATTAAAGAATGAAACTGATTAGAGAATATCCTAGCTACTCCCCAGCCAAGAAAATAAAGCTGACCCACAAATACAGACATTCATCCTGTAAAGGCAAGGTATTTCACAGAGTGGGCTCTTCACATGACTTCTGTAGTTCCAAAGTGTGGAACATTTTTGAGCCTAATATGACTTCTCTTGACATTTCTCTCACATACAATGTTTTTTCATAATTTGGGGCAATTAATGTGACAGAAGAGATTAGCAGAGTTGAAGGTCAATGAGCACTCATAGTATTTATTTCCCACACAACTGAAGGGGAAAGGAAAGCAAGCCCTGGGAAAACAGGATCTCCTTATCATGGAGTCCCTCTTATTTGGCCTGATGCAAGTAATCAATGTGTGCAGTGTCTACTGACCACTGGACTTCTCTGAACTTGACTCAGGTTCTACTTCAGTTTCTTCTGCTGTTTCTGAAGCTTGTAAAGCAGGGTATGGACCTCTGGTGAAAGATTTCCAGGCCATTCGAAGTGAACCTAGTAAATTGTTCTTAAGGTCCATACTCATCCTGGTCAAGCCTTCTCTCAGTTCTGAAACATATGAATAAAGAATATTAAATGGTTTACACAGAGTTTAGGGTACACCATAGCAAAACAGAATATGAAGTCTATTTAGTTTGTACTCACCAGGTCTGGAATTATTAACAAGTTCTATATACAGACTTACCTAAGTGCATCCGCTTCCTGCCTTTATGATGTGGGATCAACATTGGCTCAAATTCTACATCTGGAACCACCATTGGTTCAATCCTATAGGCCACAGGATCAAACTACATAAGAAATATTAATAGCTGTGTTTATCCTTGCTAAAGAAAGACAGTCTGAGGAACTGTATATCTTGGGCAAAAATAATTATAAGCTCATTTACAAAAAGGTATGATTACTCTGCCCATCACTTCTAGACCAATACTATCAACAGATGGTCTCATTACTAGAAAATGATACAGAAAATCATAAATCAGCACAACACAAAATGATATGCTTTTTACCAATAAGCCCTAATATTCAGGTAAAAGCACAGCAGCAATACAATGCTTACAGGATGATAAATATTGAAGAAACCTTTGCATGTTGGGAATTTGTAATTAGGATCAATTCTTTTCAGTCCTCGAACTGTAAGAAACATTCCAATGGGAGATCCAAAGGCAAAGAATATTTCTGGTTTATAGTTGAGACGGGGGTATCTTATAGACACCTGGAAGAAGGAAATAAAAGCATCTTTCACTAATAACAAAAGTTACATCTGTTCCTGCCATGCCAATGGCAGCAAGAAAAACTGACCAAAGAAAATACTGTTACCTGCCCGATGCCAACATCTAAACAATCATCATTTTTAGTAACATTTCTAGTACTGCAGAATTCAGATTCTTTGGGACTGTTCACCTCTGAAGCTGATGGTATAGTTGGTCTATTAATACCCTAAAGAATAAAAAAGTTTTATTTTTTATAAATAATAAATAAAATAATACTATATAGAGCTACTATATAGTAAAACAGTCAAAGGATTACACAGGTTTCTACTTGTTTGAAAGGATGCTCATGAAAGTTTCAAAATGACAGCCAATAATTTTAGAAAAAGTCCCTAAGAAAACAAGATAAATCTATTAAAAACACTAGGTGGCTTACATTATAAGTTAAAATCCCTATGTGCTCAGAAGTTGTACACAGCCATTTGGGTACCAGTTGAAACTTTAGCTACCCATCACAAGAGAAAACAATACTATTCTGAAATTAGACAGTGATGGCCAGGCACTGGTGGCTCACGCCTATAATCCTAACTACTCAGGAGGCAGAGATCAGGAGGATTGCAGTCTGAAGCCAACCCTGGGAAATAGTTTGTGAGACCCTATCTAGAAAAAACTCAATACAAAAAAGGCTGGATGGTGTGCCTCAAGGTGGAGGCCCTGAGTTCAAACTCTAGTACTGAAAAAAAAAAATTAGACAGTGATAAGTGATTATAAACTTTATAAAAGCTACCAAAACAACTGAACTGTATACTTTACATCTTAACAAAGCTGCTACAAAAATGAAAAAAACTGAAGGGTAGTAGTAGTCCTGGCGATGCAAGACTTTTGAAGCTAATCACATTTTTAAGGATACGGATAAAGAAAATGTGTTTAATTCTCAAAGAGCCAAAGATCAATGATCAAAACTGCTTAGCTAGTCAGGAGTGGTGTCGCGCACCTATAGTTCCAGCTACCTGGGAGGCTGAGATAGGAGGATCACTTGAGCCCCAGGAGTTTGAGGCCAGGCTGGGCAACATGGGGAGATCCCCCCAACTCAAAAGAAAAAAACAAAACAGAAAACTGTTAGCTCCCCAGAATACACATGTCACAAAGCTCAAGGGCACTCCATGGCTGTCAAAGAATTGCTTAGTCTCACCGCCGGTATCAGGCACATACCACTGAATGTTTCCTGGTCCCGAAATAGTTTAGTAACTTCTTTCTTGGTCCTAAGGGAATTCCCATTTCCTGAAGATCTCTGTCTGTACATAAAGCCTAGTTATAGAAAATCAAGCATCTTTTATTTGCAGGCAAAATAAAATCAATTAAATATCCTGTTTCCTGAGAAGAATATGACTGAGGCACTCGTTTTTTTGCTGTATAACTGCTCTGGCTCCCTAGTCCTTAAATTTGAGAAGAGACTGTTCTGTTCATAGAACAATCTAAAGAAGAACAGAAAGTGTCAATTCTAGTGTCAATGTTAGTTATATAGATAACACTGCACTGTTAAAAAGGAAAAAAAAACTAGAAAAGTTGGTATTTAATGACTTCATGACAGAAAAACCTTCCTTGATTTTCATGCTTGCTTAGATGTCACAATCTGAGAAAGATTACAGTCTACTGATGGACACAGTGGTGAAAACATACAGCAAACAACAGAAGTATAACACAAAAGAGGTCAACAATCAGGATTTCAACTTAAGTGCCACTCACCTGACTAGGGAAGCCCTCCCTTATCCTCTCAAAATTTGGTTAATTCATCATTCTTATATCACTGTGTCCCTCTCCTTATTACTTCTTATAATTGTAATTAATTATGTGTGGATTATGTATCTTCCCCACTAAAGTATAAACACTTTGAGGTCAGGAACCATATCTTATTACCATTCCATTTCCAATACTTGATATAGTATGCCCGATCACAGTAAATAAACACTTGCTAAATATCTATTAAATGAATGTATGTATCACAAACTAGAAAAAAGTGCAAGAAAAATGGGGAAAAAAATCAAATGATCAAATAGCAACAAAAGAGCTCTTGAAAATATAACAGAAAATAAGAACTGGAATGTTCTTTCCCTCATGTGTTCTCTAAGCTATGCTTGTTTTTGTTCCACTGATATGTGACTATCAATGTGGCTCATCTGAAGCTGGAACTCCACAAAGCAAAAATTAATTTATATAGTAAAAAGCAAATAAACAATGACTAAAAAACATTATTAATGATTAAGTATTTATGATTAACCAGTTTCTAAAGGGCATGCTCATTAATAAACATGAGGAAGATAAATAAGAATATAGAAAACAGTTTGTCCTAAAGTTTTAAAAGATTGGTTTTTTTACCAGAGCTTCCTTATCTACTTTCTCCTTCTCAAAGATATTAAAGTATTCAGAGAGGTGAAGTTTCTTCAAATCTTCCTCTAGTGTTGGTGTGTCTCCTTGATCCATAACGGTATTTAGTGAACACTAAAAATTAAATCATAAAGCTCATATTCTCAAAATTCATTTAATTTCCAATTTTGCTATTTAAATGTTATATAAAATTCCTACAGTAATGTATATTCACTTTAAATCAATTTTAACTTACACAAAATGCAAATGAAGACTGACCGCCAAATTTTTGCAAGATCAGCTGAAAATACATTCATTTATTGTGTGCGTGTGTGAACAAGTGTGTGTTACTAGGGACTGAACTCAGGACCTTGCACTTGCTAGGTAAGTACTCTACCACTGGGGCCACACCTCCAGATCCTTGAAAATATACTTTTAAATGAATGAGCAAATGACTGTCAAAATATACTCCATCATTACTAACAAGCTTTACTGAGCTTAAGAAATAAAACAATCTAAGACAAAGTCCTTGTCCTGAAAGAACTCATGGTACAAAAAGAGAAACAGGACACTTACATAAAAGGAAAAAAAAACAAGATAATAAATGGTAAGTACTAAATCAATACTATTGGTAATGCATGTTCACAGGACTTTGTTTTACTAAAGATATGCTTAAGGCTGGATGGCTCAAGTAGTAGAGCACATGCCTAGCAAACGGAAGCCCAAGTTCAAACCCCAGTACCTCAAGCCCCTCTCCCCTAAAAAAAAAAGGTATGTTTAAACACCAAGGTTCCTTGGCTTTCAGACAGAATTTCTGGGCTGGAGGTGTGGCTCAAGTGGTACAGTGCCTGACTAGTAAGCATGAAACAGAGTTCAACCCCAGTACTGACAAAAAACAATTTCTATAAATTATCCAATTCATTCTTCATTTCCTTACATGCAAGCTTCAATTAGCTCAAAGATTCTACAATTCTATTAATACATTAATAGTGCATATTTATAGAGGGGAATAACATAGCAATTATTTATAGAAACAAATTACTGTCTTGTTTCTGTCACTCAAGATTGACAAGAGTCTGTTAAAATCAATGTAAAATTAACATTATGGTATGAGACTAAACTCAACTAAAGCCAAAAAAATAAGTCTAAAGTCTGTGGACTACTACAAGGGAACCTGTTTGAACATCTAAATTACCTTTTCATTGTCAATACCCTCCAAAGAATCTTTCTGATTTGTTAGGATATCAAACAATATAAGCGAACCTGTAAGTAAAATAGAAGAAAGAAGGAACAATTTCTAAGCATTAGCACTAAATTGCTGTCTTTTATGCAAAAAACAAAAGTCATAAGCCAATTACCCATGTAGGCAAATCCACAGATCAGAGAATCTTTCCAATTTACCACCACCCTTCCAACCCCTTCCAAATTCTTCACCATAGACCACGTCTAGGTCTCTGAATCTGAAATTGATAAAAGAGACTGTGCTTCAAAAATAAGTGTCCTTAAAATGTGATAGTCCTCTGTGCTTACAGAGAATTTGTTACCTAAACTATGACCAGCAATAGATACACCGCCTTTGAAATTAGGGTTCCTCTGCAGAAAAAGTGTGTATATTCTGTTCATTTCAGAAGCTACTGTGTCCACAATAGTCTGACAGTAGGTGGGGCTGTTGTAGAAGAAGACATCCAGAATAGTGTCGTTGGTGAAGTGTCTGAGGCGGTTGATGCTGGGCAGGGTTATCCGCTGCAGATCTCTGAAAAAAGAAAAGGTATTTTAAGCAGGAAATCTACATACATTCCATAGCCACCTCTAAGTTATTATCTAGCTTAGTCTCCAGGCTTAGATGCAAACATTTAATGATACCAAAGCCAACCATCAGTTATAGAAAAAAGGACAAAACTAGAGGCACGGTTTGAGTGGTAGAGCACCTGCCTAGCAAGCACAAGGCCTTGCCTGAGTTCAAACTCCAGTACTGCCAAAAAAGAAAAAAGAGAGGTGAATGGTAAATTTCAGAGTATAAGAAACCACACAAGACAACTCAGTTTCTTCAAATATAAACTGCAAGATAAAAATGGATAAAGATGAAGAGGAAAGATTAAGACAGACATATGATTTAACTGTCATGTATGGATTTAATTTGGGTCCTAGTTTAAAATATACATATAAAGTGTCAGGAGACCAAGTGGACTAAGGTGCCAGACTCAAGGTAAAATATACGTATATGTATGTAAAAACCATATTTATTAAACAATGAAAATTTGAACACTTACTGGTATTTCTGATACTAAGAATATTTTTAGGTCTGATAATGGTATTATGGTCATATATTTTTTAAAGTTATTTAAGATATACAAACCGAAACATTTACGGATGAAGTGACAGGGTATCTAAGATTTGATTCAATGGCAGAAAGAGGAGTTGACAGAGGTATAAAGATACAAATGGAGCAAACCCCATTTGTACTGCTGGAGGCAAAGACTTGGTACATCAAGATTCTTCATATATACTACTTTTCTCCACAAAATTCTCAATAGTTTCTTTAAGTGGGGTGGAGTAGTACACACCTGTAATCCCAGCAGTTGGGAAGCTGAGGCAGGAAGATAGTGAGTTCCATGCTAGTTTAGGCTACATATTAGTTTCAGGGAAGTTTAGACTACATAAGGTACATCAGAGGTGGAGAGGTGAAGGATCCAGTTCAAGGCCAGCCCGTGCAATAAGTCAGCAAGACCAAATCTCAACAAGTAAGCAGGGCATGGTGGTACACAACTGTAGCCTCAGCAATGCAGAAGACTGTAAGTAGGAGGATCACAGTCCAGGCGAGCCCTGGGCAAAAATGTGAGACCCTATCTAAAAAACAACCTAAAGCAAAAAGGGCTGAAGGAATACAAAAAAAAACATTAAAAAAAGAAAAGACCAAGCAAAAGATGCAAGAGGCTTTTCTTAGAATTCTGAGCATTAAGTGAGTTCTGGGGTGTTGTGTTTTTTGCTTTTTGTTTTGTTTTGCAATACTAGGGATTGAACCCCAGGGCCTTGCACTCTACCACTGAGCCATATTCAAAGCCCACCAGCATCAGGTTTTTTTTGTCCCTGGATGATGAAGACCTCCCTCAATGTGGAACTTTGTTCTGGGCAGTACTGCCGTTTGAACTCAGGGCCTTCTGCTTGTCAGTCAGGTGCTGAAACAGTTAAGTCACATCCTCCAGTCCTTTTTGGATTTTATTATTTCAAACAGGGTATCTTTTTTATGCTCTGGCAGGCCTAGACTGTGATCCTCCTACTTATGCTTCCCACACAGCTGGATGATAAACACATGACACTGTCTTTTATTTTTCTTAAATTGGGTGAGATGGGGGTCTTGAGAACTTTTTGCCTGGGTTGGCCTCAAACAGTGATCCTCTTAAGAAAGACCATGCTAACATAGCCTAAACCAAATTCCACAGTACCAATTATACCTAAATTATAAATATTAATAATTTAACTTGGGAGATTTCTTCCCTTTTTCCTAAATTTAGACAAATATTATTTAAACACAATTACAAAAGGAGCAACAAAATACTTTGTACATCTTGGAGCGTGGTTAGCTTTTGATATCCGAAGTTGGAAATGTTTATATACTACAGGAAGAAAGAATGCTTGACTTTAATGCTAAATAAATAAAGATGAAATAGCAAGTACTAGAAGCTAGCCATAGTACACGCCTACAATCCCAGAACTTGGAAGGCTAGGCAGGAAGATCTCAGGATCAAAGCCAGCCTAGGCTACATAGTGAGTTCCCAACCAGCACAGGCTTCACAGTGAAGCTGAGTCTCAAAACAAAACAAAACGAAATTCCGGAGAACCAGTAAAGCATACTGGACATACACCATGCAATTCTACCCAGGGATATTAAAACAAAGGACTGACCAGAATTTCATAGCATATCTCCAGAAATTTTTAAATATACAGCTATAGCAGAAATGTCCTTAAGCATCCAGATGACCAGAAAAGATAAGCACAGATAACAACTCAAGGGCATAAGGTATTACTCACACATCTACACCTGTAGAATGCAAAGGACTGTGCCAGTTGACTGGAAGAAATTCTACCCTTCCAATCTGTTGATTTTCTTGGGCTTTCTTAAAATGTGTCTGTAGCAAGTTTAAGGAAACACTTCGAAAATCATTCACTGGAAAAGAAAATTAACTTATGTATCAACAGTGATGCAATTAATATACAGAACCAGCATGCAATTTGCTCAGAACACAAATTAACAAGTCAAAAATAGTAAAGTAAGTATTCAGGAAAAATTAAGACCACATAAAAAAATTCATTAAAAGAAAAGCTAACTTCAAAACTTCTGTGTCATGGAAACTGTTTCAATTTTTTAAAAAAAATCACAACTATGTATCAACCAATCTTGCCGTCAGATTTCTATCCTAACTTTCTGTATTTTATAAGCAAGCACTACCCAGTATTTTCAATTAAAAAAAAGTACACTGCTGTTCAAATTGATATCACACTGATCTTAACCTTGCAGTCTACAATTCTAGTTTATGCTTAGCCTCAGAATAAAACTCCATAACTCCAGAACTATCTAGTTTAAAACATACTGTCTCTAAAACTCAAGTTATACTAATGACTTACATCTTCCAATTATACTATCAAGAGACTTACCACAGTATGAACTACAAAAATCATTGAAGTTCCTGTTATTCAGTTGAATCTTATCATCTTTATAGTTCTCTTTAGATTTAGAATAGTTAGAAATAGGACATTACATCATAAAACAATTTTATAGGGATTAAGAGCTTGTTCACTCAGGAATTACTGCTTAAGAGTATAAACTATTAGCCTCAGGAATTTACTAGTACTTTAGGTCTAAGCTGGGAAGCTTTACTGCCTTGTCACTTGTCTTTAGCTCTCCAAATCTTCTTAGGTAGCTATGACAACAGACCAAACACAGTGCTTCATCCCAGCTCACAAGAGCACTCACCAGTATTTTCCTTAAATGATCTAATCTTACATGCTTTGCAAACCTACCACACTGTACAATGCTTCGAAAGCGGAGATCACAAGCCGGTCCAATTCCATGAACTACAAAAACCAAGTGATCTATTTGTAAAGGTTCTCCTATAAAGAGAAGTAAAAAGAAAAATTATCCTATATACTCAAGTATTCTAAAAGCAAGCACTCACAATAAACAAGAGAGAAATAAGTTAAAATACCAATGGATAATTGAAAGACACAAAGTAGTCCCACATTAACTATTTAGTAAGATTACACTGACTTTACTTTCTAATTTATCTCCAAATAAGTGTGTGAAAAAATTTACAACTTTTTATTTTGAAATAACTGCAAACTTACAGATCACTAGAAAAAGTAGTACAAAAACTCCCATGTACTCCTTACAGATTCAATTTTAAACAATTACATTTACTTTAGTATTTTCTCTGTTTCTGTGTGTGTCCACACACATTTATTTTTCTGAACCACTGGAAGTCAGGCTGCACACACACTCCTTTTTTATTCACCCTATCAATTTAACCTTTAGCATGTGCATTTCCTAAGAACACCTTCTTATACAACCACAATACAGTTATCAAATCCAGGGCATTTAACATTGATAGAATATTTTCACCTAATTGCTCCATTTCTATCAATTATACCAATAATGTCTGGCATGTTTTTAAAGCCTGGAATTTTAATTTTTTTATTATTTTTTGAGAGACCAGTTTCATTATGTACCCAGACTGACTGACCTTGAACTCATTAAGTAGCCCAGCCTGGCCTGGAACTCGTAATCTTCCTTCCTGATGGAATTATAGGAGTGCACCACCATGCCTGGCCTTTAACACATATTTTTAAATTACAATAAATTGACCAGGCAGGGTGGTACACCCCTGCAATCCCAGCTAATAAAGAGGCAGAGAAGAGGGTCACGGTTTGAGAACAGGTCAGGTAAAAGCATGAGACCCTAACTGAAAATAAATAAATTAACTAGCTAATTAATTATAGTAATTCAAACTTTGTCTAAGAGACAAATCATCTCTTCTACAAGATGAAAGGAATTTTACAGTACAGTTAAACATGCTTAAAACCAACCATAAGTGAGACTAGTCAGCAATGGATAGCCATCAAGTTCCTTCTGAAAAATAGAAAATCTTCAGGGACAGTGATTGCCAGAATAAATTTCTAGTCAACAGAAGAATAAAACTTTTGCTTTAGCTATTTTTCTGATAGGGTCCTCCCATTTTTGCCTGGAGCTAGCCTTGAACTATAATCCTGCTTACCTATGCCTCCCATTTAGCTGGAGAAAAAAGTCACATGCTACCGTGCCCAGTTTATTGGCTGAGATGGGGGTCTCATTAACTTTTTGCTTGGGCTGGTCTCAAATTTCAGTCCTCCAGATCTCTGCCTCCTGAGTAACTGGAATTACAGTTGTGGACCACCATACTCAGCCCTCTGGCTTGTTCTTTGAGACAGAGACTCTCACTAACTTTTTCCTGGGCTGACCTTGAACTGTGATCCTCCTATTTCCACTTCCCAAATAGCTGGAATTTCAAACAAAAAAAATCTTAGTAGATGAAATGATGTTAATCTTAACTCAGAATAAACCTGTACAATTAAAGATCATTTTTAAGCCTTGAAACAATCCAAATCCACAAAAAAACAGACCACAATTTAATAAACAAATAAGTGTATCAGAAGAAAAGGGAAAAATGATTAACATTACCACAATGAATGTCAACAGAGATGTTCTCAGCACCTCGCTTCACTGTTCTTGGTCGACCTTGCTCAGTGGGTGTTGAACCCCATTCATCAGACCCTGCAACTGGCTGGTAATGCACCATGAGCTTAAGTGGAAAAGATCAGAGAATACATTCTACATTATAGTCATCCCCTTATATTCTGAAGGGTAGGATCATATCTTCAATACATATGCTCAAATCTCAAGTGGAATTTTGATATGCAATCCCTAAAGCTTGAAATGAGAACCCTAAAAATACATATGGCTAACATATCTTTCAACAATACGCCTACTTGTAATGTGTTGATGATTTTCTTAATCTATGGTGTCATAATTTTCCCTAGGATAGTTCAATCATATAAGCTGAGGGGAATAAATAATGGTAGCAGTTATAATGATAAATTCAATACAAGACCTGCCAAATGTTATCGCACATATCCTATAGGAAAAGGAGGTCAAGTAAATTCTTAGTTAAAGCAATTCACCTTTAATCTCAGTATCAGTGAAATGCTTCAATGGACCTTACCTTTGGATTGTGTAATATAATAATTTCTCTGTTGGGAGACTCCAGTTTCTTTTTCCATTCATCCAGAGTTACAGCAAGCATATAAGTTTCCTTAAAAGAAAACACATTTCATTAGACCTCTCTAACAGCTTTTCTATTAAAACTGGACTTATACATGAGTACTAGATTACTGAGTTCCAATAAGAATATGACTCAAATGGTAGAGCATCTGTCTAGCAAGCACAAAGCACTGAGTTCAAACCCCAGTATCGGGAGGAAAAAAAGATTACTATTCTCTAATTTATCAAATTTATTTGTCCTCTACCACTGAGCTACATCCCCAGCCCATTAAAATTCTTTTAAGATGACAAAAGCAGGGTATAATGGCACACACCTGTAACCCCAGCTCTCAGGAGGCCGAGGCAGGGGGATCCAGGCCATCCTGGGCTATGTAGCCAGTCCTATCCCAAAAGATAAGTAAATAAGGCCGCCAGTGGCTCATGCCTATAATCCTAGCAACTCAGGAGATGGAGATTGGGAAAATCACAGTTCAAGGCCAGCACAGGCAAAAAGCTTTTGAGACCCTGTCTCAACCAATATCTGGGATGTGATGGTATATGCCTGCCCTCCACCTATACGGGAAAGCACAAATAGAGAGCTCATGGTCTAGGCTGACCTGGGCAAAAATTGAGACACTATCCCCAAAACAGCTAAAGCAAAAAGGGCTGGAGGCATGGCTCAAGTAGCAGAGTGCCTACTTAGCAAGCTTAAGGTCCTGAGTACTGCTAAGAGATTAAAAAAAAAAAAAAAAGGAATATATATATATATATACATACACACATAAAAATAAAATTACAACAGGTAACAGCATGACAAAGGAAAAGAGGACTCCTAATTCCACCACCTAGATAATTGCTATTCGCCTTTTTACATAGTTCTAACAATAATATTAATGCTCTATTATTCCAATTTATTTTTTTTAGTTCCCTTTTTAAAAATTTTATTATTTTTTATTATTGTTGTACTGGGGGTATATGGTAAGAACTTTTATAAATGTCACAATTTATCATAGCTGAATTACCCCTCCCTCATTCTCCTTTATCCCCTCTCCCAATTCCTGGAATAGTTTCAGCAGGACTCATTTTCCATGGCTCAAGTGGTACAGTGCCTGTTTAGCAAGTGCAAGGTCTTGAATTCAAACCCCAGTACTGCCAAAAAAAAAAGAGTAAGGGGGTGCTGGTGAATTGGCTAAATGATAAAGCACTTGCCTAGCAAGCATGAGGCCCTGACTTCAAACCCCAGTGCTGGAAAAAAAAGAAGAAAATCAAGAAGATCAATCCTGTGGTCATAGTTTGTATATTAACAGTGACTGCCATTAGGAAAAATTATTAAATTCAAAAGACAAATACAATTTCCATAATATTTTCAAATCTAAAATTAAGACTACTTTATCTGGAAACTTACAATAAGAAAGCTTATATTGGGTTGGCGGAGTGCCTCAAATGGTAGAGCCTAGCAACTGTGAGGCCCTGAGTTCAAATCCCAGAACTGACAAAAAATAAATAAATAAAAATACTATAAAATATGATGTACATGGAACCAAACTTTTTCTGGAAATTTCACAAAATATGTCAGAAAAGTAAGAGAAGATTATTAAGTAGGAGGAAAAAAACCTGAAGAAAATGATGAGTAAAAAAGGACTAAAGGAATACCTCTAACACTTGGCTGAAGCTCTCCGAGTAGGGAACATATTTATTGTCTTTGTCTCCCTTGTAAAACCAGGTACATCGTCTCACTTCCGATGCAAGTTCATCCCAGTATACAGCATACCGCATCCTCTCCCCCAAATGAACATCATATCTTCCCCCATCCGTGGGGACAACTCTCCCATTACAGTCTTTTCCTGTCAAGAATTGCAAAGGGGAAGGGGAAAGTACATCTTTCACAATAAATGTCCCAATAAATTGTAAGTTACACTCTAAATAATAATATGAAACACATGAATAGTTTCTACTTGGCTAAACACTAAAAAAAAAAGGAACTTAATTATAAAACTACCCAGTTTTTCTTTTTCTAAGGAAAGACAGTCATGCCCCTTTCAAAAAGAAAGATTTTTTTGAAGTTTTTGTTTAAAGGACCAAAAGATAAATTAATGAAAATTACGATGATACAGTCTAACTACTAGCTCCCTTTTTGTTTCATAAAAGAAAAAAGCAAGTAAAATGAGTTCATTCTTCTGCAATATGACACCAACCTACATATAAGCTTTACAAACAAAAAAGTTAAACAGAAGTTAGAATATAAAAAACATTACCAGAGGGCTGGAGGCATGGCTCAAGCAGTAGAGTGTACCTGCCTAACAAGCATGAAGCCCTGAGTTCAAACTCCAGTATTACCAAATTTATATATCTATATATATAGATAATAAATATACATAATAAAGTATATATAGACAACTAAGCAGAAATTACAATACTTTTCTAGATATACACTAAACTCTCGAATATTATAAATTAGCTGAATACCAATGTAGAATTTCTATATAAAATGCTACAAAAATTACTTTAACTGTGGCTGACACCTGTAATCCTAGCTACTTGAGAAGCAGAGATTGGGAGGATGAAAGTCCCAGGCCAGTCCAGGCATAAACGGGAGACTCTATTCAAAAAATAAGTAAAAGCAGCCAGACCCTGTTGACTCACACCTGTAATCCTAGCTACTCAGGAGGCAGAGATCAGGAAGATAGAGGTTCAAAGCCACCCTGGGGAAACAGTTCATGAGATCCTATCTCAAACATACTCAACATAGAAAAGGGCATGGTGTGGCTCAAGTGGTAGAGCTCCTGCCTCACAAGCATGAGGCCCTGAGTTCAAACCCCACTACCACAAGAAAAACCCTAAAAGCAAAAACATGAAGAAAGCATGGCTCGAGTGGTACAGCGTCTGCCTGGCAAGTGCAAGGCCTTGAGTTCAACCCCCAGTACTGCAACATTTTAAAAAAAAAAAAAAGAAGAAGAAAAGAAAAGCACTAAGTGTAAGGGCTATATTGCATTATAGTTTGAGAGATGGAAGTCTTTGTTACAAGTCATAATTTTCATCCTACCAGAGTCATATGCCTCTTCCAGTTGCTGGGAATCCTCAGAGTTGAAAGGAATCCATGTCTCCTTAGAATCTATTATCTTACAATAAAACCAGTGTGGAGAAACTGGTTCATACAAACCGCCAGCATCCATGTCTATTAACTCAAAGGAACTACATGAGTTTGGTGATGGGGATGGATCTGACTGAGACAACTGCTCCTGGTGTGATTCCACTGATGACATTTCGCTCTCTAAAAGACAAAACTATCAGGAAAATTATTTTCCTGTATTAACACTAATTCTTCACAAATGTGCAGGTACACATACACACACACAAAAGAAAAAAAAAAAAAACTACCTGGTCATTTTAAGAAGCCACTTCTTAAAAAAAAAATCTAAGCGGGCGATATAAAATAAAAACAACAAATTATTTGGGGGTGGGGGATATTAAACAAAATCCATGCATAGACCATTTTGCACTGTGCTCCCAATTCTTTCTTAGAAAACTACATGGCAATAGCTATAAGAGAAACCCAGAATTACGAGAAGTGGTCATTTCATTGCAAAATATTTTAGCCCCATTTTCAATCTAAACCAGGTACCACAGGCAATATTTTTCTCCAACAAGTCAGTACGCCTTGCCCTAATAAAACCGAGGCTTTAGGCTCCAGGCCCCTTATCATTACACACTTCCATACTACTGGAATCTTAAAACACAGGAAATACAAGTATTATACCCCTTACGAAGCAATCGTTTTGATCGGTTCTTAAAGTGTGCTTAATTAGGGACTCTGGCACAAACTCAAAATACGACACCCTGCCTGGGGCCACCGTGCGCGCGCGCGCACTCCCGGCGTCCAGGTCTCGGGTGGAAAGTAACAAGCGACCTCAACAGCCTCCTTCGTCAGACAGACGGACGGATGCGTGCCGCCCCGCTGAGCCCTGGCAGCGCCCGGCAGAGGCCGGCGGACGTTAGAAGTTCGCCCGGCAGCCAGGTGGGGAGAATGCGACCGGGTGCTCTCCCGGCTGCGGGCCCCATTTTCCGCTCTCCTTTTATTCTGTGCCTGGGCCACCTCGGCCAGCCCCTTACCCCAGACCCAGGCCTCCGCCGCCCAGCTCCAAGGCTTGCCTCCCGCCCCGGCACGGAGAAGCAGAGCCACCCGTGGAAACAGACGATTTCCAGGTGCCTTGGGGTGTAGGCTGCCAGAGGGGGCCCTGATCGCGTCCTGGGGACCGAGGTCACCGCCTCCCTCCAGCTGGCAGCCGGTCCTAGCCTCGAGCCACGCATCGTCTTCTGCCCTGGAACCGCCATCCCTTAGCACCTCCGCCCACAGCCGCCGGGCCCTGCGACCGCGCGCGCGGACGTGGACTCACCTGCCCTCCCCGCCGCCGCTCACGCTCAGCTGTCCCCGCCGCGTCGGCCTTTTCTCAGGGCCCGGACAGGGCAGGGCGGAGCCTGCGGACCCGCCGGGCTCGCCCTGCGCCCCGGGCTCCGCCGCGCTCCCAGCGGGCGAGTAGCGGACCAGGATACCACAGCCAAACTGAGGTGGCCGCCAGCACGGCGCGGCAGCCGCGGGTGGGGCGAGTGGGACGAGGAGGACCCCGGGAAGCCGGCGGGAAGTGTCGCGAGAGGTGCGGGGATCGCGCGAGACGTGGCTCCTGCTGCGGGCAGGCGCCGGGGCGCGCGGGTGCTCGCGGGGGAGGGGTGGCCAGTCTTCAGCTGCGAGCGCGCTGGAGGCGTCAGGGTCAGAGGCCGGATGTGCTTAGCAGAAAGTCAAGGGGACTTCGTTGTTGCTCCGGGGAGAGGAAGGTTCCCGATGTTCCAGGCCACCGTCCTCACTTACCGGCGTGCTCTGGCTCGCCCTACTAATGGGTCGGGGATAGGGGGAGCCGAGGGACACAAAGGGCGCGAGCCTGGTCGCCTGGATCCAGACCACCGCATCTGGGTCGTTGGCATTTGCAAGGAGCTTTGGCTCATCTTCCCTGCGTTTATTAGGATGTAGAGGGTGCCAAAAAGGCATCGCTACAAGATTCAGAGGTGAACTTGACAGGTGTCAAAAGCTGCAAAGGAGGCTGCAGATGGCAGGTTTTTCCAAACAAGATGATGTAACTGAGGTCAAAAGTTTGAACTAATTTTCCAATCTGCAGGCCGAGTAGTGCTTGGCCTGCCGAGGTCTCCCTAGGGTCTGTTTTGGGGAGGACCTCAATTCCTTTGGTTATTAAATAAAACACTTGACTATTTCCTAGCTAAACCGGGGAAATTTTTATTTCTTCAAAAACTGGGAAAAAGTACACTGAAACAGGAATTTATTATAACACGTTAATCTGCTTTAGATTAATAGCCGCACACAAAATATCCTCAAGTTTACTGATATTTTCAAGGTTTTTGGGGTGTTTATCTTTTGCAGTAGGGGGGTTTGAACAGGGCCTCCTGCATGCTAGGCAGGCATTCTACCACTTGAACCACTCTGCTAGCCGTTTTGCTTGTTTTGAAACAAGGTCTCAAACATACAGAGATATGTAGCCCAGGCTGACCTCAAACTCTCAAGCCTCTGCTCCAGCCTCCTGAGTGCTGGGATCACAGACGTGCATAACCACACCTGGTCCCTTTACCCTTTAGTTATTGAGGACCTTAAATAATATTGTTTATGTAGGTTATATTTATCACAGCTTACTGTTCTAGGAATTAAAGCTAACAAATTTAAATATTAGTGCATCTTTAAAAGAACATTTTAATGAAAAACAGCTATTTCCAAAATAACTTTTTAAAAAGTCTGTGAGAAGGCATTGTGGCTCACACTTGTAATCCCAGTGTTCTGGAGGCAGAAGAGATAGGGAAGATGGTGGTTTGAGGCCAATCCAGGCAAAAAGTTAGCGAAACCCCATCTCAATCTATACACCAGGTGTGGTGGTACACACCTGTGATCTCAGGTAGGAGGGAGGCTTTGGTGAGAAGATCTTGGTCTGAGACTGCCACGTGCAAAAAATGCTAACCCTACCTGAAAAATAAGTGAATCAAAAAGGGCTTGGGGATGTGGCTCAAATGGTAGACCACCTGCCTAACAATCATGAGGCCCTGAATTCAAACTCCAATACCACACACACACAAAAAAGTCTTTTAAGTATTCAGAAACTGTTAAGTTTATTTAGCAGATAAAATTTCTCAAAATTCTTTTTCTTGTAAGGTCATATTTTATCACTGGTCACAAATACTCTTAAACAACTAGAAGTGACAAGCTCTTTTTTTTTTTTGGCAGTCCTGGGATTGGAACTTAAGGCTTCACACATGTAAGGCAGGCACTCTACCACTTGAGCCACTCCAGCTCCTCACCGTTTTCAGAAAAAGTTCTGCTAAATACCAAAATCCAAATAACTATAATGTCATTTCTACAATGAAAACTTATGTTGCATGAAAGAAATGACACCTAGTTCAGCTTCCAATCCAAATAATCATTAAGGTGCTTCTTCCTCAAGACTCCCATCATATTTATGATGCAACAGAATTTTCTGCAGAACTGTTTTGTTTTATACATACTAACCATTTTTTCACCCAAGATATGAAAAAGCTGTGAAATTAAGAGTTAAAGGTTATTATTTAGAAGGGTATTTTAGTTGAGACTGGTATTATGAATGCATAGCAGTGAAGAACACAATGACTGATAGCAGTTTGTTTTTATAACTTTCTGAAGCCACAGCAGTTTCACTCACTGCTATGGTTTGAATGTGCCCTCCAAATCTCATATTGAAATTTGATTGCCATTATAACAATATTAAGAAAGGACCTATATGAGGTGAGTAGGCCATGGGGCAACCTCATGAATGGATTAGGGCTATTACTGCAAAACTAGGCCCTCTCTCCAGTTTCCTCTCCCATGCACAGACACATGCACACTCTCACCCTTACACCATCTTATGTTGCAGCCTGCAGGCCCTCACCAGATGCCAGTGCCATGTTCTTGGATTTCTCAGCCTCCAAAACCATGAGCCAAATAAATTTTATTGTTTGTTTTTATAGCAACAGGTAAATGTCAACACAGCAAAAAAGGCAAATTATATCTTAGTATGATTATGAAAACAGTTCTAGCAGTTACCTCTGAAAGAGTCTCTTAAGACCTCCAGTGTCTGGGGACCACCCTTAAGAACTACAGCAGCTGGGTGCTGGTGGCTCACGCCCATAATCCTCACAACTGAGATCAGGAGGATCATGGTTCAAAGCTGGCCCAGTCAAATAGTTCATAAGAACTTCTCTTGAAAATACCCAATGCATAACAGGGCTGAAGAAGTGGCTCAAGTGGTAGAGCACCTGCCTAGCAAATGTGAAGGCTTGAGTTCAAACCCCAGTACCACCAAGAAAAAGAATAAAGAACTACAGCAATTAAATGTGTCCACTCTAAGCTTACAATGTACAAGTCATTAACACAATACCTACCTGGAAGGAGTTCACAGTCCTAACAGGAGGAAAAACAGGCAAACAAATAACTCTACCTTAGTGAATGATATTAACAGTGTAGGCAGGTATTGCATACATTGGTAGTTACAGAAAGAGAAGTAATCAAATATCCAGACACACTTCCAGAAATTCTCTCTTAGTAGGTCTTTGACAGGATCCAAGAGTCTCTTTTCTTTATTGTTTTGAAGAATCTACATTTCTAAATAAGCACCCATATGATTTAGATGCAGATAGTTTGGTATCTATGCTTTTAGAAACATTGCCTAAAACACTGCAAATTTTAGTTCCCTCAAAGGCCAAGTAGGTCCGTAGTTTCCAGCAAATAAAATATGGTAGCTCTTAAAACTTAAAAGATCAATTTTACAGACTATTATGTAGTTTTTACCAGAAAACACTTAAAAGGTAAAACGTGAATATACTAGTGCAGGAGACAGCAAGCTTTTTTCTATAAAGACCAGATAAATATTTTAGGTTCTATGTGCCAACAAGGTCTTTGTCACAACTAGTCAATTGTCCTATTACAGCACTAAAGCAGCCAGAGACAATATTGAGTATGGCAGTGTCCCAAATAAAACTTAACTTAAAAAATAGTGAAAGGTTAAATTGGTCACTAGTGTTAGTTTGCAGGCTCCATGCCATGGTCTAGAGCAAAAGATAATACTAGTGGCCAGTAAGTTCCCTAAAGAGCAAAAGCAAGAGACTTTATATCCAAAGTTGGAATAAATGTTAGGGATCAATTTTAATTCCCATTTCTTTCCAGAATAAGCCATATCTCATTTAATTCTTAAATATGTATTGAGTGCCTATTAATACAGTTGGTGATATGAGGACACATAATTTTTGGAGACAGAAATCCTCCAACCCTGGTTAACACCTAGACACCCAAAGCTGAGAAAATACCCAACTGTCTCTGATAGTCTGATGATAAAATAATTTAAGACCACGGCTTCAGGCTGTGACATGATTCTCAAACTCTAATGAATGAGGGTCTGCTAACAAGGTCCTTCAAAATGCAGATTTTCAGATCAAATATTCAGACATTTGGATTAATTAGAATAATTTAGTTGGAAGTCCACAAATCTACATTTTAATCAATAATATATGGGCTGCAGCTGTGTGGCAATCAGGAAACAGAAGACTTAAGCTATAATTTCAAAGGCATCTTACTACCTTCGTATATAAAAATGCTAGAAGAGAACTTAGAGACATCTAGTGTGATGTTCTCTTCCAGTCCAAAATTAGTGATTTTTGAACTCATGAACCATTCATGAAAATGCATTTTTATTATTTTATAGCCACACCTTTATTGTTCCTGCCCCCAACATGAATAATGACTCTTAAATATTTTTTACTTTGAGGAAAGTAACTTATACTTGATGGTTTCTCTGTCTGCAAAGAAAACTGAGTTTGTTTTGAGAGCAATTGATAACTTTAGGCTGTGCAGCAAGGAGGGTTTTCTCTAGCCTTGGGGGTTTCCTTTTGGCTAGGGTTGCTGGATTGCACAAATGGAAAAACAAAATCTTGTAGGAGAAAATCTTTAGGAACTACAGAGAAGCAATAAAATTCATAGAGACTTAACACCAAAAACCCATCCTTGAAGTTAAAAATGATAAACTGGATTTCACCAAAATTACATACTTCTGCTCAGTGAAAGACCCTGCTAAGAGTATAAAGTGTTTGCAAACCACATATCCACAAAGGACAAGTATCTAGAGAACATAACTCCAAAAACTAAATAGTGAAAAGACAAATCATGGTTTTTAATGCCATTCTTCAACAAGAAGAACCAAGATTTCTTGGTTTCAGGTTCCACAATAGAAGATTGAACCAACTGTAGATAAACATTTTTTTTTTTTAATTTTACTTCCCTTGCAGGAAAATGTCAATTTTTTTTTGGTAGGGGGCAGCAATGAAGTTTGAACTCAAGACCTCCTGCTTGCTAGGCAGGCAGTCTTACCACTTAAGCCACTCCACCAGCCCTTTTATGTGATAGGTTTTTCGAGATAGGGGCTCTCAAACTATTTGCCTGGGCTGGCT